AATTAAAAAAATGCCCTCAACAAATTAAATTGTGTTACTGAGGGTAGACAACTTATACGGGAATCCAAGGCGGGGCGGATCCAATTATTCCCTCATCTACAAAGACCAAATTACTGAAACGGCAGAGGTGGGTCGTCCCTTCGTTAGCGGGCTGTGTTAAAAGTCATGCAAGGAACGAACTTTCTGGTAGTTGGGAGCTCAGATCAATCCGAGCCTGTGTGCCCCGCTTAGGCGAGGGTTAATTCTCACGAAAAATCTCGGTTCGGGCTTCACGAGATTCTAACCTTACCATGCGAACGAGAAATTTTGATCTCCTGTCAGCAGTCGGTCCGCAGCCGAGGCATAAACGACGTCCCCGAATAAAATGTCGCACATTACCTCATCAAAAATATTGAACACGAGGAGTGGGTATTGTTATGCAGACTTGAATTAATGGATAATGTTAATCAAGCTAAACCATTGAAGCTCGAGAGCAGAGACTAGCCACCTGTGTGTATGTGCTCCAAATGCACTGACATATGTACAATCAGCTTTTGGCTATCAGACTCCACCCTCAAGGTTCTGCCGGAACAGATAATGGCGGTTTCCGAGCCAATTCGAACGGAGAGGACAGGGACACACGCAGCCGACAGGTTTCGTAATAGTAAGGAGCTTTCCCAAAGTCATGCGATGTTTCATGTCGAATAGATTGCCGTGGTTTCCGAAAAGGCAGTTGGAGAAAAGACGTTCTAGCTTTTTGCGTACCTTGATCAGGCTATCGCATCATCGGTTGTGCCACGTGCCGCTTTTTCTCGATAGGATGGTGAGGGCTTGTTCCTGAGTCGCTTCGACGATATGATATCATCCAACATTATCAGGAACAAAGCTGTGAGCTGAGTTGGAGCACATACACGGTAGCTGCCCGCGATTTAGTATTGTCACTACCTTGCGCCTATTTCACTAAGTAAGTATATAATTTATTTAGGTATCTGCTTACTTTGTTTTTGACAAGATGCCTCCGGTCCACATAATAACCTGTCGTCCCTCATGATCATGTTGGAGTCGTCATGAAATTCGCATCTATTTACCGCATCTGGGGAGATACATGAGGCTGAACGCACCAAACTAGGAAACCTTCTGGAAAACTGCAATGGGAATCAATTGATATCAAGGGGTGGTGGCGCGAAACTCTCTTGAACAAGGGTGATCCGTGCCTTCTAGAAGGTTTCCACGAACGAGTTCAACTGGAACTGAGAAAAAGAAAGATTTATCCAGGAGCCGAGGGGAGGAAGCGGGCACCATTTTCAATTAGGCTCCCAGCATTTTGCCTATGTGCAGCAGAATCAGGTCTGTTCTCCGTCCCCACCAGGAACCATATTTTCGGATGTGTGGAAGCACTTGGCAGGTGTTCTGGAAATACTCTGAGGGCGACTGATAGAGCCCTAGATCCTGTCGTGTCGTAAATGCTAGACGAGGTTGGGATCAGTTGGCCAATTGGCAGGAAACGAATGAAGTCATTACGAGATATATTCCAGGCTAGTCCTGCGGAGAAGACGCTTGGACTTCGGTACATACATCTTAACTTGTCGATCTTCGGTCTTGAAGTTATGCTTTAGCCATCACGAAGCGAACAGGATAGTTAAACTGCACTGGATTCGGCTGCTTCTCTCGTTTGAAGTTATGCAATATTTATCAGGGTGTCACACTTGTATCATAAGCTGGTCACTCCAACAGCAACCTGGCCGTTGCCGCCATCATCGATTCGATAGGACGCTATCATTAGGAGTTCGCCGACCATTGGCATCTGCTAGGCTGACCATCCAACTTCTCGATTTACCATAGTCGGTTTCTGTAAATAAGCCCCCAAGACTGCCACAAACCTGCCCGCATGACATACTTCTTTCTCTCACGACTCGTACGCTCGTAAAGGAGCTATATTTCGCGAAGGTGTATTTCCGTTGAGTGCAAATTAATTATAACCTAAGCATTTCTGGTCGGTCACATGCGCATAATCGAAAAGCGAAGAATTATCTGATGCGGTTCTCGCGAAGGGGGGCTAGTCGAAATGAAGAAGCTCGTTTATTGCCACATGAACCTCGAATCGAAAGGCTTTCGACCCGATATTACTTCCTCGAATTACTATAGATGGATGGATGTCTTAACCCTATAAATAAGCTCAGGTACCGATACCATACCTATCAGCCGTGCCGACTCCGGGGTTTCCGCTAAAGAGCAAATTTATCAATGGACAGTATCAAAATTGGAAAGTGTTATTGCATTGCGCAATTGCGGCGTTTTTCGTTTTCTCTCTGTCTCTCTCCATCTCCTCTTGAAATCTTGAAGGGGACGAGGGATATTGCAAGAAGAAAAAATATATATTCTGCAGGCGCGAAGACTTTTTTTTCTCTATGATTAATCTGTCCAATCCGAGCTTAATGCACGTGTATGTATGTATGTACGTTCCTGTAATAATATGTTTGGTTAAGGAACTTCGGAAACTTTTCCTGCACTGTGTCAAATGCAATCGATCCGTGAGACCCAGTACCTAGTACTAGTGTTCTTTCCGGGGATAAGGTTACACTCTCTACACAGTATGGTCGGATATGCATCTGCAGGCCTGGCCCTAGGTGCTCTCGAGAGTCAATCCAGCCCGATTTAGTGTTTATGTGTTCATGTATCCTTTTCCAAGGACATGGTAGGTAAGCATACCTAGTCAACGTTAACGTTACGCAGGAGCTTGACTTTCCGATATCAATCCCGCCGTGAAGAGCATACTATGTAAGGAAAGTGGACAGATCGATGCCACAGCCTGGTCATTGAATGGATTAATTTCGGTTCAACCCTATTCGAATATTCTTCGATTCGAAGATCGTTCGGACTGTTAATCTGTTCAAGCATAATTATAAACAATAACTGAGTTAATACAGAATAACTACTCCGCAACGAAGGTCTGCGATATCAGCTCTATCAATTAGATTGGCATACCCTAGAGTCAACTTCTATATGAGCCCCATTTATACGCAGGGCTTGGGACAGAGTAAACCGGGTTAATGGGCACCTCCATTTATATTTAAAAGAGATCAGCCGTCGTAATTAATGTCCAAATCAGCCACATATGCACATAATCAGAGCAAGCCAAGAGGTGTGGGATATTTCGTCAGATGTGGATTCGGGCAGGCGCAGGATTGAATCTTCCACCAACCGGAGGCCATACTATCGCTGACTTAGCGTCAGTCGACACCAAAGAAACCCCGATGGAAATATGCATTCTTCGAATTCCCACACCGTGACAATTCTGGACCATGGAAAAAGAATTTGGAAAGCTTGGAAGCGGGGAATTAGCTCTCTCGGTTCTATGTTAGTAGTTATCTTAGGCCCTTCTGACTGCATCTCGTCCCGCTTCGAGGCGAGTTACCTTGGTATCACGTACATGATCTTCCGTGGGCCTTCTGGAAGATGGACAGGGTGATAAGGGGCATGACATGACATTATGATATGCAAAGTGTAAAGCGATTTAATTACAACTGCCATGCCATGCTATGATATCATGATATCACAATTAAATGCATGCGCACAACTTCGTCCTTCATATGAATTCATACCCACAGGCTGATGTCAAAGGTATATATCATGCTTAACAGAAACATTACCGTAAATTCGATTATTTTTAATAGGTTCGTATAATCTAATATTCAATACTGTCTAAATTGTATTGGTTTACTCTTTCTTCTTATCGGCTTTTAAAGTCTGGATGTAAGCTTATAGCTTAAGAATATGTTAATTTTCATTGCATTGTGTAGTATTCGGATAACCGTCGCCTTTTCTCCAGACGGCCATGCAGCCCAGAAGGCATTATCGGGAAACAATTCAAAACAGTTCCGGTTTGTCATGCTTGGATCAGCAGATACCAAATAAAAGGAATTGCTGCTGATATTAACTTTGCGCTATACCTGTTTATGCATATAGGCATTTATCTTGAGTAAAATTGGGGGACACGAAATCAAATGCATTTAGCCATCTGTTACCAGTTTTATAATCAATAGTGATAAGCTCACTATAGACAGGGTGTGCACGGACACTACCACCTTACGAATCATCTCGAGTGACATATTTCATATTCTCCAACCGAGTTAATGCCTCGGTGTGTATATATCCGAATCACTGCGTAACTGTGTAATTACTTTACAGACGCTCGCGTAGTAGAGGAGGGCCCTCAATCCAGAATATAGGCGAATCACATCACGTTCTCCCTTTAGTTCCCTTCTGTTATATTTACCGGAATTACATCCCAGTTAGACCTTTGTACGTATATAAGGACGATAATTCTTGAGCGGTCCTTAAGGTGACACCTAATATATCTCGGTCAAGGCAAAGCTTGAATAAATATGCCTGTCTATGATCAGTATCCATGGAATCTCCACCGCTAAAAAGCATTGACCAGCTGCTAAAAGGGTAGGCGGCGTCAACTTGCGCTCAATCGGCCCGACATTTCTCTGGACTGAAACGAAAGCCTCTTAGAAGCCGGGCGATCCCTTGATGAATTAAAGAACGGGTCACCTGTTTTTGCAAGCCCCATCCACAGCGCTAGAAGGATGTTCTTTCTTTCTAGAAGTGATTGTGGTCAATCTGTATTTATCCGATGTAACGAATCGGATTCTTTGCAAGGTCGTACCAGGATTTGCAACCTTGGATCATGCAAGACAAACCAACCAGAAGCAAAAACGCGAAGGAAAAAAAAAAAAAAAACTTGAAAGCGCATTTCGCACGATGTTGTATTGGTTGAGGATTCGTAAATTTCGCTCTAGTCGGCCAATAGGGCTAAACGATACGTTCATGGCTTACAAAATTCTGGGATAATTCGTAAAAGGGAACCCGGAAACGGGCACTGCCACTCGGGAGATATCTGGAAAGATCTCAATTTGTTCGGCTTGGGAGGCACCAGCTTCGGAGAGTGTATCGAGAAGTCCGCGGTCCTGTGGAGCATGTTCCTCACCTGTCACTGCGAAGCGCCATATTATCGACTAACTGTCCAACAAAACTCTCGTCCAGTCGAACTGTTTCCAAAGTTTTCGGAATTCGTCTTCCCTTCGGTCTTTGCCTCTACTCCATCTCCCCTGCCTTTTGATGACATCGGGCTCGCAATCCAGCATCCCCCCGATGATTTCTCGGGCGAATAGATCACCCTTTGGCCACTTGTTCTCGTTTTCCACGATATGCCCCATGCCTCCATCAATTTCAAACCATACGTGAAAATATGGCGCTTCTTTCACCATGGATCTTCGGAACGCTTGCTTTCCTAAACCTTTTCGGGATAAGGATGCAGTATCAATGACTTTTTTATGCTGGGACCACTCTTCATCACTGGACAGAAACGCTTCCTATCGCAGTATGAGTTAACAGGTATAGACCATAATCGTTGAGGAGCATGCAATACTTACTTTAAAAAACGCTGGGGCCAGTTCGCCTTGTTCGAGTGGAAGGGGGATAACTTCAATCGCAGCATGTCGTTTACGGTGTGGGGATGCTGCATTTTCGTAGAATATGACATCTTGTCCTTGATCATGGTACATCCTAATAAGACATTTCATGAAGTTCTGCTTGGGTTAGCCAACTAGTACAACGACAGCTATGATGTAATACATACCCGGATCTCTTCCCACTCATCATCGTCGCATTCTAGAGTATTCGTACGGTGCTGGATTGGGACTATTGTTGCACCTCCCGGGGACAGCTCTGGCTCAGTTGGTAGTGTTAAGAACACCCGCGTACCGAGAGATATAACTGGCGCGATCGGCTGTCTGTTCTCTTGTGAGCATAATGGGCAGTTGTCTAGAATACGCTGCTGGCGTTTGAAATCGTTGATAGCCATATTCTTGATATCAATCTCGCTTTTCTGGATCCGGCTTGCGAGCTTGTTCGCATTCTCATCCATGTACTCAAGATCGTCCTACATCCAAAATTAGTAACTATCCCGTAATCAAGCAGCTAGAGTACTTACATCAAATTTAACATCTTTCGCTATCCTTTCGGCAGCGATACGACCCTCGTTTGTGTGCCCTCTCGTTCTCTTTTCCTCCCTTACCATATCGTCCAAGGTTATATCCTCATTCGCCTCCATCTTACCCTTTCTCCTACCACTAGTGATTTCCTTGGCTTCACTGCTCTTGCCTCCACCGGCAAGTAGCCGGGAGTCCATTGCAGACAATACTACCACATCGGACTGCTTTTGGTTAGCAAATGCGGCAAGGGCCGAATTATATTTTGCCTCGAGTTCCGCGGCTTTTGAATCACCCCGTAGCTGTGCCTTGAGCAAACTGGCTCGCAGCTTGTTTAGGGCCGATTGATCAATGATTTTAGTGATATTTTGGACTGGTTGATCTGAAGCTTTGATAACTTGCGGTGGTTTTGGCGATGGACTCCGTAGCCTGGCCTTTCCCAAGTTGCGCTGGGCGTACAGGTCACCAGTGGGATGCTCTTTAGAATCTTTTCGGTCCTTGCCATATGTCTCCCGTCGGTCGAGTTCAATTCTTTCCTCTCGGACCTCGTCAAAGCTTTGGAGATCTCCGAAGACTTCGACCCCGACACTGTCGGCACTGCGTTTCTCCTCCTCTGCTCTCGCATAGACATTTTTGAGCTTTCTCATCCGCCACTGGGAGCCACCATCACCGAATGTAAACGAGGGCCCGGTTGGCTTGGGCGGTTCATAATCGTCCATTGAAATGCCTTCTCGAAGAAATGTATTCAATTCCTTGGAGGAGGCTTTTAGCTGGTAGTCTTTAACTGTTTGCTTCACCGTAGTCGAGGTATCTTTTGGCTTCTTGGCTCCTCGCTGCAAGTATTCGACGTCTATGCCAGATTCTTCCATCCACGAATCTCGTTTTAAGGCCGGCGAGTCTAATTTCGGCGTTGGTAAACCTTTCTCGACAGGTTCCTCGCCGCCGGCTTCCTTTTCTACCCATAAGCCTTCGCCTTCTAATATCTCTTCCTCAGGTATATCGCCGGGTTTATCGTCTCTCTTCCGTTTTTCCCGTCTTCGGGAACTATCTTCATCATGATGTGAGTGCCGCGATCTATTGCTACTGCTATGATGTCTATGGCGGTCATGATCACGGTCCCTATCATGCCTCGATGATGATGAGCGATGGTGATGCCGCCTATGATGCCTATCCTCAGAATCACCTTCACGATGTGGCTTGTTCCTGTCTCCTGACCGATCACGGTCCTCGTTCTCGCGCCGTCTATGACGTCGTTCGCTATCATCATCTTCGCGTTCGCGATGACGTTTTCGGTCGTGGTCGCGATGCCGGGAGTCGCTCTGTCGGCTAGAGGTGGTCTCCATTGTAATAATCTGTATTATGGCTTGACGATTGGTATGGTCGAGATTTCGTTGTGGTCTGTTCGTTGGAGCGAGCTGCTTGTCCAGCGATTACCGTTTGGGTTTCGCGAGCCGCGGTTTTAATGATTTCTCTGCTAAGGAAGTTTCGATGACAAACCTTGCAAGCTTCAACCATCCCACTTTGCTTCAATCAAGCTTCAACCAACACCTCCTACGAACCACAGTACCTCACGATATCCAATAAATACATATTCTATCGCCACGCTTCCAACCGCGAAAACCTGAGAATCCATACACATCCGAGATACGGTTTACCCAAAGTTTAGAGCTTGAACCCCTCCAACATGTCGCAGCCACCAGTTATCATGGTAGTTGGCATGGCCGGGTCTGGCAAGACAACGTTCATGCAGCGACTAAATGCACACTTACACCAGAAAAAGGAACCACCATATATCGTTAATCTTGACCCGGCTGTCAAGAATGTACCATTTGACAGGCATATTGATATCAGAGATTCGGTCAACTACAAGCAGGTTATGAAGCAGTATGTAAATTAGATCCTTCCCCCGTCGAATCATTCACGATGCAGGAATGTATTCTTTATATTAGTCCAAGTATATACTCACTATGGATCGTCTAAAATAGATACAATCTCGGTCCAAATGGCGGTATTATGACCTGTTTGAATCTTTTTGCGACAAAGATCGATCAGGTTATGGGAATCCTGGAAAAACGGGCACCAACGATATCTCGGGTATTGGTTGACACACCGGGACAGATCGAATGTTTCGTCTGGTAGGTAGAATTCTATGATTTAGATAAGCTATATTTTGCTGACATCGGTGTGAAGGTCTGCCTCTGGGGCTATAGTTACAGATGCTTTGGCTTCAGCTTTCCCTACCGTTCTTGCATACATCATCGATACCCCACGAACGACATCTACGTCCACTTTTATGTCAAACATGCTCTACGCTTGCTCAATCCTATATAAAACAAAACTTCCAATGATCATTGTTTTCAACAAAACCGATGCCCAAGACGCCTTGTTCGCCAAGGAGTGGATGACGGATTTTGAGGCTTTCCAAGCTGCACTACGGAAGGAAGAGGAGAAAGAAGACGGGTCGAATAGCGGATACATGGGAAGTTTGATGAACAGTATGAGTTTGATGTTGGACGAGTTCTATAACCATTTGGATGTAAGTTTCCCGCTTTTATGGGTGTTTGTTTGTTCCAGTAACTGATATGGGGATAGGTTGTTTCGGTTTCGTCGATGACTGGCGCTGGTATTGATGAATTCTTCAAGGCTGTCGACTCAAAGGTGGAGGAATACAAGAAAGACTACTTGCCGGAGCTCGAGAAGGCCCGAAAGGAAAGGGAGGCAAAGAAAATGGCGAATCAAAACGAACAACTAGATCGATTGATGGCGGATATGAATGTTGCCAGTGAATCTTCATGGAAGAAACCCAAGAAGGATATCAAGGTCCCAGCGAGTGAACCGGAGATTGATACCCTCAGTGATGCAGCAGACTCGGATTCTGATGAAATTATGGAGGGAGAAGCTGATGTTGAGGATGATACAAATGACGGAAGGATGGGCAACCCTAGTTTGACCGATCGATATGAACAAGCATTGCATAAGGAAGGCCAGGAAGATGCACACGGTGAGAGTTTTATGAGATACTTAAATGCACCGAGGTAATATTTTGTCTCGTTTTCATAGATTACATTACCGCCCTGGTTTTCAGCATAGTAGGAGGCGTTACGTACCGGTTTGATAAATGTATACCACTGGAGCTTTTAGGTGCTATCTTAATTTTTCTCTATTATTTTAACCAGTCTTAGCCCAACCTCAAGGCTAACGCCTTTATCTATGAATCTGCTAAGGTTCTTGGTATCTGGAAATATCGTCCCCTAGCTTCGAATGTAGATATCTTATCGTCTTATTAACAATATCAATAGGTTTGGAGTGGTCGCCGCAGATATATTAATATTATAACAGCAATCGTATTGTACATATATTCCAAATCCTCAACATGCAGCATAGCCTCGAAGATGCCTCAAATATGATATTCACAAGCAGTACAACTAAAAGCACCAGTACTCATTCGTGCAATCATATGGGCGCCCTATTGACACTCTATCTGGGCCTATAGCGCCAAACTATCAACTCAGTGGCACACGAGCTGCACAACCAACACAGAATTTCGTTGGATTGCTTTGGTTCGTTATCACGTGACAATGACCCAAGGAAGTTTGTAGCTGTTCGCGAAACCTCATCATCGAGCTTTCTACATCTAACCACGCGATCCCAAATTTCCTCTCCGAACTACAGATTCCGCACTTCATTGCTCAAGTCGCCTGAATTCCAACATCATGAGTGCCGCAGAAAAGTCGCGCGGCCCGCCAAGGGTCAAAAACAAGGCCCCATCGCAGCGTTAGTTCCAAGTCATTCTGTTGCCTGAAAATCCAAACTAACATCTATCGATTCTTAGAGCAAATTTCCGCCGAACAGCTGCTACGAGAGGCCTTTGAAAGACAAGAACCAGGCGTTCAAGCACCCACCCAGCGGTTTGCGGATCTCGAAGAACTTCATGAATACCAGGGTCGGAAGAGGAAAGAGTTCGAAGACTATGTCAGGCGGAATCGGATAAACATGAACAACTGGATGCGGTACGCCGCCTGGGAGTTAGAGCAGAGAGAGTATAATCGGTGAGTCTGTCCTAATTTATTGTATTTTTTTTATTGATCTAAGAGGCTGATTACTGACGGTAGAGGAATACTATAGAGCACGTTCAATCTTCGAAAGAGCACTCGATGTCGACTCTACATCTGTACCATTGTGGCTACGTTATATTGAGGCGGAGATGAAGACCAGAAACATCAATCACGCGCGAAATATTCTGGATCGGGCTGTTAGCATCCTCCCAAGAGTCGACAAGCTGTGGTACAAATATGTTTACATGGAGGAAACCCTGGGGAATATTCCTGGTACCCGTCATGTTTTCGAAAGGTGGATGTCGTGGCAGCCGGATGAGGCTGCATGGGGTGCATATATCAAGCTCGAAAAGCGATACGGGGAACTTACAAGGGCGCGCGCAATATTTGAACGATTTACTCGGATACACCCAGAACCGAGGAATTGGATCAAGTGGGCGCGGTTTGAGGAAGAGAACGGGGATCCGGATCTCGTGCGCGAAGTATACACAGCAGCTATAGAACACCTGGGCGATGAATTCATCGACGAAAAGCTATTTATTTCATTCGCAAGGTTTGAAACGAAACTCAAGGAGTTTGAGAGGGCCAGGGCTCTATACAAGTTTGCATTGGATAGACTACCGCGATCGAAATCTCAGCAACTTTACAACAACTACACTACCTTCGAGAAACAATTCGGTGATAAGGAAGGGGTTGAAGATGTCATCGCTGCGAAAAGGAGAGTTCAGTATGAGGAATTAATCAAGGAGAACCCCAAAAATTACGACGTCTGGTTTGACTATGCTCGGCTAGAAGAGGCGCAAGGTGACGTTGATAAAGTTAGAGATGTGTATGAGAGGGCAATCGCCCAAATCCCCCCGACGCACGAGAAGAGGCATTGGAGGCGCTACATTTACCTATGGATAAATTACGCTCTGTTTGAAGAGCTAGAAACTAAGGTGCGTTGGTTGTACCCACCGGAATTTGGAGGATATACCTAACAGCAATATAGGACAAGGAAAGAACGGGGCAAATTTACAACGAGGCGCTAAAGTTGATACCGCATAAGTCTTTCACATTTGCAAAAATCTGGTTGATGGCTGCGCACTTCTACATTCGCCAAATGGACGTAACAAAGGCTCGAAAAACTCTGGGAACTAGCATCGGGATGTGCCCCAAAGACAAGCTGTTCAAAGGCTATATCGAACTCGAAAAGAAGCTGCACGAATTTGTTCGTTGTCGGACATTGTACGAGAAACACATTCAATTCAATCCAGCGAATACACAAGCATGGATTAATTTTGCGGAATTGGAGCGAGCGCTGGATGATATGGATAGAGCAAGGGCGATTTATGAACTAGCTATATTGCAACCAGAACTCGACATGCCCGAGCTTGTGTGGAAGTCGTATATTGACTTCGAGGAGGAGGAAGAAGAATGGGATAGGACAAGAGCCCTGTACGAACGTTTACTGGCGAAGACTGAACACGTCAAGGTTTGGATTAGCTATGCACATTTCGAGATTAATGTGCCCGAGGAAGGTGCCGAGGATGAGGAAGTGGTTAGCGAAGAGGCGAAGGATAGGGCAAGAGCTATCTTCGAGAAGGGCTATAAGAGACTAAAGGATAGTGGCTTGAAGGAAGAGGTACGTAATCGCTGTCGCCCCTTGTCAATAATCAAGATGGTAGTTACTGACATGTTCCAATAGCGTGTGGTTTTGCTCAATGCATGGAAATCCTTCGAACAGACTCATGGCACACCAGAGAGCATCCAGAAAGTTGAGGCACAGATGCCAAGGAAGGTCAAGAAGCGAAGAAAGTTGGACGATGACAGCTTCGAGGAGTATATGGACTATTTGTTCCCGGCCGACGAGGAACAAAATGCAGGGATGCTCAAGCTGCTACAGGCTGCCCACAAATGGAAGCAGCAGCAGGCTGGTGCGGCTTAGTTGGCAGTGTATTTCTTACGGAATATTGTTCGGTCCCGATGATGGCCTGAGACTCAAGCGAGATCTTTCGGCAAGGATTTCTATTTCATTACTAACAAAATCCCGGCAGTTGTTGTATGATACGAGATGTTTAGATATCGGGCAATGGCAGGTGCCGAACTAGCGCCTAAAATGCTTAATTACTTATACGAAAAGCTAAAAAGGCTCAAACCATTAATAGACAGGACACCGGGGTATCATATGAGTTAATGTGAAAATTTATGAAACTGGCGGGCTATATGTGGGCCGCGAGACGGGCCCGAAACCGTATTGTTTAAGACCCTGTGGAGCCGTCAGAAATAACCATACCCGAACGCATCACGGATAAGGTCCAAAGGGTCTAAAAGGTCTAAAAATCATCATCACTCTCGTCACTATCAACGGCAGAGTTTTTTGGCTGGATAATCGGCTTCCCCTTGCGCTTATTCTCTCGCATTTGTAGTATCTGTTGGTAGGAAGAGTCTGCCTGTCAGCTAATCGGCCGTTGCCGTATATAGGTATTTAAACCTGGCAGTGCTAGGATTCGCATCACATACCCTTTGTCTGATATCTCGCTCCTCCTTGCTTATGGTGGACCTTCTTGGATCCTTCTTGGAAATCGTCTTAGAGAGCTTAAATTCCGAATTGCCTTTCTCCCCGGGGTCGACAGCGGAATTGCTGCGTGAGCGCTTCTTACACTCCCGCTGTTGCTTCCGGCGAAGGGCACGGGAGACATCACTGGTCGGAACCTCAGCGGTTCGAGCCTGTAAGAAAGACGCTAAGGCGGTCGAGGCTATTTGCTTTGTGTGTGTGGCTGAAGTCATGACTTTGTGTGTGTATGCGCGGATGTAAGTAAGTACTATCTATGGACGTACATGTACTTACGTACACAGGATGTACTTCGCGGCTACTTCGGGGGGGGGGGGGGGGGGGGGTGTGGCTGGATGGTTCTTTTTGAAAGCTTAGGTGTCTTGAATCCTGTATGAGGATGGGTATAATTATAAATACAGATACGAAGCGGACGATGCAAGATTTTGGAGGAGAGGTTAGATATTTCCCAAAGTAGAAAAAAAAGGTAATGGCGCAGATGGCATAGCGCTTGCGACAACAACGCAACGGTTTCTGGACTTTCCTGTGCATACCTTCCTCTTCGAGCTGGGGTACCAATCAATCTCGACAGATGAACCTTGGATTGACCAGCATAGCCCCTGCGTCTTCTATGTACTCGGACGAAAAGTATATATGCTTACTTACTTATGTATGTATGAGCATGTTGATAATGATAACTGACAGTTGAATCCCCGGAGTGGGGTTTTTGACAGGATCGCGCAGCCCATTACATTCTGGTGTCGTGATATCCACGAGAGATCTCTCCCCTGTGACGGCAGGCCCGTCGACTTGCCAGCCCGGCATTTTCGCTGATGCTATCTTTGCATACACCACACCAAGAAAGAGTGGGTCCTTCTTCGCAGATAAACTCATGCCATTATCGATCGCGGGGATTTTATTCTTACTTCGACCTGTTCTGACCCGGCTGGCCGTCTTGGGCCAAATCCATGCCCGTCACATCATGAGCCTCAGCATGTTTCTCTATTAGCTATTTGAAAACTATATTTACATTCCAACTTGACAATACGAGCATTTCCAACAGCCGGAACCATCCTCTGGCACTGTTCCCGATCCATCCGGTATTTTGAATCCGGAACCACGGCATTCCAGAAGTTTGTCTTCGTCGGTACCCTCAAGCTCCCAAGGCAATTCCAAATTGCCAAGTTTTGACCCAGGTCGCAGGACAAACCTTGCAGTAGAGTATGGGGAAAATTGGATGAAGGGCCGCCAACATGAGACGGCTAAGGAGCCTGGGAACAATCGCCCGGGATTTGGTGGTGGTCACACAAGGCTGAACGGACGGCATCACAGACGAGGCCAGAGGCTCAATCGAATCGAATCTACCGTACTCCGTACATTTTGACTGCTTTTGAACTCGTTGTACCCCTGCCAAACACCTACAGTACATACACTTGACAGGGGCCGTCAATTTCTACCCGTCGTCGTCCTTCTACCTTCTTTCAGTGTCATATTCCCACATGGCCGTGGAAAGACCGCAGGCACCTTTACCTTGATTCAGCTGCGCTTTCGGGCTGTCATATTTTGTTCGACAACAAAGTCTACATATTACTAACGCTATGTATGTATGTTGAATGTATACACACTAGCCTAAGCTAAGGAACATTACCAATAGCTCCGCACTACTCGTTTTACGGAGGACTCGCAAATCGATGAGACGAATTCGGACCCCTATGTACTAGGAAACCTCCTCAGAAGGTGGGGATCTTTACCATGCTAGGGTAGAGCTCATTCGTTGAGTGCTGTTTCTACCTGTGCCGTCTGGGGCCAGGTAGTCTGGTCCGTGGGTGCCCCGTGGTAATGAAATGTGGAAGTCGACTGATGGGCGATTGGTGGGGCCCCAAATAGGTTTGGGTATGCAAAGCCCAGCCGCATAGCCTCTTTTGAAGCTGCTAATTTCAACGAACAATCACGAAACTGACAAAGCTAAGGAGAACACCACTACCAACTATTCCCTTTCAAGACAGAACTAGAAAGGGACACCCGAACTCTCACAGTGACACTCTGCCCTGGTCATAATTTTTGTCATGGTCACTCCTCTTGCTATTATGGAGCCGCCTTTGGACGAGCCCTATATGCACGATGGCCAAGGGGCCGCAGGAGCGTGCAGAGAAGTACCAAGTTCAAAAATGCTCTTTGATTTAGTTACGTCGTGAAAAGCTGGAGCTTGCACCTCGATAACCACACAGACAAAAACGTGGTGGGCTCTTTATTATAAACCTAAGACCAGGCCTCCGTCGTCAGTTTCAGCCTTTGTTGCTGTTAGGTAGCTAACCGCGATACATAAACTTGCTTCCCCCCGCCTTGATTATCCTTCCGGCCCAACAACTTCTTCCTGACCTACAAGAGATTCTATATTTAAGAATATCGATCTGTTACTTACTAAGCCGTTCTAGTATCCTTTGATATACCCTGCGGTATCTGCAGCAAACAACCTTATCCTATACATTTTGTATAACAGTTTCACAACATCCCACCCGTTGCATTGGGTGCTTGTACTACCACTCACCACAGATCATTCTATTTCCTTTTCTTTAAAAAATTTCCTATTAATATACGTTTCCAACCATGCGGATTTTTACATTGCTTGCTGTTGCCCTAACAGCATTACAAGGAGTTGCAGCTGTCTGTACTTGCCCGGAAATTGCAGCAGAAGCTTTCGAATGTGACTTGGACGACACGGAATGTATTTGCGGAGCGGAAAACTACTTAGAGGTTCTCAATTCCTGCTCGAGATTTCGAAGAGGGCAAGAGTGTTCAGAAAGAGACATACAAAGAGCCACAGATTCTTACAACAGACGGTGCGCGGGTGAATCGAGTACTACCTCAGCTGCCCCTTCCTCGACAAGTCAACCACCAATATCTACATCTAGTACTTCAGGACCTACGACCACAGACGAGCCCACAAGCTCAACGTCTGCGCCCTCTTCATCTTCCTCCCTCTCCTCCTCTTCATCGACTTCTTCTCTCACGTCCTCTGTGTCTTCGACAGCAACTATGTCACCAACAAACACCGCAGCCGCATCTGGTTCCAACAACAGCAATTCTGGATTAACAACCGCCCAAATTGGTGGTATTGCAGGTGGAAGTGCAGGTTTCATTCTCATTGTAGCTTTCCTTGCAATATTTTTCAAGTTCAGGATGTACAAAAAGATTGATAAAAAGGAGGATGCCGAGAGGAACGTCGAAGCCGAGAAATTCATGGACGGTGGTAGGCAGATGCGTGCTGCTTCTTTGGCTCTTGCCAGCGACCGTCTCTATAGCACTCAGAGACCACTTTCCCACGCCCTTGGTGAATACGATTCATCAAGATACGAGGCCGAAGACGGCGACCAGAGCCCCAATGGTAGCACCAATGGCAACTACTTCAATAGATTTAGTGGCAATCATGTCGAGGATTCAGCCAGCGCATTCTCTGGAAGCAGTCCACAGGGTTACCACCCCCCTTCTAGTTTCCGTAACAGCCAAAGATCATCTTCAGTACCGATGCATAGCCCAGGTGGCCAACCGTATCCCACAGCTTCTTTGAGTTATGAAGAATACAGAAGTCAAGCACCGGGGTCCTCTGGGGAGAGATCTAGCCTGATGTCTCAACAATCTCAACCTGGAAACCCAACCCCCCATAGATCAGTTTCCGCTCCACTTGGACAGATGCAGATGCCTCGAATCTCAAGAAGGCCAGTCGGCAGCTCACTAAACGGTCGCTGAACATCGGGCTCATTCAGCCCATAATTCTTTTGGCTCTCTTGAAAGAGAACCTTGAAGATATAGTTCTTTATCTTGTACAATTGTTTCGATACCGTAAATAAGCCCTACCCCTTTACATTCACTCGTAACATAGTTACCTCAGTGCAAATGTTTGCACCTACACATTTCTTACGATAATAACTTTTTCTTTTTCTTTCTCTTTTGGATGATCATTACGGCGTTACCAGCGGGCATGTTCGGAGTTCTACTATTTCACAGTTTTATGATTTTATATTATTATTATCATTATGATTATTACTTTTACCATTATCCTTACACATCTCTTTCTATATCGATACCATCATAGAAACCTATTCATTCTTTGTATCTACTTGATAAAACCACAGAATTGACCTGGGCAATTTTATTTTCCCGTATAACGAACAACAGATTTGTGCTATTCAGCATATATTGATATATCGGGAAGCGCCCAATCATTATTTTTCCTTTTGGATCAGATCTAATGTCCGGCACAAAGCCAAAATCCTTTGAGCCAAGTTGTTCCACCATTAATTAGGTAGCAGATTCAAAACTAGTCTCCAGAATCTTTAAGCTTTTGGACTACCAGGCTAACATAACAGTCTAGTAGCAATTACAAGATAATTCGAAAATAGTAACAAAGAAAGAAATCGAGTTCCAAAGAGGTCCACCGGCTGAGCCTCACTCACGTCACGCCATTTGCTTTTTAGCAGCATCCGATACCCGAGTCAGTCCGAGGCCCTTTTAACCCCTTCTCACTTATAAGAGAGAGACCCACAGTTGTACGGGAAAACTCTCAAGTGTTCGACATGCACGGAACAAAGTGGGGCTTCAATTACCTACTTTACATAAGAAAGGATTCGATTTAAGAAGGGACTGCGAGGAAGCTTAGATTAGGTTACAGTCAAACCGATCTCCAAGAAGCCTAGCCGTTTCGCGCATACGTTGCAATTGAAACCGCAGACGTAATTCTATTTGTCGCCAATGCGAAAAAATAAAATAAAAAATGATAATAATTATAATCTCGCATCAAAAAAAAAAGTTACCCGCTTTCTGTGCATGTGGTATTGCCCGAATGTCTGGATATACATATATAGAAACTCTATGTTTTAGAGCATCGTGCAAGCTGGCAATATATGCGGGATTGCGAACTTGACAGGAAAGCGTGGACCATCTAATGCATCTGATCCAGCGGATTTTCACACCAAGCTGTGGCAAAGCCTGCCCAAGAACCTTAGCATACTAGCAGATGCTACCAACGATATCTAAAAATGCTTCAGCTCTCCCAGTTAAAGATATATTCAATCCAGCCAAGCTACGGGTCTAAGTTAGAATCCATCATTTCCTGTCTCTCTCCTCCCGTGCGAAGTGCGAATACTACACAACAATTACATCACAGCCCATAATTTTGCACCAAATATTAAATGCTACTTACTGTAAGTATACTAGCTCTTTCGCTCTGGACAATTCAATCATACGCTTTCGATAGGAGTAATGAGTAATCAGCGTCAATTTTTTTTACACATTGATAAATTCAATCCAACAACTTCGAGTCCGTTCGACCATGGCCAGTTTGCCAATTTGACTTGGTAGTGAGAGAGAGAGAGAGCGAAAGACCCATGACCATGCAATAAACAATCATGAACACGGGCCTGTCGATAGCCCTGGTGTCTGTCTATTAACCTTGCTTGCAGCCTCCCGACGGCCTCCTTTGGAACTATAGTGGAGCCGTCGTGACTAAGAAAATCTGGCCTCGTCTATCCAATTAAAATCTAGCAGAGCCGAAGAGGGTTTTCCTTGAATTCTTCGCGATCCCTCCGACCCACTTCATTATAACTTTGGAGGGTTGGTATAAAAGCCAAGATTGTTGGTTAGCGGTCCCGAATCCGGAGGGGTTTGAAAGGACAATGTCCAAGGATATTGAACTAGTACCCCAGGGCCTGGGAGCAAGTCTACTCTGTAAGGGATCGACTGATTCCTCTCGATTGATGCCAGTACTATTAGACTAGCTTTGTTACATAGGATATTCTCATGTTGGGCGAGTGTACTTAAGTACGTATGTAAGTACTTACATATACGCTATATACAGACTGGGATTTTTTATATACAATTGTTCTAGCCTTCAAGAACGCCGGTGCAAAAATGAAAAATATAGAATTTTATCTGAACACCAAGGGATTCTTTTCCTTTTCTTTCAAGGCCGCCAATGTAGTTCGCCCGAAATAGAAAAAAAAAAGATATGAGATGAGAGTTAATTTATGCGCAGAATTGTCAACCTTCGCCTCCGCTTGCTCAATCACCTTTCGCGACGTAGGTTTTAACGGCCCTAAATGCACGCAAGTTGGGATTTCGACCCACGTTCCAGCACAGCCGAATATTCTGCCTTTCAAGTTGCTCCACAAACCCAAAACCAACCATAACGAGATCGTCAAGATTGTATTGAGCCTAATATCGAAGAATGACAAATAATGCTCGCTTCCGAAACTGCAAGAAACCTTTATTTCGCTCGCCGATAGGGGCCGACGACCCTTTTTGGGGTTGTTTTATCGATAGAAGCAATTTCGGCGTCTGGAATAAACCCGACTTTTTGTACGTTTGCCATTGTGGTTTGCAGCAATTGACCATATTGCATTTATGAAAGAAAAAATTATTCAAATTCAAAGAGCTCTCTCCATGTGAACAAACCTCAAGGGTCAGGGTCGATGCAAAGCGAGGTGGGAGGGCCAAAAACTCAATCAAGCCCCGCGGTCGATATCGGCCCCTCGGCAGCAGTATCTTCCGGGAGCACAAACCGTTTCATCCTTTCGACAATCCTACCGTCGACATGTAGTTCCTCTATCATTGTCTTTTCACGCAATGGTTCGTCCTTGCTGTCTTCAATATCTCCTGTAGATAATCGCTCCACCCAGCTTTTGGGCCAATCGGTCTCCTCGATTTTGTAAGCGTCTGCGATGTCTTCCCGCGCTTGGTATGGTTCGTAGGTACCTAACGCTATCGATGCTACTTCACGGGAAACATGCTCCATGAGGCGTCGTTGGGTGAGATATCTTTGGATACGGAAGGGAGTGTTTAGGAAGCCTAGAAGGTGAGGAAATGGTACTATTTTCGAAGGTTGGAAGGATGCCGGTACAGACGGCGGCAGTGATGCAGATGGATATTCGGCCTGAAGGATCGCAGGCGGGGGGAACTGAGGTTTCCTCGGCTTCTCCTTCTCAGAGTCTTTCTCCGTCGAACTTCCACTCTCTGTAGGTTGGCTTTCTTGTGTAGTCTCGGCGGGCAGTGCATCCGATATCGATGAAACCACAGGTTGTGGTTCAGGTACATCTTTCTTTTCCTTCACGGGTTCGTCATCGATGATATCGGACGGCCCTAACCATCCCTCATGCAACCCTCGTACGTACTCCTTCCACGTATGCCGTCCTACGACGACAACCCCGCCAGGCCCCTCTTCTCTACTGAGACCTGCCTGCTTGCCATGAGCCATGATAGCCGCTTCCTTCTCCGTACCCTCCGAATCATCCTCCCCTCTTCGAAGTCTCCGTGTTCTCTCCGCCACCTTCCATCTAATCTCGCCGGCCTTTCTCCCCTCTACGACTTCGTAATCCACTGCCGCCGAAACCAGGACCGGTTTCACATATTCCTTAAAATACTCCCGTGCACTTGTGATCCCATCCCCGGGAGGGGATGCAAGGTATATCGTAACTTTCCGTGGTAGTTGGTGCGGCGATAAAGGTCGTTCGGCGAGATGGGAGACCCTGTCGCACCAGTACTGCTGAGCTTTCTTCTTTTCGCGACGGTCGTAAACGATTAGACCCGTCCAAGTACTGACGATACCGATGAACACGAGCCAGGGTTTTGATGGAAGTTTCGCCTTGAATTTCGGGAGGCCTGGTGATAAGAAAATTAGCACTCGTATGATTCAATCGGTGATGATTTGGAGAAAGAACGTACCCAACATGACATGTTCAAACGCCGGGTTCGGCTTTTTAGGAACGGGAGCATCCGCCATTGTGAGTGTGGTAATAAAGGTGGTTTGGTGGGGTGGTATTGAAGTTGTTGGCCAGGAAAGTTTGAAATTTTTATGTCGAAGATACTTTTAGCGACGGGCTATCGATACGAAAAGGAAAAAGTGGACAAGGATCCCACGCTACATTTCAACGTCACTACATCACCTCTGATATCTTACGGATTTATACAAGCAATATCCTAGTAGACTGTGGACTTCGTTCTTTTCATTGTATAGAAGTAGTATCTATCTATCTACTATCATGCGTATTGACAGATGCTTTTGGGGATTTGGTTTTACCATAGCACATAAAACGCAACGCCGAACAAATATCAAGCCCAGGACTCCAGAAGACGATGCAATGTAATATCTTCATGACATCGAATAAATAATTAAGGAAACGTTACAAAGTCATGATATACATGAGAAAGTGATAGAGTGACGGCGGGAAAAGCGGAAGAGGGTGGAGGGAAAATCGCTAATCATGATTAAAAAAGCATCCGTGACGTTTGAACCCTTTAAAATCTGGGGATTCCACCGTTCAATGCGAATAGCTTTGCGCTGCTGGTCGCGGTGACACCATCAACTTGTCTAGCATACTGTTCAACCTGTCGGGAAATAAGAAGAGAATCGAGTCTGCTTGGCTCTTGTGGGAGCTTGAACAATTTTTGCCATTCATCCTCAGCCAGTGGTGGGAGTTTCTGAGCGGCTCGGACTGAGTTTTCAGTCTTTCTCTTTTGCTGCCAGGCGGTTATTTTTGTTTGTTCACGGGCAAGAGATCGCTGGTAGTATGCTGCATTGTTTGCTTCGGTATTATGAGCTTCGATCGATTCAAGAATGAGGTCACAAGACTTCTCCAAAATCGGGTCGATCGTGAGATCTAGGGCGTTAAAGTTGGTGCTGACGGGAAAATTTGGTTGAGGATATGTTGGTGGGTTAGTCAAGGAAGAGACAGAGACGGGCAAATTGCTGGGTGGTTGAGGAGGGATGGAGAGCTGATGGAGAAGAGATATGGCCAGGTGAGAGTTGTAGAGAGTCAATGGAACTTCCTGAAGGATATCCTTGTAGGTAAGATTGTGCTTGATCAAGCTGTACACACGTAGTCGATTAGTATTTTTTTCTTTCTTTGATGCAAAGGATCCTATGGAAGCTTTGTCTGCTTACTTTTCACTGGAGAACTTGTTCTCTTTGTATGCTACCATGAACTGTGGGGTTAATCGATAGGCCTTGATGGCAAGCCCGCCCTGCGCGCTCCTTGTGCTATCGTAAATCAAAGCCACTGTCCTCTCATTCATCTGGCTCTGATAATGAGCTTGGTTCTCGATGAAGTTAGAGTTGATGAAGTTCCCCAGTGTCGTGCTCTGATACCACCCGACATTGTTGGCATCAACATTGACCTCTCTGAGGCACTTGATCATCTCATTCTGATACCACATCACACCCTTGTTCTTAGGTGTAAGGGCCGACGAGCTACTGTCGTCACCTTCGGCAGAGGTTGGGAACGGGAAGGCATTGGTGATTTGAAGGACACCATCGACCTCCATTCCAAGAAGGGAACCATAGACGGTTGTTGGATAGACGCCAGTGGCATGCTTAACAATTCGGAGAGCGACAAGCGCGTCGACGCGAACGCTCTTAATTGTCGATATGTCGGCCATTGTGGGGTATATATCCGATCAAAGGGTGATAGATATAAAAGGCGTCTGGGTCGGTCGGGTCGGGATGAGGTGAAGTTGGAAATTTGGTGTGGAAAAGAAAAGATAAGCGATAAGATCCAAGCAAAAATGCAGCTGTTGGAGGGCTATTTTGCCCTGTATGGTCACGTGACCAACAACCTCATCTACAACACAACAACACAAGGCACAACACATATTCCCGATCGTGCGCCACAACCTCATTCGTGATCATGATCTGTATGTGCAGTCTGCACATGGCACTTACTTATCGACATATCAGCGGATAGAATACACGTACGACCTGCCTTGGAATCCCCACCCGAAATCACCGATGTGGTATATATTGGCTTTTGACCTTTGCGGACTGGGCATCATGCGTTATCGTCACAGACCTTCCCAAAACCAGCCTATTAGCCTCATAACTTCAAGGTCAAACTCGGCGAGCAGATGTGATGTTTCGGGGGGCTCACACTGAGGCGTCAGATCGGTACCTCTCAGACGCGAGAGGCTGCATCTGCGAGTTTCTAGAACGTTGCCGCTCTAAGGAGGTGGACCTGCCGCATGTTTCAATGCAGGATTCCATTTAGCTTCCTTCGAATCTCGGGTTTGCGGCAACACGATTCAGTCCTTATGCAGGTTCACACGACACTGTTCTTGGAATTCGATTTCGAATTTTGAGTCCGGACTCCAGGCTGCGTCCTCTCTTACACGCACATGTCAGATAGCCTGCACTTAGGGATGGATATTTACACTAGATCCATGGACCTGCGAGCATCCATACCTTCTTACCACTGTCCTGATTGCCGCATCAGGGCCCACTCATTATGGCGGAGTGAGACTGTGCTAAAAAACGGGCAAGTCGAAACCATACCCGCAGAAACTTCAAGACTATCATCAGCGCCAGGAAAAACCAATCATCTCCGAAGATACTATCAAAGAGCCAAGGCCAAATTCGCGCATGAAAAGAAAAGAAGCAGGGCGGAGACATCTTGCCGTAATAAATCAGATCCAGGGCAGTCGCCGCCTATTCGCAGCTTCCAAAACCATCCTACCAAGACCCTTCGCGAGGATGTCTTGGAAAAAACTTGACCCCTTCGCTACCTCCCACCTCTAGACATCTTGTTTTGCGGCACGCTCCTATCGCCAGGAGAAATTAATGCGAAGGAAACCATTTAGAAATTGCGGTGTAACGATGAAAACTTCATAAATACAGAGGGATCCCCCCCCCTCGTCGTTCTTTAGAAGTGTTTATCGATCCTATATTCCGCCCAGGCCATGCTATTCCTATCTTTGCCGCTCCACTGATTTGTGTGCGCCGCATCCGCAGTTCTCGAAAGCTTGATTGAACGTCGCGAGTTCATTTCTTTATAATATATTTTTTTTCCTTCTAATTAATTCTAACTTTAATTCTCGATCTTTTCCTCCACTATTTTTTAATCTAGGCGGTCCGACATGAGCATGTCTGAAAAAAGCACTTCAGACGATGCCTTCAAGGATATCTCGCGAGACATAGGGATCGCTTGCAATTCTTCCTTCTCGGACAACTTCTCGTCTGGTACGGGCTCAGTTGTAAGTCAATGGATTTTGTGACTCCTTTAACATGTATATAATATCTAGTAAAGAATCATAGTACTAAATTTTAAACTTTTGGGTTAAATAATAGGTTGAACTCAAGAAGCGCTTCAACTTATGGAGTTGCCTTGCCATGGAATTCGCCTCTATGGCGACTTGGGCTTGTCTTTATGTGACTATTGGTGTATGTCTACAATTTCTAAAAACTGTCCAAGGAATATTCTAGGCGGGTCTAATTCGATACTCATTTGGTTCACAGACTTCAATTGATTGTGGCGGTCCAGTTGGCCTCATATATGGAACAATACTCGTCACTATCATGAACACATGCATGGCAATGTCACTGGGCGAGTTCGCCTCGATCATGCCCAAAGCCGGCGCTCAACAACTCTGGACCTTAGTCGCAGGCGGGAGGTACGGTCCTGTTATTTCATACTACGCCGGGTATCTCAACCTTCTTGGAGAAATCGCCATGTCTGCATCCTGCGCCTTTAACTCGGCCCAACTTACCGGCGCGGCTATCGAATTCACCCTTGGAATAACCTGGACCCGTTGGATGACTGTTCTGCTATACTGGGCCTATCTTGGTGTCTCCCTCATTGTCAACTTCTATCCTCGTTACCTCAGCTCCTTTAATATCCTCGGATTCATCTGGCTGCTTGTCACCATGGTGGTTACTATGATCTTGTTCTTGGTCTTGGGCGAGAAAAAGCAATCTGCGGAATGGGTGTTCGGACAATTCATCAATAATACCAACTGGCCTGATGGATTTGGATACTTGCTCGGATTGTTGCCAATTGTTTATTCTATGGTATGTTTTTTTTTATACTGAGTCAGTTGTTTATGTGCTAGAGTAGAGTCTAACGACCCTAATAGTCCGGCTTCGACAATGCGGCTCACTTGGCTGAGGAACTCGAAGACCCCGAAATCAATGCTCCTAAGGCTATGGTTGGCTCTGTTGCCATTGGAGGTGTCAGCGGCTTAATCTTCAGCATCATCATGCTTTTCTGCATTCAAGACGTCGAAGCTGCCCTAAACTCTTCTCAACCATATGTCAAGATGTTCATCGACCTGTTCAAGTCTCCAATGGCTGGATGCTTATTCGTCTGTATCATCGGCGTTCCAATAAACATGTTCGCAGCGGCATCGATTACTGCAAGCTCATCTCGTTTGGCATGGGCAATGGCATGTGATGGTGCACTCCCTGGGAAGAAGTACTTCCGTAGATTATCAAAGGAGAAGGCTGTTCCAGTTAGGACCATCATGCTCTCTGCAATCTGCCAGGCTTCTTTGGGGATCATTGCGTTCGGAAATGAGATGGCTTTTGAAGCCATCTTGTCCGTCGCAGTTATTGCGCTTAACCTCTCGTATGCCCTGCCAGTCTACTGCCTTTGGGTCAAAGGAAGAGGTATTCTTGATACTATGGAACTTAGAGGTTCGCAACCTGGGTTGGGTATGGATAGACGATGGAACTTGGGGAAATGGGGTTGGGCAATCAATATTGCGGCGGGTATCTGGCCAGCTCTCTTGAGCGTCCTGTTTTTATTCCCCGTTTACCTACCAGAAGTTGGACTTGTATCTGCTGAAGAAGCGAACTGGAGTGTCGCAGTCCTCGGAATCACTATGATCATTGCCACAGCCTATTGGTTCACCTACGGGAAGAAGCAATACCGTGGACCGGTTACATCGCACTGACAATTGCTGTTACATACTCTTACCATAATACGTATAGTATGTATTAATATTTTAGCTAGTTGGAGAGTTTGGAAGAGTGGAAAGGGGACTTGGGAGGTGTTAATTGGGAGGCAGTTGGGCTATGGATTTGTAGAAGGGGTAATGTATATACTAATGATATGCGAAGGATTGCATTTGCTTTTGGGTTTTGGCGTTCTGGAGGGTTTGGACTCTTCTTCTTCTTCTTCAGCGATAGCTTCTTGTATCTACATTTACTTCGGCTTCTTCCTGTATATATATCTGAATTCAAGCGTTTTGATAGACACATTCATGCTTTGCATTTCATTTCATGTTAGTTCTTGTCCACATTGAAAAAATGATAAGTGCTATCTGAGCCGGTTTAGCTCAGAGTAATATGTACAGATGCGACCCGCAAATCGTTTCTTGCGGTTGTCTCCTGTGGCAAAGTAATACCCTTTTTCTATCAGAGAAATAAAACACCAGAACGCCCGGTAAACAAAATAAATATTAGTTACCCCCAAAAGCATTCGCCCACTTTTAACTCCAAGGAGAAATTGTCGGTAGCATACGACATCCCATCTTAAGACACAATACATTCTTCGTTTACCTTGCCTCCTCGTCGTGCGCCATGACGTGTTTCGCGTCCTCGCCCAAGTCATTTTCGATGACTTTCTCTAACAACATTTCCTTCTTGACCCACGCCTGCCGTCTCTTCTCCTCTAGCATTTTCTTCTCGGCCTCGAGCTCAACCGCTTCTTCCTGTGCCCATGCTAGCTTTCTACGTAGGAGCCTGTATAGATCTGCTGGTGGAAGCTTCGACTCGTCGATATCGAATCCATCCTCAGGTTCGTAATAATTTACCTCCTCTTTAGGTTTTTTCTCCTTGCCGTTCTGAATACCATTCTGACCTCCAGTCGAACCGGTACCTGCATCATCGTCCTCATCGGATGGTGGTACTGGAGAAGGCGATAGTGATGAGTATTCATCTTCTTTACCGTGTTCCATGTGGTCGTGTAGATGAGCTGAAATGTTTAGAGGATGGTTTGGATGTGACTTCGGAATTGGGTCTGAAGGTCGTAGAGCTTCGGTTTCGTGAACGGTCCTCATGTGCTTGGCGAGGGCATCGGATCGGGTGAACGATCGGTCGCATTCTGTTTCTTGAATATTAGTAACGATACTCAATGTCGCGTGTGTGCTCAAGTAGAAATGAAAAGATGGAAGAATGGAAGGTCGCGTACCAGGTAAGGTGCAATAGAACGGTTTCTCTCTCGTATGGCTTCGCATATGGGCCTTGAGAGCGTAACCACTCGCATGCGCCATTCCCTTTCTCGTACAATCGTCCCATTCGCATGCGTATTTAGCTCTTCTAGTTCCGATATGTTCATCGTGGATGTGTCGGACGAGGTCGTCCATGTTGCCCATGTCCTTCTCGCATCCTTCCCAGCGACAGACGGTCACTTGTTCGCCGTGCTCGTCATCTTCGCGTGGAGTTCCAGGAACTGAGCCGGAGGTGTCGGAAGAGACGTCGGAAACGGCGATGGATTCCGGGGAGTGTGGTGCTTCTTCGGTGGCGTCGTCGTCGACTGCGCTCTCACCTTTAAATGCGGTGGAGGCGGTTCGTTTGACGGGGAGGATGGATTCGGCGGGAGGAGATGGAGAAGCGGAGAAGCTGGATAGTTCGGATGAAGCTGGGGAGGAGGCCATCTTCGATTTTGTGTGACGGCGGGTCATTGGATGGGATGATGTTTTGGCGATGGTGAATGTTTGATGAGGTCGTGAACGGTGGCGTTTAAACGGTTATCGCGAACTTGTCGCCAGCCATTTTTCCAGTCGCATCCAAAGGTCAACTACTATTATGCCCATGCAATGCTAAGTTTCCAGCGGTTATTTTATCGGTAATCCTACTTAATTGCAAACTCCCATCATTAATGATATTCAAGGCCTTTACAAATATAGTTGAATTTTTTATTATTATCGAAATTACCATCAGTTTTGAAGCCCGAAAGTCAGAGGGAAATACATCACCATACCAATTTCCGAAGTTCGATCACGTGACACAGCTTTTCATGGCTGAGCTGGATGTATGGTCATGCGAAAACGATAATGTACAATAGCCCCACCGCTACTTCAATACTATAATTATACCTTGCAGTATTTCCTGTTAACTCTTCTATCTGTTATTACAATCTTAAGGTCTTATTTGTCGACTATGTGCATTGGTATCAATATTAATTAATATTCCGTTTTCAATCAGTTGCAGTCGAATTGAAGATCAGATGTCAACATCATGATTGATTGGACAATATTAATCGTGTAATAGAATTAAAACTTTCCTTCTCATCCTAATCAGAATAGGCCGGGCTTTGGTACCTCCTTCAAAGGTCACATGGCCTGGGGTTTGAAATCAACATCGCCCTCGCCAAAACAGTTGATTAAATGCTTAATGAGCATAACTATCTATATATATCGTAGGTTTTACTTAGCATAAACAAGCATAGCAACTAAGATGCCATTAATACAATTCTTAGCTTATTTGCTGCCAAAGCCCTATATAACAAGGAGTTTCTCTAAGACTTTTAAGGTAAACAGTTCTCGACTCGGTGCGATTTTATAAGAATGAAGGGGAGGAATAAGTTTACCTCCTTCGATTTCAGAAGGCAGTCTAGGTAAGCAGTGTTATAGACTATTAGGTATATACTATTCAAGATAATCTATATCTCGAAGATGATCGTATTCATATTCCATATAGAGAGCCAGTCAGCAATCGATTAAGAGCTCTGGATACTCCCGCGTTGTTCATGTTGTATTTTCTCGCATAGCAAAGTCGAACTCGAAACCTCATGACACGTCGACACTGGATATAATTATAAGTAGGTCTATTAGTATTGAAGAAATCCTACAGAGTAGAGTAGAACTATATCGGTCAGGTTAAAAAAAAAGGTCATAAGTCCTGAGCATACGACAATGTGCTGATCAGACAATTACAGCTACATAAGCTTAAGCTTGAGAGTGGCGCACATTTGAGCCTCCCAGAATCGGCTATGACGACAGCCTGCATGGCCTGATCGATAAAGCATGCCCGGATGGAGCATGCACAGGTTTGGGCCGACATGATAGATCCTGAAATCTAACCGCCTTCGAAGGCTCCCATTTAATTTAAACAAGTCCGATCCTTCATCCTTATGTACTATTTTGACTATCACATCATATAGCGCTATATAATTGCATCTAGCTTCAATACATTTTTCGATCTTAAGTTAACTGTCATACAACGCATCGAACAGCTCGAGCTCGAGCCCCTCGTCAACTTTCCTCGCATCAGCATACAACCCCGCAGCTGCAGTGCACTGATATCGATATCGATATCGATACCGCGTGTTATTTGGCTTCGCAAAGTTGACTGGATCCAGTAGGAAGCCAGACATCTAGAGCTTCCATTCTACTTTCTCATTTGTATAAAATTTGTAAAAGCCATATCATATCTCGATCTTCGACTTCTAGCGTCTAGTTTCTGCAGTACCGACATCATTTTGATTACCTCGTTTGTGTAACATCCAACAGTACTCCCATCGATTCCAACTTGGAGCTGAGGTGCCGACTATGCAGCTACCCCTCCGCATAGCCATCCTTGAGACGGAATCCCCGTCCCCAGATTTTCAGTCGAAATACGGCAGCTACGGAGATGTCTTCATTCGGTTTTTGACCAATGCGGCGATAACTTTAAGCACAAATCCACCGTTTCACGCCGAAGACCTACAATTCTCGAAATGGGATGTTGAAAGAAATCCAGATTACTACCCGGACATCGAGGAGGTCGATGCGCTTCTGGTTGTTGGACATCGTATGTTTCTTTCTATTTCTTTCCTCTTTTTTTTTTAAACTTGCACGACCGATACATAGTATCTACTACTTCGTCATGGGAGATATGCAGCTATGGAGACAACCGGCTGACATCTTTCGTTTGAGAGGACCACCTGGGCCCCACTGCTATGGATTCAACCCCATGGATTCTCAAACTTGTAGATTTCGTTCGTAAAGTCCTTATGGAACAGGACAGGGTTCGCGTCATTGGTGTCAATTATGGCCAGTTAATTATCGGAAGGGCTCTCGGGTGTGCCATCGATCGAATGCCCGGGTGGGAAACATCGTCGACCACGATTAACCTAAGTGAAGTTGGGAAGAAAATCTTCGGGAGAGACCACCTAGTACGTTTCAGACTGTTCCTTTTCGAAGACCGATACGCTAAATACATGATATATGTTATTACACTACTAATTCTACTGCTCCATCTTTTAGAATCTCATGCACCTCCACAGAGACCACGTAGTTACACTCCCGGTCAATCCGTTTCCACAGCTCCCAAATGCCATCCTGGAAATACTGGGCGACTCCGATCATTGTGCAGTCCAAGGTCTTTACACTGCCAGAAAAGTCATTGCGCTGCAAGGTCTTCCGGAAATTGAGAGTGCTATGATGACACAATTGATACATGAGAGGTTACGGCAGGGACAAATGTCGAAGGATGTGGCAAATGATGCGGCTGCAAGGTCATCGCTGAGGACTGATGGTATTCATATTGGGGCTACCTTTTTGAGATTTTTGTTGGATCCGTAGTTGATTTAAAGCTACTACTTATTCTAACCTAACGAGTGTTAAAAAGCCATTCTGGATTTACTTCCTTGGGTTCTTTTTATTGTTCGATCTGTAGTTACTTGGTTTACAAGCAAAATTTTTTAATTTTTTGATTTATTAGCTTGATTGTATATGTCAATTCTAGTAATCTACCTGCCCCACAGTTTTACTTTCTATGCATGCTGGACGCCCCGCCTTGGTGCGACGGGAATACTAATGTATCTGCGATAACAACATTCTCCCTCCTTCCAGCTACAAACAGTACAATCTCCGCAATATCCTCTCCGGTCAAAGGTTCGACGCCCGCATAAACAGCGTCTGCCTTGGCTTTATCTCCTCTAAACCTCACAACCGAGAATTCTGTTTCCACTTGGCCCGGATCGATGACAGCAACTCGGATTCTAGAGAAAGGAAGAACGATTTTAACCACTTATCGAATCACTAGAATATGCGTACTATATTGACGGGCTGACATACCTTGTGCTAACTAACTCCTTTCTTAAGGATTCTGTAAATGCTCTTACAGCAGCTTTGGTAGAGCAGTATATCGACCCCCCGGGATACGGCTCTCGGCCTGCAATCGAACCGATGTTGATAATGGTCCCTGCGTCACGGGCTTTGAACAGCGGGATAACGGCCTGTGTCATCTATTATCCAAATACAAAGGACTTTAGTACCTGCGCATTTTGCAATTGGATTACCATCTAACCACTTACATTTATCAAACCAGTCACATTGGTATTATACATTATGTTGACATCTTCCTCAGCAATATCACCAACATGTTCCAATCCCTTCACCAAACCCCTAATATAATAACAATCTTAGCTCATGGTGATCGAACCCCTTTATAATGTATATATATATATATATATCTTGGTTTCAACTATGGGGGAAAAGAGGGGGGGGGACCACTTACGCATTATTAACCAAAATGTCAAGTTTATCTTTCCACTCCTCCTTCGGCAGCTCTGTCCAAAACCTCTTGATATCCGCCGGATCACTAACATCCAACTTCTTCACCAATACCTCCACCGCACCCGATACAGTTCCAATCTCCGTCTTGAGCTCCTCGAGCTGCTCTTGTCGACGTGCGGTAAGGATCAACCGGACATCCGGAGCGGTCTTTACAAACTCCAAAGCGGTTGCCCGACCGATACCGCTAGATGCTCCGGTTATGAGAATTGTCTTCCCTGAAAGACGTTTGGCTACCGCGGAAGACATGTTGCGGTAGGAGGTAAGGTATGGTAGAAATAAGTTTGTTTGTTGTTTTGTGATAATGTTAATATGGGGTTTTGGAAGGGTGACTGCGGTTAAGGTTCTTGTCGCGCACCGAAGGGTGGTTATGAAGGGTGGCATGCAGGTTGGTATATATTAGAAAGCAAAAGGTGTCTACGAATTCCGCCAATCCCAATTGATATACTTGGGTACTAAGTAAGTACTTGATTATAACCCGAGCCTTGGGAGGGGGTGGGGAGTCTAGAAGCTAATCAATTGGATATCAGCTCGGGGGCGGGTATCCGTGATTATCAAGCTTGATACCTGTCAATAGGTCCGGTTCGGCGATATGCAATGCAATACAATGGGTCAATGTGAGTATGAAATGAAATATGATAGAGTACGTATACTAGTTCCTAATGTAACTTTATGTAACTTTAGCTTTATCGTGTCGACATTTTATCACTTGGTGACGTTTTAGAGCCAAAAAACTAGGCTGCATTTCGGCACGAAGAGGTGACAAACCCCCACCATCTCGGACGGGGCCCAATGGAGGGGCATACAAAAGAGGATGGTGGCTCGGTTACAAGCAACGGCATCTTGAACTTCGGCCGGAGATTGTCCGTTGAAGCTAGTTCATAGACAACGCACAAAATGTAACAAGGACGTTCAGAGTGCTATTTATCTCTGCTAATTCGAACCTAGCTACTTGAGTAAGTACATACATATGTACTTAAGTGTGTATATACTTAATTTACTTATCTATAATCTAATTGTCCTTGATATGTTCTATAATCTCTAAATAAATATTTCTATGATACGCCTGTGTATATGTGAAAAAGTAATAATACAAAACTCCGTCTCCCATATGCGCCGAAACCCATGCCGTAGCCTTATCTAGTGTTAACTCTTGCACTGTTCAATCGAACAAATGACCCTGTAAGAAAAGAAGGGATGATAAAACAAATACTTTTCAAAGGATGTGAGATGTAGCAAATAATCCAGAAGAAAGAAAAAACCAAAAATACTGAGGTATAAGAGGTGAGGAATCATTCACGCCTTACACTTGGTCGCCCTTAAACGTTCAATCCTCTCTCTCATCCATCCACTTGTCACACCCTTCTCCTTCTGTCCAAGGGAAAGAGTGGTCGACAATCCGCACTCTTTATCTGTAACTCGCCATGTCAAGCATTCCTTCAACTTCTCACATTTAATACGACAGGCGTCCTTGACCTTCGGTTTTCCCTTACTGTCTTTTGGAACTTCAGCGTCGCCCTCGAATTCCTCCAACAAGGCTTTAAACTCAATCTTTAAACCATCCGCCAGGTTATCCCAGTTCGATTTGAGATCTGTGATTTCGGCGCTGACGAACTTTTCATACAAATCGCGATAAAGAATAGGTTTCTGTTATATATTAAAGAATATATTAGCATTCGAGATCACATAAACTATATATCAATCAAAGATATATTTCAAAAGCTTACCTTGGGAATAAGACCCATCTCCCACTCATGCAACATACTAACTTCCTTCGGCAACAAATGATGTAGCGTAAATATCGACTCGCACCACTCCTGAGGACGATGTCTAATCCCCCACGTCTGCTCGCCCTGAAACCTCGCATGTCGCTCGCTCCACATCTTCACCCCTTTCTTCTCCATCACCACCCCTAACAGCGCATCTCCACAGCAGTTATTGATGGCTTCGTCATCATAATCATCCAGATTAAACCCTTCGGGTCCACCGAATGTTTTCTTCATAGCTCCGTGACTAACCACGACACCGCTTCCACCGTGGCCGAAGTATGTGCCACCGTACATATTCCGACTGCCCATATACCACGCCTCCTCGCTGTCGAAGTTTGCATTAAGCCAGCGGTTTAAAGCATTCCAGAATGTAAAGCTATCGGCCTCGTAAAAGATATACCACTTCATATCCGGATAATTCTTGTACGCATGTTCGAACATCGGGAGCCATTTGTATTTATCCAAAGTCCAGCCGCCCTCGATTTTTGCAGCCGCGAGGGACACTCCTTCTTTGTGAAGCTTTTGTTGTTCATGGTATGTTTTAAAGTGGTCGTGGTTCTTGAGCTTTTGTGAAACATTGGCGAGAATGTCTATTACATGGTGGCCTTGGATGGTTTCCTCGAGGTCGCTATAGATTACCTGATTCGGGGCATCGATTTGGCTAAGTCGGGTCATATGAATAGGAAGACGGTTCCAGAGAACTTGAGCACCAGTTTTAAGCATTAACAGGGAATCTTCGGCACCTGGAACCGGTAGAGGTTTGTGGTTTCGTTTGAGGAATTCGGCGGGGATAGTGTCGTCTATCCATGACGGCCAGGTACTCTGTGTCGGAACATGGTGTAGGCGTGAGCTGTAGAGGGAAGTGAAGGTAATGCATGTTACGAGGAGTATTAAGAATACGAAGGGGATTATGCGGAGGAACTGTGTCTTTGGGCCTGTGGTTTAATTTTGTGAGAAGAGTTCTAGTATAATTAACAAGGAAGATGATTAAACAAGCTTACTTGCTCCTCTTGTCGACGCCGCAAGTAGCGTATAAGAGTATTTCTCGGACCCGCCGAAGATATTCATCTTTGGAAATAGATTGCTGAAGATAATTGAAAGATAGTCTAATACTTAGTTGTCGAGGTAGGGCTAACCCGAAGGAGATATTAAAAAATAAGAGTAAGCATCAACGATAGCGGGATGCTAGAATGACTGTAACGATCGTATTAGAGTTATGGAATAATAAGCAAAGGAAAGAAAGAAAAAGAGAGAAAGAAAGAAAGAAAGAAAGAAAGCAGAGCACCCCTTGATATTAGAAAACCAGCAATGACAATAATAAGCGTGGTCAATATCCCACGAATATCAGGAGCCTCAACTGGTTCAATAAGAGGCGGGTACGCAGGTTACGTAGTATTCAATGCCCAAATTCGATCAAGGGCAATCAGAATAACAAAATGTAAAGGCAGAAGGGGGAAAAAAGATAACAAGGGTTGAGAGGACCCATGACGAACTGCTTCTCTTATAATAGAACTTCTATTATACCACTGGAAAGCGTCGTACCATCGGATTAATGCTGTTCTGCACAGCCATCCGGTTCGCGAATCGGCATCAGACGCAGCAGGGCCGATAGCACGGAAAGTTATTTCCAGTTCCGGGGTTTTGTCTCCCAAGTTTATGGGAAAGTTTAAGCTAATACCGACGTAAGGAGGGTATGTATGTCCCTGACCGGCCAGGAGGTGAATACATAACTTTAGAGAGTAAACTTCCAAAGTATATTTCTCTTAAGGCCGAGATGTCAGGGAGAGCTAAAGTTCAAAGAGCCCTCTTTTTGTCCGGCAATACCATGAACCAAAAAAACGAATAAAAAAAAAAAACGGTCCGAATGAAACTTACCAAAAACTGCGAGTATAAAAGGAAATAAATATAATCAGGATCAATAAAAAAGCCAATTCAAGCCCAATGTTCCATGGGGGGTGTGGGTCGCGAAAATCGTATCACGATAGAATATCTTGATATGATATACTATATAGAGCACGGCGGGTGTGTTGTTGGAGACTTCGAACGAGCCAACCACTCAGAGCCCAAGGTTACACCGCAGCACCCGCTAGCTTTCTTTCGAATTTGAGGCCAGGCCAAGATGTTTGGATGTAACTAGAGACGGGTGGGCCCACAGGAAGAAGGTGCGGCTTGCGTAAGCTATCGGTTGTGAGGTTTCGTATTAAAATTATCCAGGTAACCTTTTTGATTAATTAAGACTCTTGAGGAAAATGGGGTCGTGGCAGAGGCAACTGATTTTATAACAATGTATGCAGAATGTACCAGCGGAGATATAATATAAATAGATACCAAGTAGGTATATAGTAATGTCGAAGCAGTTGTCGGTACCGGTCGTTGAAGAACAAAGAATCGAACAAGGAGAATTGATCGGAACGGTTTGAATCAGATTAAATCATGGAGACAAGGCTTATTTAACAAAAATCTGAGTGCCGTATCGAATGTTCCCTCCCTCGGCGCCCCCAAAAACATGCATGATAGGCAGGAGAGAGTGAGAGAAGGCTCAAGGGTTTGGATACTCAGCCCAAACATCAACTGCAACCGTCTAACCAAAAGCAAATGGGACATCCTGACGAATACTTTTCCAAGGGGAAAGATATCATAGGTCGGTTGATTTGTTCCGCGCATGCTAGTGCATGGTCGATCAGGGTGAGACTGGTGTGCAGTATTTTTATATATATGTAAGTACCTACCAGGAAAGTACTTTAGGAGTACCCGGCATGACGCAACCTCTCGAATTCATATTAATATTCCAGAGTCGAGTGTTACAGATCTAGGGTCGAGTATTGTCAAGTCAATACTCACGGTCGGATACACTGTGCATGTTGAATTGTAAAGGTGGTACGGAGTAGATTTGATTCTGAGAAATCAGCATCTGGGTCCGATCGATTTATCGAGACTAGACATCGTTAATTAATATATACGTCTTCATAAGAATTCATACAATCATGATCATGATCATATCATCGACATGATGGCGCATATGCACACGAAGCTTAAGATATGCTTAAATTCATAATACATGCTCCGTACCACGGTATTAATTAACTACTTAATTGTATCTTGGTGTATTCCTGGCAGCACCGAACCCTGTTTGATTTTAGACAAGCCACCGGTGTGTCTCGGAAAGTGCTGAAACCAAAGAACTTCCTTGACGCACTCGACCTTCCCGAACGTACGGAACGGAGTACTCGTTTGAGACCTGCGTGCCATGTAGTACGAGGAATCCACGATCCAGCCTCGTTAGAACGCTGCACCCTGCAGGTCTTGGCCTCTATTGTTGAAATTTCGAGAACGCACGATCCAAGAAGTATGGCCAGCTTAACCGCCCATGCACCTGCAGTCATTAATTCATAAAATTTTCAAAACATCATTAAATCGGGAAACGAACTCCTACGTCCATGTCCAGAAAACAACCGTCTGGTATTCGGTAGTTTCGTTATAGTTAAGTACGTATCGAATAACGGGGAGGTTTTCTCCATAAGGGAATGAATCGGTGAGCTGGGTTCAGTACCTCACTCATAGAATCATAACACTATATATACCTATTTACCTCACTCGCTGGCTACGTACCTAGACAGGGTATCTTATATTGCAGTACTCCAATTATGTAATTCCGTCTGATGGCTATATCGATATATCAAAGAACCTCCAACTTGATGGTTAGTCCTGCAGTATGCTACCCATACACATGTCTGCGGGTATCACATGTCCTACAACGTTGCAACCCCGCCTCAAATCTACTATACTATTACTAGACAACATCCTGCCAGGGATAAGGGAAAGGGAGGAAGACACCAAAGAAGGAAATATAAAAAAACATGAATGCAAAAGGTCAAATATACAGTGAATGGTAAGCAATTGGCTAGGTTTGTGAAGACGGGTAACATCCGATATTCAATATCAGACTATGTATGGGATGCAGAGAAGAAAAGATATGCATGCTACATACACTTGGAATGAAAACATCTTATCTTGAGAGGTAGGAAGGCGAAAGGTTAGTGGTAGTTAGGTAGTCATTGAAAGGAAACCGCGATTCTCCTACTAGGGAGAAGACAACAACCCTCCATTCTCTTCGGTGAATCATTATTTTTTTTGAAGAGATTGATAGAAGACGTGGGAGGTAAAGAAATTCGCTTATTATGAAAAAGAAACCCAGAACCAAAAAGAAATACCAACCAAAAGCAGAGCTCATGATCGCCTGCTAAAGCTCAATGCTGACTTAGGAGGAATAAACACCATTGCAAAGGGCACACGGTAAAGCGGTTTCAAAAAAAAACAAAACAATAAAGGCTTAGAATCCACCATGACGGTTGAGTTGATCACTAAATAGAGTGCGTAAAAACCTGTTAGTCAAAGTCTGATAGTCCTGAAATGTGGGGAATCGGGAACGTTGACGTACAATCGCTTGTAAGTGTACCCAATGAAAGGCAGTCCGGTTTCCTCGCCAGGACCAGGTGGTTGAATGCTTCCTTGTGCTTGGGCGGCGCGCATGGCAGCCACGGCCGGAGCGTCAGGCACGTTTTCAAGATCATCAGTTGGAAAGTACGTAGTATCGGTCATGCTCTTCAGCTGGGGCTTGAAAGGTGCGTCGATTTGGCGGAGGCTATTCCAATCGACCCCGTTAAAGAACGGGTGACGTTTTATCTCCTCAGCTCCGTGGCGTCCAAGACGCTTATCCGCTGAAGTAATCAGAGAACGGATGAGATCTTCCGCTTCTGGGGAAAGATGGATTTCCTCTGGGAAGTAAAGACTCTCCTGCCAGTTGACAATTTTGCGATATGTTTCATGGGCTTCCTCGGCACAGAATGGAGGCCACCCTATGAGGCACTCGAACATAATAGTTCCGAGGGACCACCAATCGCACTCCTGTCCGTATCCTTGATGGATGAATATTTCTGGCGCAATATAGTCGGGAGTACCAACGGTTGAGTAGGCCATAACACGACGGGATTTGCGCCACGTATTGACTTGATTCCTGTTAGAAATTGTCAGGTGGATCGCGTCAATCATAACACTATTTCTGTCCCGTGGCGCAGAAGGAGCTTGGGCCTTCTCCAACAACTTCTGGTAGTACGCCTGGTCGTGGGTCTTATGGAATCCCGTGGACAAGCCGAAGTCCGAAAGTTTGATATGACCGTTTATGTCAATCAAAATGTTATCCGGTTTGATATCTCTGAGTGATTTTCACTAGATTAGATCTTACTCTAGAAGTAGGGGGTAAGGAATAGGTTTACCGGTGGATGAAGCCAAGTTTGTGAACCGCTTCGATAGCGAGGACGCACTCCGCCATGTAGAATCTGGTGACATCTTCACTAAAGATTTCGTACTTGATGAGCATAGTCATCAAGTCGCCACCAGGAAGAAACTCCATGATGAGATACAGGTAGATAGAATCCTGGAAACTATAGAAGAGATTGACAACCCAAGGGCTATCAGACTCAGCGAGAACATCACGCTCGGCCTTGACGTGGGCCAATTGGTCCTTCTTACTGCGAGGTAGGTGCCTGTCAGCTACTGGGCGTTTAAAAAACCAACCCGTAATACTCAACCGCACCAGGATACTTACAACATCTCACTTTTCAACAGAGTTTTCATCGCGTAGATCCTACCATTGTCTTTCTTCTGGACCAAACGAACCTCACCAAAAGCGCCCTTGCCAATGACCTTAATCGTGTGGAAGTCGTCGGCGGTCATCCTCGTGCGTCTCAACCTGAGGAAGTTAGACTCTTGGGAGCCGAAGTTGACGCGCTGCATGTTCTTCCTTTCTTCGGACATTCTCGGTTCGTTGCTGATTCGAGTCTCTAGTTCTTGACGCCTGTATTTGAGAAACTGTCATTAATATATAGTGTAGACGCAATAAGACTGTAAATTGGGATAGATTGATGATATACGGACCTGACATTTCTTTCCAAGGCATGCTGGACATTTTGCTTGTAGAAGAGTTCAATCTTCAGCTTGCAGGCAGTCGCACGCTCCCTGGTAATCGGTGCATAGGTGGTAGGATCTCTCTGGATTGAATAGTCTTCTTCGAACTTATTGCTACCGAGACTACCAGCAGTTCGGGGACGTTGTTGAGGGTTGTTGCCACCATTGGACGGATTGGGGAGTGCAGAACCAAAGCCACCTGGAGAACTTGCTTGGGCAAACCCTTGCTGCTGGGGAGTCTGGGGAGCACCAGGTTGCTGTTGGTAGTACTGGTTACCGTATCCCTGGTTGGGCTGGTTTTGATAGGGATTCATGATGAAGAGTCGACTTTGGAAAAAAAAAATGGGAATAATGTGAGTAGTTGAAGGTAGATAGGAGCTTAGATAGGAGCTTAGAAGGAAGCTTAGCTTGGGGAGGAGGAGGAGAAGGGAGCTAAATGAAAGAAGGAAGGGAGCGAGGGTATCGGCTAATGAGCTCGAAAGGGGTTTCGTGAACGCTGCAGAGAAAAGAGAAGAGGAGAAGGAGAGGCGTGGAGGTCGGGAGGAAAGGCGATGATGACGAGGATGATGATGGTGGTGGTGACAATGGTGATACCGCTGCAGACGGTGAGGTGGAGATTGGAGGTGAGGTAAAGGCGGAGGATGAGTGAATGAAGGTTGCGAGGTTGTTGGTTGCAGTGCTGAAGAAGACGGAGGAGGTTTCCACAGTCCAAGCTGAGCTTGGGAAGTATCAACATTGTCGACAACACAACCACAACCACAACCACTTCAACATCATCCTTGACACCACAGGTAAGCACCTGGGCAGGTATCTACATGTTTACACAACCTACGGGATGTGATAGCTAATTGCATTGTCCTTATTGTCCACTAGGAAGCTGCCAGCTGCTGCTGTTCTATCCCGTTAAACCATTGAGCTAGGCTGGTCAAACATGTAAAGAGCCCTGGTGGATACTCATTCAAATACAACCAATTGGTGATTACGAAATATTAATATCATCACCCTCCTCATCATCATCACTATCAACTAGTAATACTTCATTGTCGATTAAACCGCTAGCTTTCAACCCTCATTCGCAAACTTCCATGCATGTTTGCATTTGCATTCGGACCGGAATCGAACCCTGTGCACTGGACTGAGCCGTGGCACCCAAAGAAGCTCCAAATCGAACCAAACCGACCAATCAAACACGCAGTCCATCGCTAACACCCAATTTTTTCCAACTTTAACAAAAAAACGACTTCGAAAACACAATCCCGAAGACAAAGGACTACACTACGAGGAGGGGAGGGCAAATCACAAACCGGCGGAGGAAAATATCATCTTGCGACCATAGTAAATCGCATTTTAAATCTCCTCTCCTAGGAGACCTCTCATATTCACATGACAATGGCCAGCTCAAAGTCCATACCACTCCTCCTGCGGTCCGCTCGAGCGACGACCCCCTCCTCGATATCATACACCATATGCCCCTCCTGCCGTTCTTCTCTAGCCTCTCGCCTTGTTATCCCTTCAGTATCTTCACGACGTCACTATGCAGACGATCAATCTTTCAGAAGTGGGAAACTCATGGACATCTTTAGTAATTCCCGAGCCTCAGCACCAACACCAGCACCCATAGAACCATCCTCTATTATTCCAGGCCGCCAGTCTTCCGGGCTGATCTTCGGAGAACCTAAAAAGACCACAGGTCCTCCCCGTCTAGGGAAAAGCGCATATCGCGACATTATGTCAAATCAGGACCTCACGGAAACCCTCAGATACCCCAAAGGGGCCACGATTCTAGACCCGTGGGGCCAATTATTCCATCTTCATGTTTATTCAACAAAACATAACACCCATATCACATTCACTGATCCCAAAAGAAATCCCATAATCTCCTCTTCGACCGGTATATTGGGGTTCAAAAAGGCTGGCAGACACTCTTACGACGCTGCCTACCAACTTGCTGCACATGTCTTCCAGAAAATCGAAGACAAGGGATTAATACCGAAGAAAGTGGAAGTTATACTCAGAGGGTTCGGTGTGGGCAGGGAAGCCGTCACAAAGGCTCTACTAGGGAAGGAAGGTAGATATATCAAGGATGTAGTGGTGAGAGTTACAGATGCCACCAGGACCAAGTTTGGTGGTACCAGGAGTAAGAATAAGAGAAGATTGTAGTTGTGCTACTATCCACCTCGTCAAATGATCATGTTTTACAAATCATCCCTTTGTATATTTTCAAGAAACCCGGAGCGGGATGCGGGATGCAGGACGCAGGAGTGATAACAGCATACTATATTGTACATACATATACTTATATACCACCCCCTCGATGTTTGCGGTAAATCCTCCCCCGCATTCCCTTCGTTTTCCTCCTCCTCCTTTCGCGTCTCACGGGCATTTTACATTATTGGCGTTCGCTGCAATTCCTAAGAACCAGCAACCTCTCCGTTCATTGGACAGGCGCTTCTATTTTTGTGTATATAAATATCTACACATGTTCATACGCATATATTAGCATGTAAATTTTCCATCCCGGGAAGAAGGTATAAGAAACCTGAAACACCAGCAGCATGCAAAAGATACACTTCCATGCTTATCAGATTTGCGTGTACGTGTCTCATCAACCTAACAGCCGTATGGCACATGCTCTTCGCAACTGTTACACCACTGAAACACGAGAAGTACGGACGGCTAATTATGGACTTCAGCCCTTCGATACCTAGCTGTCTGGTTGCTTGACCTTATTTTCGTCCCACGATGCATTGGGGCACGGGTAACTCAGGCCGGACTTTAATTTGTGCATGTGCCTGCAGAAACATGCACATGATTTGATATTCTTGATACATGGACGGGTGGGCAAATTCCAAAGCCGTATAAAATAAAAGAAAATAGCAATCTAACATAAGAATTCGGATAATTTCCCAAGTATACCAGTATATCGATCGATGGCTACATTTGGTTTGCATTAATAGACGACCGCCAGGCAGGAAAGAGCCCGCTATCGCTATCTGTATCAGCTAGTACTAACATAGCAACTATAATAATTATACAATAAAAGGAAGACACAAGAGAGAGTGAGAGAGCATAGGCAATGGAGATAAAGAAATTATTGGTATCAGAGAGTGTCATCTGTAAAAAAAAACAAGAAATAGCTAGTATTATCTACAATTGGTAGAGCGTTTTTTTAGTGATAGAAAGAAATAAAAGGCAAAGAGATGCTATGATACAGCATTAAGGAGGGAAAATGAAGATATCCCGGAAAATATAAATCAGTAGAAGAAAGATGATAAATGGAGTACAATGCAAAATCGGACTCTTCTTTCAAAGAGTCCGTCGGGTATCGTACAAAGAAATGGAAAAGGAAAGAAATATGGAAAAGAAGGCTATACAAAAAGTAAATCGCTGACCGGGCTATAGACGGGGAAATGTCAGAAGGAATGAGTGAAATAGTAACATCCTCCTCCCCTGTCCCAAACAGTAAAAATTAAATCAAAAGGAAAAACCACGACCAACTGTGAGAAATCCGAAATAACAATGACTCCTTAATCCCTAACGAACCAGCCGAGCCCTTGGTCGCCTCTCGGTGCGGCATTCGTATTATTCGGTCTATCATTCCCGAAAAATCCAAAACTATCTGTCCTGTTAAAGTTGCTGTTGGGTGGTTGCAGTATACCGTTGTCGCCATCTGCTTCACTATATACGCTGCTTTCGACCCTGGCTTGCTCCGGCTGGCCGATGTTTAGATTGTGCTTCGATTGTGCGTGGGCGACCTTCTTGGCAAAATCCGGATGGCTGAGGGCTTCACCAAAGAAGTTTATCGACGAAGCCCCGGCTGAGCTGACAGATATCTGGGAGCCCGCAGATCGTTCAAAAAGCCCTGGGGCCCTTGGCGGTTCAAAGCCCAAGTAGCCTGAGTCTCCCTGTGGCGGCGAGTTATCTCTCATGACATCACCAAAAGTAGGGGTCGGCAAGTCTGAAGAAAACACGGCTGAATGAGATGCGTAGCTTGAACGAACATACCCAATCGATGGATACGATTGTCTTCGCTCGTCGTGGTCGTCGGGGAACTCGGACATCGAATACGAGGATCTTGAAGCGTCACTTGGGTTTCTTTGTAGCCCAGCGCCGTTTTGCACTAAGTTCGTGGTAGAATTTCCTGAAAAATACCTGCTCCATCCGGATCCGCGCTGTGTGGGTTGCATTTCAAGATTTGTCCCGGCAGCAGGGCCGAGGACAGCGCCACGTGGGAGGTCGAGATGCGGGAATTCCAGCTCTTCCTTCATACTGCGTTCGCGGAAGCTCTTCTGCCTGCGTCCGAAGACCGTGGTCTTGGTGCCTCCAGCTTCCTTCATAAATGATGCCCCTCTATCCTTGAATGACATGCCCGAGTCTCGACGACCAGGAGCGGGTATGCCTCCCATACCTCTTGACTGTGGTCCTTCTTCATCGCCAGGTTTTTCAGCAAGTCCAGCGGCTTTCATTTTCTTCCTCTTGCAGCGAAGAATAATGTATGCGGTCCCGAGAATCAATGCTACCAACAACACTACACCGAGAATAATGAACAAAAGTTGGGTGCTAGTCTTCAACCCTTGTGGCTCACCCTCTACAGCGCTAGATTCGGTGGCGGACGATAAACCCGCAGTACCAGTGGCGGTTGTAGCAATCGTAGCGGCGGAGGTCAAGGCGGCAGTACTTGACGCAATTTGTGAGCTCGACACCGCCGTCGATGTCTCCCGACTCTTAGCACTTAATGTAACGTTTTCGTCCAAAACCTTCTGTGTCCCAAAAAGGGAAGCAGCACTAACCCAACCCCCTTCTTTGTAATCGAAAATAGAGAGTGGGTCATTGTCGGAACCGCCTCCACTAATGACAACGTACTGGTTATTGGAAGTGATGGCAAAATCTCGGCGAGCTCCCTTGGGGGCGAGTGTAGCATTGTAAGAGGGCCAGTTAGCGGATGTTAGCGTATGCTCTCTAGTCCTCAATTTGGCAGGGGCGGCAGTCGCATTGTACAAAGGCACGAGTTCAACGTTCGCAGGGCTTTGGCTGAAATCAAATGTGAGAAGCATCTTGGAACCATCATCGCCTCCGACAACGGCACCAGCGGCGGAGCCAACGGGTAGCGGAGCGGCCAAAGTATTAGGGAGGTTCTTCCAACCTTCAATGCTCGAGTAGCTGAAGACATGAGTATTGGCAGGATCACCGCCAGAGATGATAGCCGTGTGAGCATTAAGCGTTTGGACAACAGGAAATATCAGAGGTGGTGCGAGCCCGGTCGGTAGTGAAGAAACCATCATGTCGCTGACGTTGATCAGGAAGGCCATAGAACTCGGTTGGTAGTCTTCCGAATACCAGTTCCCGGCGTAGACAAATATCTGTTTCGATTCCTCCAGGAAGGCAGCGCCATGGTGTGTCAAGTTGTACAATGTCTTATCCTGCAGTTGTTGGTTTTCCCACTTCTTCTGCGCAAAGCTGTATTTTTGAAGACCTTTGTATTCCGGGTTGTCCGTTTCCGTCTGCGGCGCGACATCGCCTCCAACAATATAAAGAGCCTCGTCTGCGGTTCCAACGCCCGAATGTACGCATACCGAGCCCTTTGTTGGTACCTGTTTCCCTTTGATTTCTGTCCATTTACCACCAGATTTCAACGGTATGCTGAAGAACCCGTTTTCGGTATAAGCGTAGAGCGTATTGTCGACAATAGTTGTGCAGTGTCGCCCAAGTGGGCTTGGGGGCTTAGGTACTGACATCGATTCCGATCGATAGGTCGCTTCGCTTTTGGATTCGCAAAAATGAAGGCTTCAAATTTTTCGGGTAGATTTTGCGAAAGCGACGGTGTGTTCCTTCTAAATGAGTACTCTACGCCGTCATAGTCCCAAAGAAATTCGTCGGAGTCAATTTCAAGTCGTCTGCGAGAAAAATGAAAGTGAAGTTAAAGTCGTTAGATCTAGAGATAGATAAGCATGTTAGTATTGGTTGGCTCAACAGGCATATATGTTGTAACACTATAATGCTATAGATAGATATCAGAAACATCAGCATACATTTCAAGAATTCCTCCAAAAAACCGTGGGTTTTTAAAACACCGATATAAAACAGATATGCAAAATATTTATCGTTGAAATGTGTCGCGGAATATAATCCCTCAAGGTATTGTTAAACTTTTTTTTCTGCGGTAGTTGGGTATTTTTGATTGTGGAGAAAGATATCCTGATCTCTCAGTGAAGAATAGATAGACGGAAACGAGTGTGGCGGTTCGAGTGCAATAAAGAAAACCCCGAATTGCGAACTATCCTCCCAGAGTGAATTGCAATACGAGAAAAAACGAGTCGTGAATTTCTGAAATCCGGAAGAAACGCCGTTGTTCTTTCGAGGGTCCCCTTGTGTATCCGTTCGAAATCAACCGGCGGACTGTCGACCAAAAAGGGATGAAGAGGAAAGATATTTTGAGACTCTCCTGCGGTGTGGAAAATACCAAAGTCGAGATTGTCGTATCTGCCTCAGAAAAACAATAAGCCCTTGCGGGAACGAGGAGAAAGAGGTTTGAAATGAAAAAGCGAAAGTCGGAACTGTCAAAAAAAGGATCGAAAGGAAAATAATCAATGCATGACAAGCAAGGAAAGGAGGAGTGCGTCTGCAAGACGAGAATAACCAGCCGCGAGAAAGAAGGGGTCGAAAAGTCGAGTCTTGGTCAATTTGGGTGGAGGGAAGGGTCTTGCCCACTGTGTCAGAACCGTCTCCGCTATTAATCGACCCCCCTAACAGAGAACTAGTGCGGTTGTACCTAATTTCTCAACCGTCCTACCATGAGGTAATCCACATCCTCCGGGCTTGATGCACATAAGCTGAGCAGAGGTCCCTGGCCATTTTTAAGGGGAGCAGAGCTGCTGCGGAGTAACATTTCTCTTTTTCTCGTCGAAGTCTTCTGAGCGTCGGCCTCCCCTCATCCCTTTGTTATGATGGCCAAACCCGCCAATTTCTCGGTGCGCTGGTGGTTCATCAAAATGAAGACCTGGGAACCAGGTTCAACGAACAAAGACATTGCTATTCAAAGACATGAATTGGTTTTTGCAGCTCCCAACTTCCAACAGCTCGGTCCTCTGGGCCTTCATTCGTCGGGCGGCCTCTTCCATCGAAAATAATTTCGACGCCTCTTGGCCTATCAAGGGCCAGATTGCCCCTCTTAGCATAGAGGAGTTTTGCGCTTGCTCGCTTGAGAAATCTGAGGAGAATGGCCCCTTTTCGGTCGTTGCACACAGCCAACGAGCTGACGGCCTAGGAGCAGGGGTCTCCGACCTGTTCCTGCAGTTCGCCTGCAAGTAAGTCACCGCTTTCTTTGGCTGGCAGCATTTCTTTCTGCACGGAAGGTTTAAGCATGGCTGTGGCCAGGGATGGCCTGGCTGAAACGGGCTCATGCAGCCAATCCTGATGGCACTGTAGTGGGGCGGGGAGAATAGCCCTTGGCAGCTGTTGGGCAAGGTCGACCAATCGTATCATGCTGGTGTCACCGGTCAGGCGCACCCCTCTCGATGCCAGGCGCATTGGTTCGGAACAAAATTCTTGTATAAACGTGTCGGCCGTCGAGATGAAAGTATCTTTCCCATTTTGGTCTCACAGCCATATCTTGTGAGATGTTTCGTTCATGACATGTTGTTGAGGCATCTCCGTTGACAGACGACACCCAAGCTTTTCCCTCTGTCCGCTTAATTTTTTGCGACTCGAGTTCCAGATACTACCTTGAAAAGGATGTGGTAGTGCATCACACCTGTATGTAATTAACCATCCTTGTCGGGCAAGGTACTCTGGAAGACGTGATTGAATTACCAACAACAACAACATACAGTGCAGTGTAAGCGCCTCCATCTAACATTTGAGAATTCAGCTTATCGACAGCTCCCTGATCTTTGTATCAGGTTCGAGACGTTTATGACATTGCCACTTCATCCAGACAGTAGAACGGTCAAGATAAGCGCTTTTCGTTCTATCAGATTTCAACATCGTCCGTTGGCACTGGTTCTCCATAACTGGGGAAGCCGAAGTTGCGATCCTCCATAATTTAAAGGAGACAGGGGTCCCACATGGACGCCTCCTCGAAAATTCTCGATCACCACTGACGTAGCCGCACAACCACAATCACTCGCCTTATCGAACACCCGCTTCTATTTGGTAAAGACTGATTTTCTTTGCATAAACGCTAGTTCAAAATGCAAACGCTGCAGGTAAATAGATGGGTATCATGGTACTTGGTGACAAACAAACTCGTTATTCATATTCTTCGTCGGTTCGTATTTCGGGCCTTCCTTGACTTGAATGCAACTCCCTCCTCTGCTGGCTCTACCGGAGTTGGAGTCTTGTCCTCGCTGGGTTCGTGTTTCATGACTGGATTCTCTAACTGATCTTCCCCTTTGGCCTGGTCTGTGTTCCGACTTAGCGAATCCACATCATCATTCTCTTCTGTAGGAGGAATCTGGGCAGAGGCCTTCTCAATTGCTTCATTATCCACTTCTTCTTTTGGACCAGCTTTAGCGCCCCTTTTTTTAAACACGACCCCCTCGGGACCCGCCACAGGAGTCTGAACCGGGTATTCAACTGTGGGCATCGCCTGTTTGGACTTGCCCTTCTTCTTGAATGTAATCTCGCCAATATTCTCCGATGCCACCGCATCCCCTGGATACTCCAACGTGCGCATCCTAAAGTTTTTCGTATCGGCTTCCTCCTCATCCTCATCCTCATCAACGTCTCCGATCTTTCTTCGCTTGGCTCGTTTTGACTCTTCGTCCTCCGGGTCTTCAGGTGTGGCAGGCCTTTCGATGACCCGAACAGTCTCCCACTCCCCAACCATCGCATGTTCCTTCCTATAGCTCTCAGGCATAGCCACTCCTAACGCAGCTAACTCGTCTAAGTGTTTCTTCTTTTGTTCCTCAGACCTAAAAGAATTCGTCTTGGTCGGTTTTTTCTCAATTAAATCCGCAGCTCGCCTAGCTAAAGGCTTCGGTACATAGTCCGGATTTTCTAGGTTGTTCAGTCTTTCAGCTTCGCGTTTTGTGTTTTCAGCGGCGACAGCTTCCTTCTCTTTGTTTCTGTGCAGCTCACGCAAGAATCTTTGGAGGGCGTGCTGATGTTTCGGGGATGCTTCATGGTCCTTTCTCGATAAAGGGGTGTCCTTTACGAACATTTTCTGCAAAAGTCCCACGTTAGTGAATCCTGGGAGCAACGTGGGTTACGCGATAGCTCAAGAGATGTACTTACACAGCGATCACACCAGTACCGCTTCGTTGACACCCAGTATTCCGACATCTTGACAGTATCGTATCTGTATAGTTCCCTCGATGCTTGCTGATCGTAAAGGCAGGCCAGTGATCGGTGGGTTCCGATGCTCCTGGGATTGCTGTTGATGTTGTTGATGAGTCGAAAATTCTCGAAGTTCGATGATGTAGGAACAATACCTTTTAAAGAAGGGCGAAGGCCTTGGCGTTTTTCGCATTATAAACCCAACCAAACCAACATTAAGGAGGCCCGCCCCGATATCGATATCAATCCCGAGAAGCACCCAACTCTTCAAACAATCTCCATCGTCCTCTTATTTTATGCCGAACGGCTAGTTATCAATAGTTCCGACAAAATACACACACTACCGAGCTTGTGACATCGAGATCCAACATGTCAGCAGTTCCACAATTCCCACCACCTCATGTCATCCCGGACGACGAGTCTCCCCAGAGCATCAACTGCGAAAGTAGTCAAGAAGCACGGCCGCCGCAAGAAACACTAGCTCTGCCAGCTCCTCAATTGCAAACCGAGGCGGCGAAAGAGGCGGCGAAGAAACTCGAGGTCGGCGCCGAAGCTCTCAAGCTCGATCATCTTGGCCCATTGGTTGTCAATTCGGATGGGACCTTAAGTCGGATACAAAACTGGCCGAATATGACGCCGTTTGAGCGTGAAAGGACTATCCACGTTTTAGGAAAACGTAATAGGCTAAGAACAGAATCACTTTTGGCTCAAGGAATAACGCCGGGTGCTATCGGGAATTAAGATATAAGAGCAGTATGTGGACAAACATGAATACGGATGGCAAGGCTTTGTGCGAAAGAGGCACACCGTATGATCGAATGTATCGCACGAGCTTCAATAATTATAAATCTTCAAATCAGTGACTATGAAATACAAGCGAGCTACCTACTCAGAGTCCATTTTCCATAGCCCATCACCCAAGTAGTGACAATTCTCAACACCGTTACCCTTGTTCAATTTTTTAATATCCTCCGTACTCATCTTGAGCACTCCGATCATACAAGCATGTTCTTTACCCTCTGCATTGATAGCGACCACTGCCCCTTCAGGTATATTGCCCTCTGGGGGAGGAAGTTTAGCTCCTGGCGATGTTAATCCGGGGCACATAAGTTGTGCACCCCCGAGAATAAACCTGATAGCTCCTCTATCGACCTGTACTGTCGGAAAGCACTGCGGGTCTAGATGCCAAGTTAACTTCCTTATCTTGAATACAGCTCTTATTTAGATGTATACATACATTTATGGACTATCCTCAGGTGTGGCATAATCGCGTCATTGTGGTGTTGGAAAAATAGAACCTGGTTATCCAGGGCATAAAGCGAAATCTTCTCTGGCCTACGGTCAAGTCCTGTATTAGAATCCACGTCTTACTCTAAACTCCCATGTCGCTTTTCGAACGAGCAAGTCCCTCTAACATCATGCTATACGAACGCTTTGATAAGGTCTAACTGCGCCTTCTTAGGTAACACATCATCAATAACAGGCTCGAGTAGCGGGAATTGTTCGCAAATCTTCTGGCGGATGTTTCGCTGGACAGATGACTTGATCTTCGTCTTGCCGGACGAGCTTACTCTAATTAACTCCTGGGTTAGCCACAAGACGCATAGCAAGTCGGAAATATGGGGATGATACGTACGGTTTCTTGAACATCTTGCGGGATTCTGGGGTGCTGAGGCTCCGGCGTGGAGGGGTCTGTCGGAGCTTGAGTGTGGGGCGGTGGGAATTTAGAGCTAGGTGGGTTCGGTTGCATTTAGTCAGCCAGCTTGGTTTTGAGCCGCACAAAATTTCAGAGATGATCCTTTTCGCGACACCAAAACCTTCATGCAATCATCATCAACCAACAACCAACCTCGAGCTCTAAGTCCATACAATACCGTCCACACCAGCTCACCTGCTACTACCTGGTACTAAAGTACGCGATACTTACTTAAACCTCCTCCCGGGACTACATAAACTCTACACAAAAAATGCAGCGAGAAGGTTATGTTCCTCCAACGGCTGGCGGTGGCGCTGGGTCAGGTTCGACTAGGCCCGGTGGAGCATATGGTGATGTTCCACGACAGACTTCGATGAAGTATCTCTGCGCAGATTGCGGCAAGTCCGTCACTCTCAACAAGGCCGACCCGATTCGGTGCAAGGAATGCGGGTTTCGAATATTGTACAAGGAGAGAACAAAGAGGTACGCGACCCTGACTCATCGCAGTTCTGTAGGAGAAAATGCTTATACCTCTTGATAGAATGGTTCAATTCGAAGCTAGATGATCGGCCTGTAAGGAGGCCCTGTCGGATGCTATTTTGGTGGTCTTGGAGTTTCTTCTATATAGAAAGGATTTTGCATTCCCTCCTGCCACCGGATTGATCCGCCCTGATCAGACACCTCTTCGCCCTCTTCGCCCTTACTTCAACCAAAACCAGAAAGCTCCACTGATATATTAAAAGGAGTTGGCTCTTTTGCGCTCTTGCAATCATAGACTTGAATGCTTTTTCGGAACGATCGTTGTTTTAGCGGGTTATCTCAAATTGCAGTATTCTATGTATAATACAATGTGACTAGTATACCGATCTATATACAAGATATATCGTCACGCATCAAATCAAGCTGCTGGGGGGTCGGAGGACTCCTCCTCAGCGCTCTTTTGTGAATCTGGGTCCAACATTTTCCTGCGACCCTCCATTGTCACCCACAATGCCTTGCTAGGACTCTGTAACGTGGCCACCAAACCAGCACCAGCACTTTGCATAAGTCCTAGCAATTGTCCTCGTAATGTCGGAAGATCGCCGAGATTTGTGATGTGCTTCAGTGCAGCAGTATCAATCGTTTGTCCACCAACTTTGTCAACCTTCGCTCCGAGTAGCAACAGCTTTGAAACGCCAGATATAAACAACGGATCCGTTCCCTTTTTGAAAGTTGCTTTCTCTGGGAACAGCAGATTAAGCACCGCTAGAATATGAGGCGGCGACACGGTTGGGAATTGGATCACACCGACTGGTCCTACCAATAAAGCCTCCATGGGGTGGGATCCTCTGTACTGCAACGTCATATCGTATGCCTCCGGCCCACTACTTGACCCAACCTTTGCATCTTTAGGTAGATATTCTGCCACTCGAAGGGCTGCAGAGAATAGCTCTGTGTTCACGACCACCATTTTGACTTGTTCTCCAACGGGCCGAGGCTCTGGCGGTATGTCTCCATCTTCATCTGGTATAGGTGCAGGTTGCGAAGCCGCAACCTGTGCGTCTACGTTCTGCATGGCAACTCTAAGGTCCCTCCGTATAGCCACAAGTTCGCTTCCTCGAAGGTTATTATGCTGAAATACCACCATCAATGGCGTAGCTCGAAGCAATGAAATATATGTCCTGTGGAGAAGGGTCTGGCGGGAGTTATATGGTCGATGGGACGCCGGTTGGTTGGACCCTGGCGGGACACATGTCTTCGAGTGGGTAACAGAATGAGAGGCATAGCACCTTTGACCACCGTTTACAAATGCCTCAATGAAGTAGCATGCATCGCGGAAGGAGATCGATGTCCGGGTTGGCAGCTTGGTCCTCGCAGCTGCCTTGAGAAAGATTGAGGGCGGCATCCTGAATGCAACTCCGCGATTCTACCGAGCCCAGTAAAGGTTAGATACATCTACGGTCAATTAATGTGTGCTATATCTTAGATGTTACTAACCTTCAAGACAGGCTCCTAATTGGCGGTAAAAGAACGGATGCGGAATTAATGGACGTTGGAAGTTCGCGAATCTGCAATATTTGTTGTCGTCAAATTTTTGAAGTTGCAACAACGTCAAGCAAACAACTCAACAACACCCCGCCATTTACCACAATTGCACAAAACCAAGCTAGGATCCAGCCGAAAGCGTATATCCCAATACATCCAGATCCATAAACACGCAGAGGACCAAATATTAGTCTCGAGAGAACTAAACATGGCCTCTCAGTACGTCGGGCAGCGGCTATCTTTCGAATCACAGCTCTGCACAGTCCGCTACATAGGCGAAATCAAGGGTACAAAAGGTGAATGGCTCGGCGTTGAATGGGATGACCCATCCAGAGGGAAGCATTCGGGTGAACATAATGGCACAAGATACTTTGAATGTAAGGTCGATGCCTCTAAATCAAAATTACATGCTCTTTATTCAGAGACGGCTCAGTTCTAATGGTCTTCTACCTATAGGCAAGGCTCCCGGAGCAGGATCTTTCGTTCGACCAAACCGTCCTTCAGATCCTCCAAATTCTTTCCTCGCAGGATTAAGAGAGAAGTATATCACAAATGTCGAGAAAAGCGGCGTCCCAAAGCCCATTGAGTTTGGTAAAAAGATCGCCCAGGAAGTAGGTTTCGACAAGGTGGCGAAGAAGTTCGCAGAACTAGATACATTGACAAATGTTCTACTTGACTACATGAGAATCAAGACCTGCGACGAGGATTCTGAGGAAATCGCCGCTACATGTGCTAGTATGTACTCCTGTTAGCCCTCGAACGGCTAGAGTATCACGGATTTGCTCCCGTATCCGGACATTTTGCTAATATAGTGCTCTAATAGACTTACAGAAGCTGGATCTAACATGTAACCTCTTCGAGGAGGTTGAGGAGGTTGTGAAACTGTGTATAAGTTTACCGAAGCTTGTCTCCCTATCTATCAAGTATGATCTACAAAAGTATTTTAGCCTTTGTATACATCTGCCTAATACTTCTTGCCAGCGGGAACCGATTCATGAAGTATCAGATTCGAGATCAATACAGACACGGCCTGGACCGAATTAAGACCCTCAAGGCTGACGACCTGCGGTCGAGCTGGACGGAAGTACGGATGTCTCTTTAACCCCTCGGCCGAGCATTTTCGATCACTAACATCTGACCAAGTTATTTGACCTGGTGAATAACTTCACTAACGTTACTGATCTCTCAATTGCGGTTGGAGATATCGAAACATTGACACCAGATATAACCCCGAGGGTCTCAGACCTCCGTATTGCTAGCCGCCTAGAGTCCATATGCCTTGAAGAACACGCAATTGGCAGCCTTTCGGGGCTAGCAGATCTTCAAAATTTACCCAGCTTGCGTAAACTCCTTCTATCCTATAATAAAATCAATGCGGTCTATTCTCCGGCCGAGTCCAAGGCCGTTGGTAAGCTATGCTTTCCATCGGTTACATACTTAGACATCTCTCACAATGAGGTGGGCGATTGGACATTCCTTGATGATATGCGGATTGCCTTTCCAAACTTGGAGGCATTGCGGATCAGCCACAATCCTTTGTACGGCACAAGTGATGCCAGGACCCTTACCGAAAAGTCTTACCAAATTACAGTTGGTCGTCTCGGCCGACTTGTCACTTCTCTTAACTACAGTGTGGTAAGGAACAAGTTGGGCCCACAATCCAATCCGAGGACTAGCTCGAGCGAGCAAGAAACTGATAAGGCAACTGCAGATAACACCGGCGGAACGTGCGGATGCAGAACTGTTCTATATCTCAACAATTGTGAAAGAGCTTTCTGGGAAGCCAGCTGAACAAGAAGCTGAAATACTCTCACATCATACAAAATGGCAAGAGCTTCAGACAAGTATGCTATCCAGTAGTCTCGAATCCTGCTATCCAGTACCTTTCCCTTCCCGAGATCTTCCAATGCATAAATGCATTGTCCAATTCTTAATCCTCAAAATGTTTCTCGTTTGCTAATGTAGTGTCAAACAGTACATGGAGAACAGACTATAACTCGGGATCTTTCAGGGAAGTCTAAAGATGCACTAGCATCAAAGCTCATAGGTTTGTGCAATCCACTTGCCGTTGCAATCGTTAACGACATCAATACATGTGATTTTGTACCGTTGAGGTATCTCAACCTTTTTTTTTTCTTCTATATATGCGTGAGCTAAGAGACCCTTGCAGAAGTTGAGGTGTGTTCAACCTCTAGGACGTTGACTAAGAAGTTTCCCCGCACTGTTACAATTGGCAAACTTTCAGGGCTGATTGGCCGGCTGTTCGGCGTAAACCCGTTGGATATTGCTCTCTACCTTATTGAAGACGGCATCATTAACGAAGGAGGTGGTGTGAGGGAGACCTTGTAAGTATCACCCAACAGTTAGAACCGCAGCCCGTTTCTTCAGGATGCCGCTTGGTGTTCAGGTTAGGTAATCACTGGTGCATTTGTTTCCTAACGAAAACGGTTTTGTTTCTTCATTTTAGGCTTGCCGACGAGTTGCGAGAGCTTGATTATTATGTGACTGAGGCAAAAATTAAACTTGCGGTCAGAGACAAGTCGTTATGATTCAGCTTTATCGATTTGCGGTTTTTTTTTTTCGTCTGTGTAAGAGTCTAGTGCTGCAGGTTGGTCTGCAGGTATCATATTCAGGATCGAGCGGCCTGTGCATTGATGCATATGTATGCAGCGCGGCATAAAAAAACCGTTCGTGTGGAGGAGAGTTCTTAGGAATAAGCCGTTTGACTTCGATACTTTGGCGCAGAACTGAAGAAATGTAGCAGAATGTGGTGTTAGATCCAGGGAACCGTTGAATGTTCGAACGCTTTGTCCGCAAGGGTGAAGATTACGAATTGCTGAGTAGAGACATCTGCGAGTACAACGCTGCCATGCCATGCTAACATGCTAACATGCTTGCATATTTACGCCTTTCGACTTGCTTGGGCCTTTGATGTTGGCACCTGCCGTGAGCCAATACATTATACAAGATTGAAAATCTACTCGAACGTTTTGCAAGATATCGCGACTCATGCAACACGGTTGACAGTCTGACCAAAAATAAACCGGTTGAAGGCCAGGGTTCCACTATTCATCGACAGCCTGCAGCCTTCTTTATGGTTAAAGTTGTCTGAGATCAGGTGAGCGGACTTTACAGAAAAGGGTCGTGCTTTACTGATCGCATATCCAAGATATTCGAGAAAGGTTCCCAACCGTTGAATACCCACTCTCGAGATGCCGAGAAAAAAGGGACCCGCCGAAGGTACGTAATTACACTGCATGATTCCCCTGCCCCGTCATGCTGCGACGGCTTCTCAAGAAAAACAAAATGTTCTCCGTCATCCGTGCCTTGATTTCTGGGGATCTCGGACTTGGTTGGTTGGTTGGCGGTGCCATTTTCCGAGCGAATTTCCAAGCCTGCAAGGAAAATATCGCTTGGGGACGACAAAAAAAAAAGGTTGACGGGGTCTCATTGACAGATGCTCCACATGTTCGCGTTCGCCATCATCGGCTGGAAAAACTTGAAACGAGGATCTGTTGGAATCCTGATGACTGCCGACAGACTTCGTATAAGCATTCAGTTGATGTAATGCGTTTCCCCAAGACCGTCTACCTTGCCCGGCGAGCATACTTCGGGCTTGGTACTCGTATGCCGTCGCCTGTTTCGACGGTCCAGCTAAGCTAAGGTAGCTAACTGTGGAGCGGATGAAGGAACCCGTCGAGTGAAGCTCATCCGGATTGACTCGTAAGTAACCTGCTTGGGATAATTAACCGAGTACCAGAAACAGCAGCTTCGCAAGCCATTTGTCGCCGCCAGATGCATGTTCACACTAGCTTGGTTCTCAAATGGAGGATCACAAAAGCTCGGATACCTCATAAAGCCAGGCAAACGACATTCATGATTAGATTGCGAAAGGCTTAGTGCTGAATGCACATACCTTATATCAGACATGAAATATAGGCGCTTTCGCCTTCCGAGTATGCCATAGCGATTGATACCAGAAGTCCAAACATGTAACTCGGGTTATCACCATCAACCCTGAATTCAAAGTATGTCCATGGATTTAGGTGGTCTCAGAACAGCCACTTTCCTGCAAACCGCTGCAATGCCAGAGTATCATGGAATATCCCGTCTCTGGACACTGCGCACGGCAGGCGGAATTTGGCGGTAGATATATATACCGGTAAACGGGAATCGCCACAACAGACAGATAAACTGTGAACGGAGGGTTAAAATTCAAAAGAAGATTGGAAGTTGAGTTTCACATGTTTTTCTTTATGCAATTTTAATTAATTTATTTGAAGATTAAGTGCCTGCTTACTAGTCATTTACGCACATATAATCTTTATCAGTTGAGGTCCCGCGATATACCGATAGTGAACTATCGTCCTGGTGGTGCAGCCATGCGAGAAAATGGCGGTGTGATAACGGGTATATCGACCTTATCCCAGTGAATCGTCGTGGCAGCGAAGCCACCCTTCAAGCCCGTCCCGAGCGAGATTATAGGGTCAATCAACTTATACATCTCTGTATCACCCACCACGATGCAAATACCTTGCAAAAGGGTTGCCACCTGACGAATAGTCCGTTCGCTTTCATTTTGCGTTTGCATAGTCATACACTGCACTGGACCCTGCGAATTGCTCCTTCCCTCTCCCTTTCTTCATTTCTAACGCAAAGGGAAAAAAGGGCTTCGCGGGCTTCTGCTTTGCGTCTGCCGTGCGTATCTGTGTGTATTCATGCTTTTTCCTGCCCCGAAACGCTGGGATCACCGTTTATATGCACCTCACTAGCACACATCCCAACATTCCACCGAAAAGTTCAGACCAAAAAGAAAGAACCACCATTCGAATGATCATTGACATCACAATGCAAGGATACATTGGCTTGCAGCTGCAGCAGTGGAGAACAAAGAAATCGAGACCTCATACGGACATTTATGTCCAAAGTCGATGGTCTCAAAAAGGTCTTGGACCAGCTGAAAATGAACAAGATAGTACTATGTAAACTACTAGTAGCTAAGTAGAGTAGCTAAAGTAGTATGAACTCAAAACACTCTTCTTGATACTTAGGCGCTCGAGATCGGTCGACTAGAAGTAGCTACTACCGCTACCCGCTTCACCACACAAGCCCAATATCCGAGGTCTAGGCTCACGGAAGCGTCCGTGAAGAAAGACACATCGTCTGTTTTGACTTTTCGATTCAGCCCGCTCTCGAGGCCTCCAGCCATGAACCCTGAGCCTCGATGCTGCAAAATCCAGAAACGGCCAAAGAGTGGATACAAAATACGACACCCAAATGAAAATTTTATATGAAATCTCCAAACCTTCCAAAGGAACAAAGCCCGAAGCTATCCCCATAGATAATAAGAATCAAAAAAAAAAAAAGGGCTCCACATGCTCTTGATATCTACACAGTAGATGTACAGTGTACGACACACTAATGATGTTGATTTGCTTCTTCTGGGCCTTCCCTAGCCTTGATTTCGAACCCTGTCGATAGTACAGCTCCTAAGGGAGTTAATTGCAAGTCCACAGAATTCGAGCAAGCCACCATGTAAGCCGAAGGGTGGGAAAGAGAAGAATGCCTATCACTTGCCGTTTGCAAAGAAGATGGGCAACTTTCTTTCTGACCAGCAGGGCCTTTTTTTTTTCTTCTCCTCGAGCTTGACATTGCAACCACTCAAGGGCCGCAGAAAAACCGGCCGACGAGTTAATATCGAAGATGGAGCCAAGCCAAAGGGTGCTCCACAGCCCTAACAAAGATGGTGTACCCTAGAAGAAAGGACAGGCATTCGTGTATTTGCCTCTTTAGATCGGTCGATGGTGGTAGAGAGAATCGCGATCGGACAAAGCTGTTTTTATTGCATACAACGAAAAATGCAAATTTGCAAAGGAGAAGCTTGTACTTGTCCCAGTTAACGTTCTCTATACGAGAGGGAATTGCGCAGTCATTCCACCGCATTTCTTGCCGTTTCCCAGATTTTGAACTAGGCAGGTCGACATCAGATCTGGATCGCTGTATTGAAAAGTCCCTTCGGTTTTTGACTTTCTTTTGCAGGGCCTTAGGGACTAATCGATCAACACTCGATTATTGAAGATCGAGAGATATACTTTGACCGGGGCCGTGGATGTCATGCCCATCGCCAATCATTTGGTCTGGTCCGGCGTCCGTTAGCCACATGCACGAGACGTTTATGCGAAAGATGGTATGGAAATATGGAGTAGCGAGTAGTCCCCAGGAAACTCTTTTAGAAGTTTTCTAGTAACCTATTTTTTCCTTTCTTGGACTTTTGGAGATTAAGTGGACACAAATTTTCATCCTTATTCAAAGGCTATATGTACAGAAACGGGGCTCCCCGATAATATGTGTATGGTACTGACTACAAAACCAAAAGTATCGACAAAAAACCGCCCAGTCAAAGAAAATTACATCTGCATTCGTCAAATGATCCAAAAGGAAAAGAAATGTGTCCCCATAGTTAGTAACATATTCAGAAAAGAAAAAAAAACAAAACGAACCCACTCCGTTAGATCCCAATATCCAACTTTTTTGTACATTTCTTCATAGTGAAGATCAAATAATCATATCAATAAACATGGTAAAAATTTTTTGTTGCAACCGAAGACCAGCCCGTCCCTAAAGCATGGCCAGAGATAAAATACCAAAATCAAAAAAAAAAATGGGTATAACAAAACGTTGAAGCCCTAGATTATGAAATAATAGTTTTCAAGGGATAGTATATCCGAGAAGCTGTGATGGAATACCCAGAAAACAAACGGTGATCCAATAAGAAAGAGGTATTTGCTGGAGACGCCGTCATCCTCGGGTACTAACTTCCCAACCTTAATGGAAATAAGAGAAGATAAAAGTCGCTATTAATGAAAAGGCAAAAGGGTATCGTTTCCAGAAGACATAATGAAGCAGCCCACAGAGGGGGGGAAAAAGAGTTTTGCCCCACCCACCTGTCCAGTAAATATTAGAATGAAAGGTAAAATAAAAATAAAAAAGCCGAAACTCCAAAATAGGTCCTTTTAGAATATGGTCGGTGAGATTTTGGGTGGTAATCTGGTTTCCCGTTTCTTCGCTTTCATAATGCCCAAATACGTATTGGCTTTTTGGCCACCGGTGGCGTTTATAGAGTTTTCGTTGGCTTGATTCGTTTAGTACTGATCCATTGCGATGCTGGCTAACGCTGCAAGACCGCTTTCTTGTGAGAATGTCGAGTCAGGGAGGTAGTGCACCGAGTGGGATGGGTATTGATTGGTATCAGCGATAACCACTGGAGCTTCAACCTTCTTCTTCCTCGCGGATCTCTTGTTTGCACCGCCTCCTTGGTGAGTTCTGAAGTGTTGCATACAGTTATCTTGTCGACTAAACCGGGCACCACAACCCGGCTGTGGGCATTCATAGTTCTTTTCGCCAGTATGTATCCTCGTATGTCTTGCGAGATGTCCAGATGTTGTGAATGACTTGCCGCAATGACATGTGTACTTCCTGACAGATTTTTTAACAGCTGGGTTTGCGGGATTGCTTTCTTCGTCGTCATCTTCTTCCTCAATACATTTTGTGGATAGAACCGGAGACGCCGAAGAAACCGAGGATGCACAAGATGATGTTGATGAACTTCTAGAAGACATTGAGGGACGGTAGCCCTCCGGGCAATTGTTAAGCAACTTGCCCAGGGATGGAAGACTCATACTATCAGGTGTTATTGGGGTGCGTGGGGATGAAATATCGCTGTATATACTGCCGGTTGAACTATACGAATCAGATCTTTCAGAATGGTATGGTCGACGCATGTCTGGAGAAAGTGGTGGTGTAGGGGACCGACGGCCATACGAAGAGGAGAAGTAAGGCTCTGATCTGGATGAATGATAAGCGGGCCGAGCCTGGTCACACAAGATTGAGACTCTGCGCCCCGCGGAAGTTGTAACTGCAAGTGGATCCATTTTGGTCTTGATGCTCGGAAGAGAAATAAGTAGCTGTCGACTGAGTCTAGCTCACGGAAGCAATCTGATATAGTAGACACGAGGCTGAAGCGGCAAGGACTGGCCGATATTATGATAAAGATATGTCGGGATGCAAATTATGCAAGCTGATAAGACACTTTTTGATCCGAACGAGTGTGGAAAGAATCTTTAAAGTCAAAAGGCTTGAAAGATATGTGTGAAGGAAACATTCAAGGAAAAAAAAATCAGGTCGAGGTTGCGAGATCTTGGGATTATAAACTGTTCACACTCAGACAGACTGGTTCGGTTGCGACATCCAGGCGAGAGGGCTTGCTATCCAACCTGCGTCTTCACCCATACTTAGGGTGAGTGCTCAGTGACTTTGGTGTACTTACGCACAGAAAAAAGAAAACAGGGGGGGAAAGAAAGTAATAACGTCAGTGTGTTCAGGTAAATACCGTATGAAGTGTGTGCTTGCGGACTCCACGTTTGTATGTACCGTCGAACGGGTCAAGAGAGCCGCTGGGTAAGGGACAGGGTACCTTGTGTAGGAGACAAGGGCTTGGGGGGGGGGGGAAGAAGAAGAAGCACAAGTGGGCATTTGCGTCATTGGAAAGCCACTCGGGTTACCTTTCGACCCAACGAATTAGTGGAAATCAGCGAGTCTCGGATACGGAGACTGGGAATTTCATGCCGGAGACGTGTGAGATGGCTTTTGTTTCTTTTCCCATGCTTCAAGCACAGGCTCTGGTCAAGTATCAGGGTGGGGGAAATTGAAAGCTAGTAGACTTTCACTCCACTACAAGTCAATCAGTCAGTCAGTCAGTCAGCCAGTCAGTCAGTGCTACATACAACATGAACATGTCCGCAAGTACAAGTACCGGACCTCCAGCTTAGTGCCGGAACCCCAAGCTAGAACCCACGCCCATGTCGGGGGGGCACGTAGGACTAGCTACGAAAAGCAAAGGGGGAGACTAATCTGTAATCAAGCAACGTCCTAGTCCCAAGGTTTTCCCAAGAATGGGACGTCTGGCTTTTTAGGCTGGGTCTTGGCCCGATCCCATATAATAATCCGATGGTCCTGAGCGAGGCCATGGTGATGGGTTCGACGCGACCCTGCTGTTTGAGAGAATGATTGACGTTTTCACTTGAAGGAGTTCATTCGAAGGACAAGCTCTCTAGGTCGATGCCAGGAGGGCCTTTTTTGGGGTTATCAAGCATGCATGCATTAAGGCATATGTGATTTTTGTGAATAAGTAAGTACTTTTTTTGTTTCGTTGTTTCTTTCGTTGATCTTTCTTGCTGTGATCACAGGTTAATTTTTCGAGTTAATGTACGATCGATAGACTGTTTGATATATTGAATTGAAAAGGGAATAATTACCTAGGTAACTTGACGTCAGTAATATAATATAACATACCTACTTCTTCAGGACGAATGTACCTACATTAGCCTCAGTAAGTAAGTCAGTAAGTCAGTAGACTGTAATAATGCGCCCGGATATGGCTTGTCCGACGAGCCACTTGATTTACTTGAATTCACAGGATCCTAGGATAGGTGGTTAAGAATTCGCTGGCACCATCCACTGTTTTTTTTTTTTTTTGCATTTTCCTGCAGGGCCATCGGATCATGTTTTTGGATCGAAGATTCGCTTACGACTTTCAACGGGAATTTCTGATCCTCACTGAAACCGTCGATTGTGGAGAGCGGGGGGGGCTCTTTAGCCCTGACTGCCTCGACCGGATCAAACTTCCAGACCACCAGCCATGACCCATCACAGGGACCCGTAACAAATGACATCACGGTGCATTGGCACCCTCCCAGTTTTTTTCTTCTCTCTTTTCCCTTTTTTTTTCGGTTTATCCACTATCCTCATATAGAGGCTTTTAGTTATAAAAGCTCAGGAACAGTTCCGTTTGCCGGTCGTTATTTGATACAATTATAACTGTTTTATATATCGCAGTTCCAGCCAGAGATATCGATACCTGCTCCCGCCAGCCACTGCATGACAGACCTACGTTTACCCTGCAATACATCGACACACCATTCCGGTTAAGAGCTTAATTTCACTGTCGCATTTCCAGTGCGATGATCACATAATGACATAAGAATAGAAACGAATACAGGGCGTGCAGAGTCCCTTGATTCTTTAACCCTATGGTTTCCATTTTCCGTTTTCCGTCTTCCCTTTCCCACCAGCCGGATTACTTCCATTCCCCGCCAATATCAAGCATTCTTAAGATTCAACTTCTCCGGAAGACCCTTCTCAAGGCAATCCTCGACCCTCGTTGATAGCTTTTGCCACTTGGCTAGTGTTAGGTCGGTTCTCTGTTCCGGAAGGGTTAGATGAACCTTATATTCTCGATCCCTTATAATGAAAATAACAAAAGAGGCCATGAGATCGCAAGATTCGATCAGGCACCTTATTTTGGGAAAACGTTACCTGCATAGCGTTCATACGAATCGAGATATAACTCCTCATCAGACGTGGTGGCTTTAACACTCCTCTCACTCTCCAGTGCAGATATGTAACGACCAAATCTGCTATCTTCTGATGGCGGTTGCCAACCTCGGTATGGCTGCAGGACTCTAGGGCAGCGCAGAATCCATGGGGCTACCATAACGTCCACAAATGATAATTTGGTTCCCTGTTTAGATTTTTTTTGCGAAAGCGAGAAACGAAAAAATCCTTAGCCTCGGCCCTACCCGTAAATCGCTAGGCAAACATATTCGCTGGTGGTTGTAAAACACCAAATACCGGGATAGTTATATTTCTTGGGTCGTACGTACAGCGAAAAACGGTCCCTGGGGGTCTGCTGCCTCCAGAAGAGTGTTCACCTGAGAGTCGACGTGCATTAGTGCTGGATATTTTGTCCCGAGATTTGGACCAATCAGAACTGCAGTTGGGGAGCTAACCTGTTTCTCAAACTCTTTCCCATACTCGGCTTGCTTTTCGACTTCTTGAGCTTGCAGGTACCGATAAAAAGTTGGCACAATGTTTCGAGATATCTAAAATTATTGAAACAAAAAAACAAAAAGTTGTTAATCGTCATGATCAGGAGCTCAGTCACCAAAAAAGCAGAAAATCGACATTATGAAATCTAGAATGTCGCATACATGGTCCGCCCAGAGTCTGCTATACGCTTTCTGCTTTGGGTCTTCGGGTAACAACTTCTTCTCAGAAATGTCGTCTACCTATTAATATTTTAGTGTTTAGCGGCAGCGTTTTCGCGGGGCCCACCTATCTGGTGAACAATTGGGTTCGAGGCTTACATATTCCATGAGTACGGTCGACTCATAACAGCCCCAACTATCAATCCAAGACCAATTGAATACGAAAATTAGTTTGTTTATTTGGGTTTCTTACAAAAAAAAAAAAAAAAAAAAAGGGCGTCAAAAGAGTGGCCGACGTACTCTTTATGCGCTAGAGCAGGAACTAGAATCCAACTCAATGATATTAGTTTATAGCTGTAGCTCGGGAATTTTTTCTCACAACTAACTTACCAAGTCCCTGAAGAGATAAAAGAGCACACATTTTCAAGTTAATGAGATGCAGGTAACTGTTGTCTCAGCCATGGATCCATACCCTTGGATTGACATCCAGAAGCTCTTTTGGTTTCTATCTCCGGACGCCATTGCCCCAAATCATCAATTTCTGCTGCATATATTTACCTTAAAAGCTCCAAAAATAAAATAAATTGTGTTTGAAGCCATCTAGGATGACCTACTTTGTATGGGTCCACCTAAGGTTCTCGGTGTTAGTTCAGCCAAGTATCGTTTACAAACATTATTCTTTTCCGTACACGGACGGGGAGTTTTATACTTCAATATATTGGTACTCGAGGCTAAAAAATACAGTACAATTCAGCAATGCAAGCTATGCCTATCAATTGCACTAACTACTTACCCCGAAAGCTCTAAGGCGATCCAAACTCGCTTCCAGTGGATTCAGGTTTAGCTTCGACGATCGAGATCCGATGATAGCGACTAGTAGCGAAATATGGAGGTGATTTACCTGCACAAAAGGACTAGGCAAAGTTTTGTATCTTTTTTTAGCTAACATCGATATATTGTATGCCAGACCAGACCTTCGATGTCCAGCCCGGGGGATGGGGTTCTGGAATTACCAGAAGCAGCCACCGTAAAGTTTCAGCTCAACAGGACGTGAGTGTTCTTCAACGGTAAGCAAGGCGTTTCCTGTGGCCTTGGTATGATATGTTTTCTGGATCTTCTCTGTAGTAGATGACGACGACATGACTGTGGGGTTGGTTGGATGCAATGTATGTTTCACTTTGCGAGAACCGGCCGGACCTGGCTGGACCCTGATATGATAGATATTTGAAGCAGAGAAAGCTCCGGGAATGTGGGCTGTCCGACGAAGTGGCGGCTATTATTTTGAGGGGATATTGTATCCGGGGTTAAGCAATGATAGTTGGGTGTATTGATATAGAACTGGGTGCCAATGCAATGGTCTGATATCGATACGTCTTCTAGACATATGAGGTCATCTATACATTGACCAATCAACGGCCACCGTCACAACCAGCTGCTATAGGCCAGATTCAAGGCACCTCCCTCTTGCCTCCAATCTGTAGTTGATCCAACATATGCTGTAAAATCCCTCGATATGTTCAATCACAAGAAGTTTGAGGGAGTAGCTAGTACTATGTGCTCACTATCATCATGCTTATGTAACTATGCATGCATCTCTGATGTTTCTATTCAGAAGCTCGAAGAAAGAATTGCGGGGCGCCGGCAGGAACGCCGGCGTTTTCCTGTTGTTCAAAATGCAATGTCTTCTGCTGCACATGTTCACATGCGCATATATGCCTACGTACAATCAAATGGGGATCGCTTCATGGTGTCGTTCGAACTCTCGCGCGCCGTTGGATCCTGCAGGCCCAGAATTCGAAATTTTGAACCCTTCTTTTCAAAAAAAGAAATCAACATGTACACCCCGGCTTTCCAGATCAATCCGGGGAGGTCTAAACTCCGACCTTTTCATTTCCCCGACGTTGCAACATGAGAATCAATGCATTCGATATCAAGTGTTTTTTTTTTTTAATTTTTTAGTTGATTTTATTTTTACCCCGACTGATCCTTACTTGTGGCTAATAGGTAGACACGGCTTGGAACGGCATATGCACGGTTCCACAAGCTTAAGACCCGGCCCAGGGAATTGTACTTATATCCCAAACTCAACGTAGCCACATGCACAACCCTTTGGTTCGATTCTCTATAGATCTAGATTCAATCTATATATATTACGCCTGTGCTGAATTCAACCGGTCAACCATAAAATAAAAAAAATAAAAAAAATAAAAAAAAACCTGTATGAAGTCGCATGTATGTATCGAAAGTAATATATGCGTGTAGCATGGTATGATAGAGGTTACCCACGAAGGAGTATGTGTCGAGGGCGAACCAGCATACATTTGCAGTTTTTTCTTTATATTTATCGAGTTCAAATTCGGAAATCTCAAGGTCCCGGCTTTGTGCTACAGAAGACTCGCTGGCTGAAACCAAAGCCTCGTGGTACACGCTGATCGACCGATCTGCGGCGAAAACCCAACAGCAACACACAATATACTGTCCTTAACCTGCATGGCCAAATATATAGTGCACTAGATTCTTAATTCGCAATACTAATACAGCGCAGTGCAGAAAAGGCATATACAGTGCGATATCATGTATCATGTAGTCGGCTCCTCCACTTATGAATCCATCTCAAACAGAATGGATTACTTCATAACAGCCCATGGATAGTATACTAGGAATTCCCCAATATGGCTTTCGGGACGAGGTTTATAATTTACCCGCGGCTTTGCAAGCTGACACACATTTTGATTTTCAGCCAGGCGGGATATATCAATATCCAGATCCAGAGTACCGAGAACTGTAGGCCTTGGAGGAAGCTCTAAACTCAACATCCGGGTATCGATTCCTATAGCGTGCCGATCTCAGGGCTGGTTCGACAATTGGCCTGCTTGTTTGGCTTCTTTATGTGGCGATCACCAATCGATTCGAGAATATCAAGGTCCCTCCATGTCTGTATATCCCTCCTGGGTCCCTAGGATTCTTTTGTTACATAGCATACAACCCTTGATGCTGGCCTGTTTCGTTACCAGAACTTCCCTTTTTCTTGGCTTTCTCTCTGCGAAGCAAATTTCTGAATAGCTAATATTATAATGAATCTTGAGAATTCTTGCTGCCTTAAACATTTTAACAGGTTATCATAGGACCTGTCGTTTCAGGGATCGATATGCACTCGACCCGTCTTCCGTATCTGCACAATCACAAGCGAGTTGATACATTTCACGCAAGATGTTTTGATATACTTTATCCTAAGGATCTTTGCGAGTTTCCTCAATCCTCACTAGGCCCAGCCCATTGTCATGAATCAAGAATAAATGTGGGGTACATAAGCAGTTGGATATATGGCAATCGTGGCATGCATGCAGTGAAACCCAACATCTTAAGGCAACAAAGACCATCAATCTTACTCCTACTAACCACTAAAACCCACACATCTGGACATGTATGTACACTAGCTTCCATCGTTAACTAGGCAGTTACAACTTGCGTATCTTCCCCGCAAGACATCATTCAGATAGGAAGATACCCGATCATAGACATCATCAATGGTTAACAGTCGACTAGTCCCGCTTTCTATATCTAGCATACTCAAGATATCATCTCAATGTTCACCAACTACCATCCTAATTTAGTAGGCATGAAACCCTCAATTGTGATACTGGGGTCTTTCGGATGTGGGATCGCTTCCGCTTGAGATATTCCTCCCTTTTCCAAAAACTAAACCCCTGTTCACCTGTTAAACTCAATCTCGCACACGACGTCTTTCCACATGCTAATTATCGAGAAGGGGAAAGGCCAGACCGTCGTACTGGTCCGATGTACGGGATCCGGGAAATTAATATTAAAAAGTTTATGTTTTAGTATCCTCTTTTTTTTTTTTTTTTTTTTTAAACCCTAGGTTTGAATTTCCAACGGCTGGCGGGGATATATCGCCTGTCGTTGTTGTGATGGCCAGACCAACTATCCCTCCGGCGTTTGTCGGAATGAATTATAGCAGGAGGGTCCAGCCAGGCACCTGCCATTATGGCATCAAACTGCACAGATCCGTGTATACCTTCTGCCAAATAGAATAAACTCTCCCAATGCGTGTGGATTCTTGACGGATTGAAACGGATATGGGAATAATCCTCTTGGATAGAATTTAGTGAAGGATATTCCTCACAGGAGAATGCGGAGGGGAATGGATAGTCTAGTCTTTCTCTTCCTATTCTTGGATCAAAATAACTTGATAGAGAATTAATTGTTCTAACTTTAATAAGCAAGTTGAAACCCTTTTTTTTTCTCATGCGGAAAATTGGCAGGTTTTAGCTGGTATCGCTATCATCCATCCAAGACATTCATTCCTTCTAGAAATGTCCCGATTGACTGACGTTGAGGTGAAATGTGGTACGATCTAGCGTTGATTCGAAGAGCTCAAGAGTCTAGAAAGAGACGAGCGTCCGCAGCAAGGAACCAACACCGATTTGGAGAAAATCTCGACACTCTGGACGAAATCGGACGACCTTTGACGCTGTCACCCTTGCATCATTCATATTCCACCGATGAGAATGAATAGATATAGAGCAAACAGGAAAGTTATTTAAAAAATAATATGCAATACGCCCTTACTATGTTCTTTCCCCACCAATTATTTTTATGTTTAAAATTGGATAAATTCATGCTTGAGTTTATGTATATCAGGCGAACTCCACAAATATATCCCAAGATGTGCAGTCCCAAATTTTGAGATTCCAGATTTAGAAACAATTGCACCACGCTCGTCCGCCCCCTGCGCAAGTTCCAAGGCTGGATTGCACATTTCTGATGGTAGAGAGAGAGAGAAAGTGAGAGAGTGGAGCAGTCTTCTCTCTCACACAGGCGCGGCAGAGCAAGGGGTTAGTCGTGCAGATGTTGTCGAGCCCATGTCAGAGAAAAAAGGGCCCTGACGGTTTCAGCGAATTGCTTGGAACGTTCTAGCGGCCTTCGATTGGGGACCCCTGATGCCTGCTCCACCTCCCATAATCCAACGGCGGGCTTGTTGGCCCTTGCCTCGTTTATTCGCTGCATGACAGCCCCCTCGATAATCCTGCCATGAACAAAGATGATGGCATACCGAAGATGCAGTTGTCCTACAAATTAATCCGATGATGATGCCGAGAAGCGTGCAGGAATTCTCGATTGGAAAAGAAAAGAACTCCACTTAACCTTCCCCCTCCCCAGTCCATTACCTGCCTTGGGAACATCTAGCGCCGAAAGCCATTGCTACCCCTTGTGCTGAATGTGTCAGATCGCTTCTCACCAGAGACTCGCTTCCTACCCGAGTTGAAGAGGAACATACACCACTCTGTGACACCTTGCGTGCATTGTTTCGAAGGGCGCACACTTTCTGGCTCATTGGGCTGTTTTGTATAGTTCATTAATCCTTTCTTGATCTTTCTAGTATGGACGAGGAGGCGCAAGGCATGTCAGAGGGGATTTTTTAACTTATTTCCCTAATTACTTGATTTTGCTTTTTCATTCCAGAGTGGAAAGCAAATAAGTATAATAGTGGTTGTCTACCTCCCAGATTCCTATGATATTTCTCCCACTACTTCTTCATTCAGTACAATCAATTAACAATTAACTACCAATAACAACCTAAAGTATTTCGCAGAGCGGAACTTTGTCCATTCCTTTACAACCAATCGTCCGAATCAAATAGAAACATTCATTTATTCATTCAGAAGGTCTCATACACTCTTTATATATCAATATCTTGTCAACCGGTTTGACTTTTATCGACATCTTCGAGACTGAACATCTACAACATCAAACAACACAAGAACAAAAGAGCCTCGAGTCTCTCGATATATCGATCAATAACACTAGCCAAAATGTTCAAGATGCCATTCACCCTCCACACTTTCCTTGCTCCCCGCAAGCCGGAGTCATTCCCTCCACTTCCAGTCCTTCCTACAAATGCCTCTGCCGCTCCATCTCTCTTCGAAGACCTTTACCTGGAAGAAGACATTGTATTCGATGAAGTTTTCCTCGACATCATGGGTCTTAACGAATCCGCCCCTGCTCCTGCTCCACGACACGCCAACGAACCAGTCTATATCCCCCGAAGTGATTCGATCGTTGCACCTTTATTGATGGCCAGGCGAAAAGCCAGCCTTGCAAACTGTCTCAGTGGTCATCCATCTGCCCCTTTTGAACTTAAGAACATGGATCGATTCAGACAGACACGATCGAAATCGGTATCTGCAGCTAGCGCTCTATACACCAAGCAAAAGGCCGACTTGTTGAAGCCCCTTCCAAGTCTACCTTCCAAGAACGATATTCCTTCTATCGAATGGTCTACATTCAATGTTTCTCCTGCACCTTCTTCGCCCAGCAACTTTACAAACTATTCGATGCACAGAAAGATGTCGACACCAAACAGATTCTTAAGTGTTAACTTTTCCGGTTCGAACTGTATTCCCATCCCCGCTTCACCGCTGTCGCCTAGACAGCTAGGTGAACCCTCGAGCCTTTAAGCCATCTCCCTTTCTGTTTATCCGCTTTTCATCTTCTTTCTGTTGTAAATATATATATTTTCTTTCTCTCTCTTTCCATCTTTAATCTAGTTTGAAAAGACGAGTTTTGTTTAGCGTTGATGACGACGATAATGGTTCTTTTTGCACTGATCCGAAACAAAAAAAGCGAGTGGTGTTCTGCTTCTTTCGCAATTAGAATATTTGTTTTGCAATTTGACGATGATGCATGGTTTTTATCCTTTTCGGTATTTTGATTCTGGGAGGCAGTTAGTATATAGACATTCTTTTTTCGCATTTTTTTTAATTATCATTCAAGTTTTACAGGCGCCTCCCTATAGGCGTGACCAAAAAAATTCAAAAGCTTTCATATACATTCACATATTTCTATTTTCTTCCCATTATTTAACTGATTCGAGTAAATTGAGTGTTCTTTGCTTTCTGGTGATCGATAGTTTGGCTGTTATGGTCCGATAGTCTTTGGTACTCATTTGATAGGAACAATAATTTAATTTAATGTTAATATGGAAATAGTACTCGATATCCTAGATTCCTGGCATATTCCCTGCCACATATGCTCTCTGGTGTAATTAATCAAAGAAAACTCCCATGGATGACACTGCAATACTTACAACGATGCGAATCTAAGTGCATCGACTAATCCTGCCACTCATGGACAGCCTGGTAAGGGGTAAAATATACATGAAAAAGGTAAAAGTGGATATTTGAAACTACATGTCGGGGATGAACCTTTATTCCCTAGCTGGTAGCTCGGTTGACGCCAATAAAAAATGAATAAAATCTTGTTGCTCCTAGATGAAAGTTCGGATGCCGTCTCTAATGTACCCCGTTCGTCTCATTCGTCGTGACACCGTTGGCGGCTGGTGCGACATCATTGGCGATGGTTGTGACAGTTGCGACGGCCTCAGGAGACTTTTCATAAAACTTACAACCCGTCAAATACCCTTCCCATTCTTTTAATGGCGCCTGGTCTTTAAGACCCTGTTTGATGAGCTCGACAGCATCCTTCCAGTCGTTCGTAACACCGGCGACAACCAATAGAGCAGCCGAGTTAATCAAACAATAGTCCATAATCGGATCACCAGCCGGAACTTCATTCCTCAAGATAGATTTGACAATGTTCGCATTTTCTTCGGGTGATCGACTCTTGCATTCTTCTAACGGATGTAAGGCGACTCCAAAATCCTCGACAGGGTGGAGTTCAAACTGCTCAATGGTAGCTAGCGTACCAGGCGGGGAACCGGGAGGAGCAGCGATAAGTCTCCAGCAAAATGTCTTTCCGCATGGAGAGATTTCATCAAGACCTTTTCCGACGTCACCACAGACCACCATCCCCTTTTGGCAGCCCATGAGCTGGAGCACCTTGCTGAAGACTTTTCCGAGTTCTCGGTTCTTGACGCCGAGGATGCGAGCTTCGATTCCTTCAATTGGATTGGAGAGGGGTCCGACAACATTGAAAATAGTGGAAAAGCCGAGTTCTTTGCGAACCCGGGCTAGGGAACCGAGACCGGTGTGGTAGGTTGGAGCGAAGAGGAAGGCAAGGTTAGAGTAGCCGGTCAGGATTTTCCCGACAGCTTCCGGAGGAATATTGAGGATGAAAGGGCCTCCAGCGAGGGCTGAGATCATATCAGAGCTTCCCGAGACCGAGGTAGCTGCACGATTGCCATGTTTGGCAACAAGAAGGTAAGGCGATGCAAGGAGGGCAGAGGTTGTGGAGACATTGAAAGTATTGTGACCGTCTCCGCCGGTGCCTACGATATCTACCTTTTGGTTGGTTAAACCCAACATGAGTCAGTTTACTTTGATCATGTCGATTTGTTCGAAGTCTTTACGAAACGAAACAAGACTTACAAAGCCGCCATGGTAGCCGTTCCGCTTCAACAAGCGCCTCTTTGTCGCAAATTCTTTATCATGAAAATCGATTGGGACCCGAACAGCAGCCTCTCGCATAACTTTGACAATCGCATTGACAATCTGCGAATCGTAGTACAGGTTTGAGAACGTTAAAGCCGTGAGTAGAGCGGCTCGCTGGGTGTCACTGACTTCACCCTGTCCTAGAATCGCAGCAAAAGCGGCGGTAATCTCTGTGACAATGTCTTGAGTGACAACTTTTTGTTCGGCATCCTGGTATTGAGCCAGGAGCTTCAGAAGTGGTGTAATTGAGACGGATGCCATCCTACTTTCTGTGAACGTTACTCGTTCAAGCACTGCTAACTCTTACAAAATTATTTTGTTGAAAATGCTCCCGATATCGGATCGAATTGAAGAGATCTGCTGGCTTATTCGGGTGGAATTATTTGGCCGTTTGTATGAAAAAAGAAAAGAAGGATGGAATGAAAGAAAGAGAGAGAGAGAGGGAACGCTATCGATTTGCAAGGCAGGTTCAATATCGAAGATCGTGAAGAGGACAAGGATTGAAGCTACGACAGCAATGCATGGTATGTACACGATTGAGAGGGGTGGGAGATTTAGTGTAGGTGGAGGTGCAGATGTTAACGATGGAATGCTTGTCGGATGGACACGTTGAAATCTGGTGGATGAGAGAAGAGACGAAGAAGAAGAAGAAGAGGAGGAGGTTAATTAGGTCGTTGTCGAGTCACACCCAAAATTGGCCGTTTGATGGAGCGGCGCCGGTTCCGTTCAGGCTATTTCAGGAACTTCGAACTCAAGATTCAATATAGCTATAGACTAATTATAATTAGACCACCACCACCGGTTTGTAGTGATAGGTAGATGCTCATTCAAGATGTACGCTTTCAGTATGCGTAACATAGTGTATGTTTTAAATTCCTACTTAGGTAATTACCTACTTTAAGGATTGTTAATAGAATAGAAGTTCGGTTCACCGGGTCTTATCGTTATCGAATTGATAGAGAAGCCCCTGCGCCGGACCCCGCGGATCCACTCTTCTTTACAGTACTGCTCCGTAAGGTAGTATAATATATATTACAGCCAGAGGTCAGCTGCAATCGGATCCTGAAGAATGAAGAAGTCTTCTTTTTCGAAAGAGTCTGTGACGTCCTTCCTGCAGCTGCGGGCCGGCCGACTCTGCGCTTGCATCTCTTCCCTTCCCTTCACATCCCTTCACATCCATTGGTCAGTTAGTCTGTCGGTCGGCCAGTCAGTCTTGTTAACTTTTTTTTTTTTTTTTTTTTTTTTTTTTGACTTAGCTGGGGCCGAACAAACCCTGGCCGACGTCGAGTTCCTTCCATCCATTTCTCCCACCAATTTGGCCGAGTCAAACTCCAGAAAATCGGCGCTGTGAGAGCTCAGACCGAACGAAAGGACTTCACTGGAAAACTTCACATCTCCAGAAACCCCAACAAAAGGACTTATCCCTCATCTGCTATTCTTTCTTTACACTGTACCACTTCTATTTCGGTTTCTTTCGGTGTCAAGTTGTCAATCGAATCGAATCGGTTCTTGTCGGCTGCTACTATCAGCGAACAAAGTACCCTTGAACTTGCGGGCGAAAAATTCTCTGTGCTACCAAAGCCAAATTTAAACCAACGTTAACTTTTTGATACATCGATATCGAAACCCTCCCACCAACGTTAGTTGACGAAACCAACAAGAAGAGAGAAGAAGGGGAACCTACATTCTCGGATCACTTACTGCTACTCCTGGATCTTTAGTGATATTAACCCGGTAGAACGATCTTCTTTCACGATGCGACCGTTCACAAGGTCCATCGGCCATGCCCAACGGCATTCCGGCTTCATCACATCTTCCCTTGTACGGCAGTATTCTGTACCACGCTCGATACATGCCCGAACCATATCCACCATCTTGTCCAAATATCCAACTGCACCTGAACGGGGACAGGCTGCGTATCTAAACCAATCCTTCCCTCTAGTCACTTTCCGAGGCTTCCATGCTTCGACTTTTCTGAGATTATCCGATGCCAGCGGTAAGAAGGAGGGAGAGGAAAAGTCTAAGGATGGTGAAGAACCTAGTCAAGAACCCAAGGAAGGAGAGGGCGAACAAAAGGAAGAGAAGGAGAAGAAGGAAAAGAAGAAGGAAGAGGCACCTCCACCCCCACCTCACGGAGATAAATCGCCTTTTGCTGTCTTCGTTGAAACCCTGCAAACCGAATTCAAGAAATCTAAGGAGTGGAACGAGTCAACAAAGGCCATCGCAGACCAAGCCCAGCAGTTCACCGAGTCGGACGCTGTGAGAGCAGCCAGAGAGGCATATGAGAAATCATCAAAGGTCGCGGGGGCTGCCACATCAGCTACTGGTGAAACTCTAAAAAAGGTTGGTGGTGTTATTGGGAAGGGTGCTCAGTGGACTTGGGAGACTCCGGTCATGAAGGCGGGTAGAGATGCTGTAAAGGCTACTGGCCAAGGTGTCGAAAAGATGACCAGGCCGATTAGAGAAACAGAGACATACAAGACGGTCAAAGGCAACGTCCAGGAAGTAATCGATGATGGCAGTAGCAGTAGATATGGTGGTTACGTCGAGCGAGAGGAGCGAATGCGTCAGAGAGAACTCCGGGAAGCTAAGAAGGGACCAGGCAGGAAGCATGAGCCCATGGTAGAGGACCCCGAGTATGTAGAAGCTCTCTCTAACTTCCTTGGAAATAGCTTTGACTAACAGTAACAGTGCTGGCACCAATGTCACTCTCCACAAAGATGCTGCGTGGAAAGAATCATGGCGGGATTTCAGAGACAGCAACAAGTTCATGCAATCGATCTTCACTCTCCGAAAGCAATACGATGAATCTGAGAACCCCTTCATATCGACAACCAGGAACATTGCAGACAGGGTAGCCGGGTTTTTCGCTGAGAACGAGACCGCTCAAGTCATCAAGAAATTCAAGGAAATGGACCCAAGCTTCCAGCTCGAACCATTCCTGCGGGAGCTTCGAGAATGGATCTTGCCAGAAGTTTTGGATGCCTATGTCAAGGGAGATGCTGAAATATTGCAGCAATGGCTGTCTGCTGCTCAGTACTCAGTTTACTCCGCGCTTTCCAATCAATACAAGACGGCGGGGCTTCGGTCTGATGGGAGAGTCTTGGATATCCGTAACGTCGATATCATGCACGCGAAGCTGTTGGACCCCGGCGAGATCCCGGTCTTTATTGTTACCTGCCGTGCCCAGGAGGTGCACGTCTACCGAGACATCAAATCCGGCAATCTGGCGGCTGGTATGGAGGACCGTGTACAGCAGGTCACCTATGCCATTGGCTTGACTAGGCTTGTCGAAGATATCTCTAACCCCGAGACTGGCGGCTGGCGGCTGATTGAACTCCAGTGAGTGTTATCCCATGAATAATGATGGTTGGGACTTTACTAACGGATGTATTTCAGGAAATCTGGCCGAGACTACATCTAAATCGATACTCCTTCAAACCAAATTATTACCATCCCCAAGAAAAAGTTCTCGATTCAAAGAGGCCAACCTCCCGACTGCATTGTACATATTCCATTTCTGACTGCATGGGGCTCCCGGCATGGCGTTTTTGCTCGACTTCTCACCACTCTATTATTCTCCAGCACGCCCTTTTTCACTTCTTGTGTATATGATTACATCCACCACTTTAGTGCAAGCAGCCTGCGATCCAGTTTGCGACTCGGACGGCAGTTTGCCCGAGAGTCTCCTAAACCGCCAATTCTCTGCCATCAGCGGGCATCTTCTATGTTGGCGGTGTCTTGCTGCTCATTTTGAACAAATTTTTCATCTTTAATGTCGTGTATCATTGATCATGACAAAGAGTCCTTAACATGTGAATACACATGAACCTGTACACATCTTGTATATAACTCGAGTATCGGGACACTACAATGCTCCCGCTCGAATATCTAGATCCTGACCCTATAGGGTCGCCCATTTCCTGACTACACTGTACCTATATTTCACCAAATTTTGTGGAGCTACGAGCTAAAAAAACGCCTGGAACGTGGTTTTCAGGGTTCATTTTGTGTGTGTTGTGAAGAAGCCTCGGTGTTTGTTCCCCGCTGTGTGGAAGACGATGGAACGAAGGCGAACTAACCAGGGCTGTTTCGATCAACCTTCCCTTCCCTTCCCTTCCCCTTCAGATCTCAACCTCCTAGACAATATCCTTCCTATCACCAAGAGCTTCATCGAGATCTCAAAGGACACGTACCTATCTCCCTTCTCTCTCACGCGGCTACTTCCGAGATGGTAAGCTTTTCCCTCCTGCCTCACAGAAGGAAAACCTTGTCCGCTTTTGGCCACAGGCTGGCTGCGGGGCAACAACCAAAAATTTTTTTGCTCATACCATGGTTATAGGCGTCCGAAACAAAGAAAAGACTGGCATTAGCCATTATCGATTTCCTCCAAACCTCCGTCTCCGATGGCACCCTCCCAGCTGACGAGAAAGAATCTGTTGAAGCTGCCCAGGAACTGATCTCTGGTGCCTTTGGTGTCAGCATGACTGACCCAGCCGCGATGAAGGAGGCTCTTGGTGGCCAGAGCTTATTGAAGATATACGAAGTTTTTGAAAAGATGAAGGCGAAGGGTGCTGGTGCCGCTGCCGCTAGTTCGCCAGCCGGTTCTGCTTCCGGAGCTTCGCCGAAAGCTTCGAATACCCCTAGTGCAGAGGACAAGGCGTCAGCTGAAGCTCTCAAGGGTCGTGGTAACCAGGCCATGGCACAGAAGAAGTACCCTGAGGCTATCGACCTCTACTCACAAGCACTCAAGCTGGTTCCGGGAAACCCAATCTACCTATCTAATCGAGCTGCCGCTTACTCTGCCTCCTCGCAACATGAAAAGGCTAGGGATGATGCACAGGCCGCGATCGAGGCAGACCCTGCTTACTCAAAAGGATGGAGTCGCTTAGGATTGGCTAAATTTGCACTTGGAGACGCGAAAGGTGCGATGATTGCTTACGAAAAGGGTATCCAGGCCGAGGGCAAGGGCGGTAGCGAAGCTATGCGCAAGGGTTATGAGACCGCCAAGAGAAGAGTTGAGGAAGATGAAAGCGCACCTGTTAGCCCACCACAAGAAGAGCCACTTAGCAGGGGATCTGCTGGTAGCCCGTTTGGCGGCGGTGGTGGTGGTGGTATGCCAGATCTTTCTGCTCTTGCGGGTATGATGGGTGGTGGCGGCGGCGGTCCCGGCGGTCCGGGTGGAATGGATTTCAACAGCATCATGAGCAATCCTATGTTTTCTCAGATGGCTCAGAGCCTCATGTCCAACCCATCTCTGATGAATAATCTGATGAATAATCCAAAGTTCGACCTCCCTTCTTCGATATTAAAGTAAGAACTTCGCTGACAACTCTACACAGGATCAAAGATATGATGAGCGGAGCAGGTGGTGGCGGTATGCCAGACATTGGTGCCCTGATGTCCGATCCCTCTATCGCCGAATTGTAAGCCTTTCAGTATTTTCTCTCTCTAATGCCGCTTTACTAACATGATTGGTTATAGAGCTAAGAACTTCATGCCTGGTGGTCCAAGTTCTAAGAAATAAAGAGCTCAGTATAATAGTATTTCTACGATATCAGTATCTTTGCTCTTATAGATGATTATAATATTACGGAGTTTGGTTCCCTTTCTCTCTCCCCCCTTTTCCGGAATAGCTGTCATTCCTATGGTTCAGCTTTGTAGAATTTGAACGCGCAGGCTACCTTGACTAGGGGATTCAGGATTTTCTACCTCCATCTTCTTTGTTTGAACAGAGCCAAAAACAACTAGTACTTCTTGATATTTGGAAGGCTAAGTTTCCTTTTACGTCCAATTTCCGTTTTTCAATTTCTCACAACTTCCCTAAAGGATTCTCGAATGATGAATGATTCTATATGAATTCTGCAATGCCTAAATGACCCCTATGAATGTGAAATCTATGGTTCACTTTTCGAGGTGAAACCTGGACGAACTACTTGGGCGTCTGTTGCGGACCAAATCTACACTTGATCTGACGAGACTTAACCATCCTTTTCACTTCCCCTTCCCTTGATTTTCCGAATTTTCGGTTCGAGATAGCACTATGGCTAGCCCAGACATTCTTATGTTACTTCAGTATCTATAGAAATATATAGAATGAATAAATTGGTTTTCGTATCATGTGCCGTAATCGCAAATAAGCTCGAATAGTACCTAGTCAAGTACACGTAGTTATCAAGCATGATGATATAAGCATGCATCATGCGCTGCCCACACGACACCTGCATAGGAATGGCCTGAATTCGAATGTGTCGATTTCCCATCCTGGTGTCCTTCGGACCCACACTTTTGCATATCCATCTCAAACCCATCGCATCGCCTCCAACCTATGTGTTCAATTCAATCCATCCAACCTCCGTTTTACCCTTTCCTTCATCCTAACCCCTTTCTTTCTTTCTTTCCTTTTTGTCAAACTTAGAGTTATTTTTCTTCTAGTCCGATATCTCTATGTATATGCCTTACCTAGAATTACTGTCCCTACTGAAGCCTACACAGCTCTGTCTTCTCCATATTGATTCCCTCTCACTGACCACTCCCCTGCACTAGTTCCCGTACTGGACTTTACGCTCCGGACTTAACCCCAAATTCCGTTCTTCCCCTATAACGGCCGTAAAAAAGGGGAGAATTGATAATGAAATGATTGATTTCTAAGCTGATGACGTGGAAGAAGCTGATTCCGGGTTTAAACAATCTTTCGGCCGTGAAAATTGGTTGAAATGTGAAAATCTTTGATCGTGAAGCTCGAATTTTGGGCATTTGGTGGTGGAGATAGCACGATGTGTTGGGGGTGTGGTGTGGGAAGCCTCTGCGAGACTAAACCGCTTTGGGAATACCGTATGGGCGGATTGGTATTGTTATCCGTTTTGGGATTAGTTACATGAACATTACTTCAGCAGCATCGGAATCCAACAGGGTGGAAGGAAGGCTTGTATTCTGTTCCCCTGATTTGAGCAAGCTTTTTGGATCGATCTTCAACATTTTGGTTGCTTTCGCTGAAAGAGAATAGACGAGTCTGAATTTACAGTTAATCCAATAGTTATCTCGATATTCTTTGTTAATTCAGCTATATTATCGATATCGCGATTTCAGCTGCATGTTCAGACTTAAGTATTCCATTTTTCGAATTTCGAAATTTTGTGAACTAGTTTAATAGAGCCCTAGATATCTATTGATGACATCTCAACTAAGTGACTTATTCCTTAGTGTTCTTTTTCTAATCTTAGCTAGCTGAAATGTATGTACGTTCGATATGGTTGGGTGGCGTTTTGTCGAGGCTTTCTTGACGTTGCGAATAGAGTTAGGTTGGCTTCAACGGACGAAATGCTAAACTCCGTGTCCGTGGTGAATTCGAACTTACCGCACACTTGTCCTAGAGGGCTAGTAATTGATTTCGGGATATTGGATTCTGGCCTCATATTTTGGCTTTGAATGGCCGGAAAAGTATTTAAGGGCTTTGATTCCCCCTTCGAAGTCCTAGATTATTTTCAACATCAGATCAGTATCTCCTAAACACTAGAATAATATAGACATACAACTTAAAACATCATCAGCAATATCTAAAAAAGTTATATATACCTATCAATTCATCTAAACATAAACCACAATGGTTGGAACGGCTTCACTTCAAGTTAATAACCGTAATGTCGGTTCACTCGGTAAGTACTCCGATTTCGATGTTAACCTTGTCAAATTCAAGACGGCTTTTCATTGACGACGCAAATACTTTTGTAGGTTTCGGCTTAATGAATTTCACATGGCGCCCTACCAATACCCCAGACGAGGAAGCATTTGCCGCCATGAACGCTGCTCTGGCCGATGGTGCCAACTTCTTCGTCTCCGGCGAGTTTTACGGCACTCAAGATCCACAGGACAACCTCTTCCTTATCAACAGATATCTCACAAAATACCCAGAAAAAGCAGGGAAAATTGTTCTTTCTGTCAAAGGCGGTGTGAACCTTGCTATTCGAGCGCCTGATGGCTCGCCAGAAGGGATTAGAAAATCAATCGATAATATCTTAGATAAACTCGACGGCAAGGCCAAACTCGACGTCTTTTGTATTGCCAGAGTCGATGCCTCAAACCCCGTGGAAACCACCTGGAAGACAATTAAAGAGGAATATATCGACACCGGAAAGATTGGAGGGTTGTGCTTATCTGAAGTATCCGCCGCTACACTTCAAAAGGCGTTGAAGATTGTGCCGGTATCGGTATTAGAAGTTGAAGTTTCGCTTTGGGCGACGGAGATTTTTGAAAACGGATTGGCCGAAGTATGCGCTGAGCATAATATCCCCATCGCGGCTTACTCCCCACTTGGAAGGGGTTTCTTGACAGGCCAGTTGAAGCGTCCCGAGGATATTCCAGAGGGAGATATGAGAAGATATTTTGATAGATTCCAACCGTAAGTGTGATGGTTCAATGTTCTTTTGAGAAATATACATCTATCAGGACTCTTAGTAACAAATTTATTTCCATTTAGAGAAAATTTTGGGAAGAACCTCGAGCTTGTTGAAGCCATTCAGAAAATTGCGCAAAAGAAAGGTGTTACGCCTGCTCAACTCGCTCTTGCCTGGGTAGTTCAACAGGGGAAGAAGTTCGGATGTACTGTCATTCCAATCTTGTAAGTTTATCCGGTCTCGATCAAAGTTTATCCCCTTTGATTGACAATGATACTACTAAGATGCTAACATATTTCTGTCAAGTGGTGCTACTAAGGAGTCCCAAGTCGTCGAGAACCTTCAAGAGACCAGTTTGACCTCCGAGGAAATGGCGGAAATAGATGCGGTTTTGAAGAGCATTAGGCCAATTGGTGGGCGCTACAATGCAGCTCATGAGTCAGCTCTCTATGCCTAAACTTTGTTAAATGTGTAGATTCATTGGTTAACTAAGTTGAGATGTCATGCGATATTTAAGTTTTGCTCTTTCATGTGCTGGCTTGTTGTAAACCAACAAGCTATCTTTTGTAATGTAGCTAGAAAAAAAACCTCGAGCTCGAGTATACTTGATCAAAAATTATGTCTCTTTGTTTCATACTGATTGCACCGCGGCTGGGTTTGCGAAGGCTTCTTGCAATTGATTAATTAATGAGTATCATGACTCCAGGTCAGTGTATCAAGATCTGTAAAACTACAGGGGCATCCGAGACGCTTTCATGAATGATGTACAATCGTTTCCATACTAGCGTTGTAGTTCTTTTACACACATACACTGACAATCCAAGTCTTCCACAAAAATTGCACTGTATACTATATATAGAATCCTATTGACAGGGTTAAGCGCTTCCCTGGGGCCCTTTGTGGCGCCTGTGACCGAGACCAGGTTAAGCAACGACTATCTGTTCGTAGATCTCGACTGCCTCGCTAATAAACAAACCAGGCTGAAAGACAAAGTCAATTTTGTCCTCTGAAGTCAGGTTACCGGTCTTCCCCGGAACAGGTTGTTGGCCTAGTGGCTCCATATCCACAGCATTTGCTGCGTTAACCATCCATCGACCATCGAATCGTGACCCCGGCCAATCGAACATGATTTGATGGAATCTGGCTTCAGACTGGAACATTAGTTGCAGTGCCTGCGCATCTGATATGATCAGTAGTAGTTCTTTCTCTGCGCTGATGCACATTCTTCGGTTACTTGGACCGGAGCTTGAATTGTTGATGTTAAGAAGCGGGACGAAAAGCTGTCTGAGAGTGGTAGCAATATGGGCCTGATTGTCAAGGATCGTTTGGGTCATGTTTGTAGGCTTACGGCGAATGTTGTCTGTAAACCAACGACCACGGGCAAAGTGGCCTTGTTTGGCTATAATTACGAGTTAAATTCAGTATTGGTTCGGATATTAGATCTCTTATTTGAGAAGTTACACTTACTGTTTTTCTGTGTTTCATCGAGACCGGCTATCTTGAGCACATGGGCCTCAGTATAGTCACTGAGTCCATACAGCCACCTCGACCAGATGTTCTCATACAAGACTTGGTAGAAAATATACTGAAAGAACATTTGACGCTTGATTCTCCTTTTTATATTCCTATTTTTCAAACTTCTCTCGCCTTCCGGAGTAATAAAGTCGGATTCTTCAAAGTAGTCAAACTTTCTAAGTGATTGTTTGATGGCTGGAAGGACTGAGGGCGAATTGATGTTGATCGACGCTGTTTTGCGAGCGGGAATTATGTATTTTTCGACCCAAGTGTTTATGCTGGAGAAGAGTCTGGATGTAAAGCCATAGTAGTACGATGCGTCTTGTGGGCCTTTATGTCCAGGCTTCTGTTTCCCATTTGACGGAAGGGTTTCGATAGTGATGTCTTCGAGATCGGCCTCGAGGTATTCACACCCCCAGATATACCTCTCATTGTTTTCGTATGTTTCTTGGGCATCGTCATTTACATCTTGCAGAACTAGCAGTATTTCTGGGTCTATGAAAGGATGTCTCCCTCCAGTTTCCGTTTGAAGGTCCTTTCCAGTCCAGCTCTCCTTAATGGAATAGTCTCTGGATTCCTCGGGCGGGGGGATAAATCCCCCGTTTTCCCCAGAAGGTTGGAAGAATTTGGCTGCCCATCCAAAGAAACCCCTTTTTGTTTCGGTAGGGGGTTTCCCATCGGAGTCCACATTATTGGAGTCTATATCCGTGTTATTCTTTGGGGCGGCCCGAAGTCCACGCCCCCCGTTGGGTTGAGCCTTTACTTCGTTTTTAGGGTTGTTGCTGCCCTTTGTGACGTCTAGGAACGAGACCAGGTTGTTCATGATTGCGTCTGTTATACCAACAACAGCTTCTTTGAACTCATTGGGTGGAATCTCAACTCCTTGTTGTAAGCCCACAATCAAGGCGCATTTGGCTATGATCTCAGCGTCGGCGGTTGAGATTTGGCAACCGGCATGGGGCAAACCAATCCTGAAAAGCTCGATGATCATACGTTCGACGGATTCTCGGAATTTGCTTGTGAGGATTGCTTTCTGGGCTTTGTCTTCCGGTTTCTCCATTTTCCCCTTTGCATAATGCCGTTTCAAGAACAAATCGGTGGAACTTAGTCCTAGATTTCTCAAGTTTTCAAGCTCATCTACCATGCGGTCGAGAAAGTCGAGAAAATCATTCTCTGCATCTTTTATTTTCTGTCGTTCAGCGTGCTTCTTCTTCTTCTTCTCTGCTTTGCGTTGAGATTTTGAATCCCCCCGCTTAGATGCGTTCGCTTGTTTGGATGCTGGTAGGCTTTGCTTGGTTGGGTACTCATGCCCTTGGCTAGTGGATCTAACTGCTCCACCTAATCCTGAGGGTTCATATAGTATACCCGATGTAAACGATGAGTCCGAGGCCCCTCCTTCCTCCGTGGAATCCGATTCGGGGTCGGTTTCATTGTCGCTTCCACTACCACTTAGGTTACCTTTATCCGAACCAAGTTCGCTTTCCGATTCAGATTCGTTTTCCGATTCAGGTTCTCCTGGGTAATCTAAGTCTGAGTCTGAGTTGTTCGACTCCGAGTTCGAGTCGTTAACATCCGGCGGTAGACAACTGGCTTTTAATGCCCGGAGTGCGGTCTCCGAGTTTTTGGTGACCGCATCACGCCTTTCCGCTTCTTCTAAAAGGTAGTAGACGTTTTCCATTGCTTCTATGGCCTGTCCTTCGAGCGCTTTGAGTTCGGGGTCTGGAACATAGGAGGGATTTGCGCCTGTAGATTCCCCAGTGAGAACCCTTTCTAGGGCAGCAGCATCCCATGTTTTAGCTGCATTGAAGTACATCATATATATTTAGTATGCAATAGACACAGCCTTGAGAAAATGAAGAAAATTCTTACCCATTTTAGGTATCCCAGCACTAGAACCTTTCGATGGTGGCCAATACTTGTTATGACTTTTCGAGTATATTGCCTCTGTAATAGACAATAATCAAAAGTAAAATGATGTGTAGTATAACCAAGAAAGAAGGAGAAGAAGGAGAAAGTAAGCAGGAACCTGACTTTGAAAGAGAAGATATATGTGTCTGAAGTCCAAAGTTTGGAATTCTAGAGTCAGAGTGAAGATGCACGGAAATGCGTGTTTCTTCTTATTCTCGTTATCATTCGAATAGTAATTACTATTGTTATTGACATAGTGAACGCGTATAAAATCACGCTCATCGCCATGAGTCGTAAAAGCTCCCTTTGAAACACCTGACCTTTCAGCGTCTACAGTTGAGACTGATGTTGGATTTGGAGCAGTCGCTTTGTTCCAAATCCAGTCGTCGCCACATTTGTTAGATCGAGACCAGTGTTGTAAATTGTGTGTTGTGGTGACACACTGCCAAGCCTTTTGCCCGTTTGGGCATCGAGCAGTGACGCTGAACTTATGATCCACAATCACGTCACGCGCGCATTGTCGCGGCAAATCTGCGCTCGAATCTCCGAATGTTCAGCTTAGCTAAGCACTTCTATATGCTCACACGACTTCATCCTCAATCCTTTTCTTAGTTCTTTCATTACACCTCCACGCAGGCTACCAAAATATCTCCTTAACATAAGCACCAAGCTTAACTCTATCAAAAAATGCGGCTCCAAGCCCGATACCCCGTTTACCTAATAGGAGCGATCCAGCTCACTAGTTGCGTTGTAGACGCAAAATACTTCCCTCGTCGAGCGCTCCAAGGGCCAGGCGTCCAACAGCTCCGCCCGGTTGTCCTTGCGAATTCAGCACCGGCTTTGGAAAAGCCTTTACAGACTATAGAAACCCGAAAGCCGCCGGTCGAGGTCGAAATATTCGTCATGAGCAAGGTATGTTAGGCCTCTGGGACCTTTTCCGTAGACGTCTAGGAATTTTCCTTCCCCCTGACCTGCAAGCTACAACCCGCATAATCACATATTTCCCTTTGCCCGATAATGTGATACGGGCTTAAGGCTCACCGGGCTTCTGTCAATCGGTCCACCAAGTTCTAACGGTATCCCTTATAACCTAGTGCCCCGATGCTCGAGACTGCGTTAGAGACCTCGTCCTCCCTGTTATGGCCCAACTTTACGATTCTGGAATTATAACGTTACGACCAACTTACATTGGCACACCCGATGATTCGAACGCTGGGATGGCATGTAAACATGGTCCCGACGAGTGCCTTGGCGATATGCTAGAGTTGTGTGCCTATGAGCTTCATAAGGATCGACCACAAATGTGGCTTGGGTTTATTAACTGTATGGGACAAAATTATCAGAATATTCCGCAAGATGCATATGTTTCCAATTGTGCATCGGAGTACGGGCTTAGCTTCGATCAGCTAGAGCGGTGTGCAGCATCCGAGGATGAGAATAGAGGGATGGAATTATTGAGGGCAAGTGCACGGAGGGCGATAGATCGGGGCATCTCAACCAGTTGCACTGTTACTGTTAATGGTAAGACAGTATGCGTGAGGGATAATGGGCAGTGGAAAGGCTGCACGGGTAGCAAGGATGACTTGGTCCAAGAAGTCCAACACGCTTACAATAACGAATAAAAAACGGAAGGGGTCGTGCCAACCTCGCTACGGGACCTTGTGGAACGGCAGTGGCTTCCGAGGATTCCCACTTAATTTGATGTCGTGGTGGTAACCGAACGGCTTGGAAATGTGGAGGAAATGCTTACTTACACCTAAATGGCCTATTTACATACGTCCGACCCGTGGAGGCGAATTTTATCATTATAACTCAACAACAATAATAATGTCTAGGATGGAATGTTGAACCTGCGTTGACACGCATGCATTATGCCAGGGTTATCCTCCGTGTGCGAAAAATGATACCATGGTTTTGCTTGGGGAACCTTTGACCTTTCTAATCGCACTGGTGGTTACGGGAGTCCGGGGCGTTTCGTTTTGTTAATTCTCAAACTTTCTTATGTATCTTTAAGTACCTACCTACTCGGAAGTCGCAGGAAGCTCGAGGAACCAATTACCTTTCTTCTTTAACTGCATAGTTGGCACAGGCTTTACCGTTCTCTGGCTTACGTCGTTCCCTTCTTTTTGTGTTCTTTCAATATTCCCATTTCAACATTCCATTCCAGTGCCGCATATGCGTCTCAACATTCCATTCCTAAATCTGGGATCGCGGCTTGAGAATGGATGCTCGATCTGGCGCGGCGGGGAAAGCCTTCACAGGGGGTGTTGGGCTTTAGGCTTGCGCAAGGTGGTCGTTGTGGTTAATATTCCTTTTCTGGACTGACCTTTTGGGGATAACTTGGGATGACGGCCCAAATAGTCACTTTTTAAAGCTAATGGACGTTTTATTACGTATGTATATTTAGTCACTTGGAACGCGAGAACTCCGGCTGCTCAATCTGCTATCACATGGAGGGCCATCCATAGGTCCTGAATAGATTGTTTTTTCTTCTTTATTCCTTTTTCCTTTTAGAAAAATATGCCAAAATGTATACCATTGAATACATAGAATAAGCTTTGCATATGTAGGGCTTTCTTAGAAGCCCCGAGAGACCCGTGGCAGGAGGGTTTCAGAAAATGTCGAACAATAGAGTACATACATACATGAAAGAAGAGAATGCGGAAATACATTATACAGTGAAGCGAAGGTGCGACAAGGTTTCTTTTGTGAGGAAGATCTCGAGGCGGGGCCAAAACGTAACATGATTCTGTGATGGTAAAGACTGGATGGTTCGAACCTTGTACAGGTGTTAGGTAGGTTGATCTTTTGGTTGAGGCATGGCCGGAAAAAAGAACGATAGATACTTAAGTATCTTTCCTTTTAATGAATATACCCCAAAAAAAAGCCTGTTAAAGAAGAAGAAAAGGTTCTAAATAATATAGAAGATGCGCAACTAGCAAGAGGGTATATTTGGTGATGATTGTAAACGCCCGTTCAGATTGGAAAATAAAAATGTGAAGAAAAAGAGATGTTGAAAATAAATAAATCCGTTGGTCGCTAAAGAATATAAGTATAAGAAACCTGTACAGCAGCGAGAAATTCTTATATCCAGTTGGTGGACCTAGAACCCCGGATTCTAATGACTTTAACCTGATCTTTTGAAACTCGCTGCGAGGTTCTTGCGCAGGCGGAGTGTAAATCAGGACTACTTTGGTTCAACGTCTCGAATGGTAGCCGCTCCCGAATCAAGAGTTTTGGGCCAAAGCTTTCGCTTCCAAGTGTAGAAGGGAATTCAAAAGACTGGACTTCTGGTAAGTGTGTCGAAACTAGAGTAGAAGCGGCATCATCGACATAGTGATCAACAAATGTATCTGCATCGGTGTCCCTATCGCGGATGTCGGCTTCGTAGGCAGATCTTAGGCAATGGCTCGAGGCGTACGACCGTGATCTCGAAGCGTACGAGTTAGATCTAGTGCTCGAAACTTCTTGTGTAGTAACCACAACATTATGGTCGGCTTTCCACGGCCACTTCCCGGAGGAAAAAGATGCATATCTCCTGTGCTGCAAATGGAGCGGGGTAGTTTCTTCCTCTCCGCCATATTCGTCATATTCTTCGTTGTAATAGTCGTAAGCTTTATTCGAATCTCTACTAACATGATCGAAACCGAGCGGGAAATTGTAGCTAGTTGGGAGAGGCGCCTTTGGCTTCGGTGATAAGCTAATTGGTGACATTGGTTCTAAATCCAGCTTGAAGTCGAGGGTTTGGCTATCCGGATCATTGCAGTTGCAGCTCAGCATGTCGGTGTTTCCTAACGATGCAAGCAATGTGCGAGACGGTAGATCGCAATCGACACACACTGTTGATGGGTATGAAAGCGAATTATGGTGGAAGTCTGTTGGCCAACCCTGTTACAAATGAGTACATTAGCGCCTCAAATTCATAGAAGAACGCGTGCTTCATTATATATTCCAAAGATCTTAGGATTACGCTTACGATTTGAACGTCCTGCTTCCGCCCATTTTTCAACTTCTTCCCCATCGTATGCTTTGATGGTGCGCAGCCCATCTTGGGTCTACAGAAGAAAGCTCTCAAAGATCTGATTGAAGGAGGTATTTTGGCGGTTGAGGGGATCCCTGGTCCTAAGACGGGATCGAATCTTATGAATATGATATAGGCGCGTGTTATTTATATCTGAGGTTAGAGCCTGGGAAGACAGGAAGCTACAGCTGAAGCTCAGAGCGGGCTGGTGCAAGCATCAAATAAAGAACCCCGGCTAAACCGATCTGCGACTTCGAAGGGGGATATATAGAGCTGAATACTACAAAGAGCGACGGAGAATCCAGGAGTTCTTTTGACGTCAATTCTGACGGGGGGTGGGCTTAAAGTACTATTTGATGTCAAGGGCAGCGGACCTGCCAAGTATCATATACGGCAGCAGGGTCACAGGATGGGTACTCAAGAGTAGAGCCGAATTGCAAGGAAAAGAAATATGCGGGACTTAGGAAACGAAAAGAATTAAACAAAAAAAGCCCCTACTCCGGTTCCCTTAGCAGTGGCAACTGAGAGAATCGCCGTGTGTTATTGAGCTTCTCGAGGCATAACGTGGGATGCAGATACCTCGCTTCTGAAAATGCGCCCTTGCATAGCAGAGCAAAGAGGGAAACAAGCCAAGCTTGGTTGAGTAGTTAGCCAAAATCCACGACGGTTGGAAATGCGTTGCAAGAATGCAAGAGAGGGTGGGGGACTCTTGGAAGGGGAAGGGGAAAGGTACACACGGAGATCCATATATATGTGCGGAAGACGTACGATACTATACTAGTTCTGAGTCGAGAGCCGTTTGAGAGGTTGGTGTCATATCGGATGGATTGTGCGGCAGGACAGAACGTCACGTCACCCAGTACTACCCGGCTAGCAGATGCATTACATTGCATAGGTATCGACCGATATCTACCTAGGTTAAGCTAGGGGAGGGGGGAGGGGGGAGGTTCGAATCGAATTCAAAACAGTCTAGATGAGCTAGTTGGACGATCGAGAGCTCTAGCAGAATGCAGTCATGATCTTCGGGCTGCGCTGCAGGCCGCACGCACGGGCAGGTCTGGAAACGGCCATCTGATACTTCTTGTCCGAGTATCATGGCTCCGTGGGGTTCAACTTCGGCTTCGACGGTTGGCGGCCTGAATGTTATGAATCAAGGTGCGAGGCTTTGCATTTGCAATTGCGCTTGCAATGCCGTTCGATGTTCAACGTTCAGGGTTTGTGCTACCCAACGCCCAAAACGGGTTAGTTCGCAGAATGCAACAGAGGAACCTTGCATGCGGAATACTGGCTGGCTGACATTCCACTTGCAATTCCGTGGCAGGCTCAGGACAAGAACTTGAATTGGGTGAAAGAATCTCCACCGGAGGCAAGGAGGCTAAGGGGTTTCGAAGATCACTGCAATATTTCTCCGTTAAGAGGAATTTCTGAAGCTAGTTGCTCCCAATACTCAAGCAAGGGCCTAAGCCAGACGGGCGAATCCACCCGATGTTTTGTTAACAAAACAATATTGTACATGTACAATCGCTAAAAAAGCATGGCCACGGGTTCACCATTTTTCTCTTTGACCGTTTAGGCGGAATGATCGATATAATTGATTCGTATTGAATCTCAACTTCCAGACTCTCGTGAGCGAATACATTGCATGAACATAGTATGTATGTGTGTTTATCAGGGGTAGTGACTATCGGAACCAGATTTCCACCCCGTGCATGATCAACTACACAGAATAGCTATCCGCAACAATTAACTCGATCGTTCTGAGTTCGAGTGATGTCAGAGATATAATTTAGAAATCACGGATGCAGGCAACCTTACTTCGATAGCCATAGACAATAGGTGAAATGTGACGATGGTAATACATGTACACATCACAATGATGTATTTTTAAATGCATGCTTGACCTTCCCTGGCCTTGTCATAACACGAATAAAATACTCCGTACAGATATTGCAACTAGGAAAAAAGCTAAATCGGTATCAGAGCTTAAGACATGACATGACATGACAGCCCTACAGCTACATACAGTACGTACGTTACTATCCAGAAAGTATGCATGCATACCTGTATCACTCGAAACTTGGAAAAATCTACCCACCTTAGCAAGCTCCCCCATGTTCTCGCCAAAAAATAATATAGCGGCCTTCATTATCTAATTCGAAACACGTTGCTAATAAACTGATGGAGAATCCCTTTCTACTGGAAAGAATGCCCGAGGGTATAAGCAAAAGGAAGTCCGCGAACCGTCCTTCCTTCCTTCCTCATACCCCTCTCACTATCTAGACGCGCTCCATACTACACGGGTCGATTTGAATATCTCGTATCGCGCAGTAAGGGGTCATATCATGCGAGTATTCACATGATTCTGGATCGGATTTATCAGATTGACACGTTTAGTGCTATTCGACTAGCTATTAGGGTACCATCAAGGGGCCGGATTGGGCGCCTCTCCAATTATTGCAACCCACCCGAAGTCACGATCAGTGGACCCTGAACGTTCCAAAAAAAAAAAGAACAAGAAGAAGAGAAGATAGGAACTTATTCCATTTAGAATGAAAAGATACCTTCAAACGGATGGTTGGAATTGTGCAACCTATGGAATATGCGCGGGATTAAGCCCCAGTTTAGGCGTCCCCATAAAATTGCGGCGAGGGGCTCGATAAAGGCGAGCGGGATGGTGGGGCGGTACATGCGTACGACATAGATAACTTGAAGGGTCACATTGTATCCCATATCAAACGGTCGGTAAATGAATACAAGTGGCTTGGACAATTCGAGACAAAATTGGGATGTCCATTTCCCCTGTTTCTCGAGAGGGGTAACTATATCCGTCACCCGGGTTCTCCGATGCTTACCAAATGCGGTACTATTTTTTATTTTAATATTCCATAATGACACTGGAGTTGTCCGGCGATGCCTCACATTTTAGCTCTCAACAGAGAAGTGGCCTGATAATGAATTGCGAAGAAAAGTTTCAGGGCCTAATTGTTCGAGCTATTTTTGCTAGACATTGATGATGCGGACCGGATTCATGGAAACTTAGTGCTCTAATACAAACTTTTTTCATCATTGTCTGTGCTAGACCTCCTATTAATAATAGCCATATATGCTAGCTAGCTCCAAAACGTTTTCATGATTTTAGACATCCGCAATCGATACTCGATTGTCTTGGACTAAACAAAGGTAAGAAAGCTGGAGCGCGAAGTTTTGATATCTAATTGAGACGCATGCATTCTCCGCGGAGCCTAGCCTGCGATGTTAGAAAAAGCCTACCTCATAATCTCTAGTTGATTGTGTCATAGAATTTAAACCTGCTTGAGGTGAAAGTTCTTCAATCTAACGAACTGATCAAAACCAAATTTGGACAATGTCTGGCCTCTACCAGAGTTCTTCCACCCAGTCCATGCCAAATCCTGAGATAGAATTAAAACGTTAGGTCAATCAGCCAAAGGTTAATGCATGTACTCACCGGACTTGGGTAGTCAGCTCGGTTGACGAAGACGGTGCCGGCTTCAACACCGTCTGCTAGCTTCTCTCCAGTGGATACATCGCGAGTCCAGATCGACGCGGTCAAGCCGAGGTCAGAGTCGTTCATCAATTGAATCGCTTCTTCATCAGAAGATACTTTTTGGATCGGGATAACGGGTCCGAAAGTTTCCTCCTTCATAACCTCTGCAAGTATCCAAGGCAGACTTATTGTCAGAAAATCCTTTTACCCCACGAATTCCGCTGCATAAGGAAAGACTTACGCATAACATGATTGACATTGACCAAAATCTCTGGTCTGACAAACGTTTCACCAAGGGCTTCACCTTCCCCAAAGACATCGGGTGTCAAAGTTTTTGCTCCGCTTTTCAGGGCCTCCTCGACATGTTTCCTGATATTTTGCGCACTCTTGACGCTTATGACGGGGCCAAGGTGATTCGTCCCTGTAAAGGGGTCTCCAAGCTTGTAATTCTTGACAACGCCAACGACCTCATCCACGAACTTGTCGTAGATGTCTTGGTGAACATACACTCGCTCAATTGAGCAACAACTCTGGCCGCTGTTGAATACCGCCCCGTCAACAATTTCTTCCGCCGCCCATTTGATATCAACATCAGGTCGGATATATGCGGGGTCATTCCCTCCTAATTCCAACCCCACCGGAATAACGCGCTTCGAGGCCGCCTGCTGTGTGGCAATTCCTCCTCCTACAGATCCTGTGAAGGTAACGGAGTTGATCCCCGGTGCAGATATTAATTGCGACAAAGTATCTGCATTTCCACAATGGATGACCTGAACCACATTCTTCGGTAATCCCGCCTCTTCAAGAACAGACAAGAAGGTTTCAGGGACTGTGGGAGTTTGTGGAGATGGCTTCAAGATGAGAGCATTCCCAGCAAGCAACGCGGGAACCAAAGAGTTCACGAGAATGAGATATGGATACTATCATCCTGATCAGAATATTAATCTTTATTGTAAAGGGTTTTTTTTTTGGCTTCGCAGATATCCGAAATATATGCGGTAAAATAAATAAAAGAAACATTCAGGGCAGGAAAGTTTCATTCGGAAAACTTACATTCCAGGCAAAAATCACGAGGACGGTACCAAGGGGTTCCTTACGAATATATCGCTTGAAGCCGGCCTCTTCGTCTCCGGGAACGTCCTTGAGAGCTTCGGTGGATGCCTTAAGCATGTAACGGCCACGAAGAACGGCGGTCCTAACCTCTTTGGCACAGTATTGAATAGGCCTACCCATTTGCTCAGTAAGATCCCGAGCAAGATCGTCAGCCCTGGAGTCGAGAATATCCAGGGCCTTAGCAACAAGTTTCTGGCGGGCGGGAAGATCATAGGAAGACTTGAAGCTGACGAATGCCTTTTTTGAAGCTTCGACCAAGGCGGGGATCTGTTCAGGGGTGAACTCATCCCTGGTATGGATTGGTTTCTGGGTAATTGGGGAGATAGTAGTGAGCACCGGTTTATTAGACATCTTGTCGGTATATTGTTGATACTATCTGCAAATATCCGGACGTACTAGTAGTACCTGTGAGCCAGATAGCTAGATTGAGATCTCGAGTATACGAGTATGCGATTTATGACTAGGTATCAGGGTTAATCAAGTGCAAGTGGGGTAATTTGTGATAACTATCAGCTTAAGAGGAAGATCGAAGATATCGGGATTTTAGTTTAGAGTTCAAGAAGGCTATTAAACTTAAGTGTAAAGTGGCCGTCGTCTGTACATGCACGCATTAATACTGGTGGTTATTGGAAGAGCCCCGCCAACATTTACCGCGCGCAGATTAGGTCGGATTCGCCCCACCGCACATCTTATGTAAGCTAGACCGGCAAGCCACGATGCGGAGCTTATAACACCTAGATCTCGAGGCCTAGAGGGTTCCAGTTATCGAAGTTTTGATTGGCTTAAATTAAATCAGTACATGTTCATATACACGTGGTGTTAGTATACGTATACGCATGTACGATGTACACCTATATAATGCATTGAATTCGTGTGTAAGATGGTTAACGTTACCATGTATACCATATATATATGGTACCATGAGGGCCGGACATGCTATGCTGGTAGATGCGGCGGACATGCGGCGGACATGCGGCATCACTCGAAACGTTTCAAACAAAACGCGCCATCGTCTGCAAACTCAATTGCAAAGTACAGTTCACTGCACCGTACAGTCCAGCGCGACCACAAGACATCGCATCGTCAAAACCGCGAAATAGAATCCGGATCGAAATCTGAATCACATATCAAACACTATCTTTATCTCTGCCAATCCCTAGAGATACTTCATTCCCGCCTGGCCTATATATTGGCCGTATTGGACGCGCCCCTACATCGGTCGTAGTTTTGCGTCCCGCCGCACTACATACTGGGCGACGACAAGGTCGCAACAAGAACAACTCAGAAACGACAAGCTGCATAGCCTAGCCGAAGAATCGAATGGCCATATGTTGATATCGGAAATGTCGATTTGAATTCAACGGATTTTTATATTACAAGAATAACAACTTTCGCTTTGCTCTTTCGCTTGTCTCGCCGTTTTTATATTTTATATCTGTTCCTTTTCATATAGATATTTCTCTCCCTTCTTGATCGAAGTGGTTAAAGGAAGAGAAAAAAATCTCAAGCAAATATGGCAAAAGACACAGAGCCACCGAAGTGGAGGATATTGGTATCTTCTGGTCAGTCCGATGGGAATACATCTGCTCGGCCGGATCCACAGCAGTTAAAGCCGGGGGCAGCTGTAGGGCACCTAGTGGAAGTGTCCCATAATATGGTTCTGGATGTCTTATGGAGACAGATGTTAGGAACATTGTATATGGAAAAGGTTTGCCCGGAGGAGCATGCAAAACGTATGTGTGAATCATAAAATCTTTGATGACAGATCCGGAAGTCGAGCCCCCAAACTAACTTGACGATAGATCAATGGTGGGTCCTAGAGGCACTACCTGCAAACTATCAGCTATATACGCATCGCAAGCCGAATCCCGAAAAGCTGGTTCGTCTTTCTTCCCTGCTATAACCATTCCCATCCAATGGATCTTGTCTGGTGCCTGATGTATATTATTATCTCTGACACACATGTCTGGTTCTAGACGGCAAAACAACTGGCATCTACTGGTCTCTTTTTTGGTCTCAGAGCCGGCAATTCCAACCTGGCTTTCCAATCGCCCCAGGATTTCTTACCACATCTTATATGGCTAGAAAGCGACAAGAGTAAAGCATGTACTTGTCGTCATTGCAACAGGCCCCCAGAGCCTACTCCGGTCAATGGGCAGCTCCCCTACCCGATCCTGTTGAAACTCATGCAGGCTGATTCTAACCCTGCGAGTGGCCTGTATCGACCTGGCGAGATGGTATGGGCAAACCCTAACGACACTTACCCTGTGATCTCCATCGTGGCGAGCAGGGTTCTAGCGGAAGGTGCAGAGGCAACGTATCAATTAGTCCCTCTTAAGTCGCCCCGCATTATCAACCGACCACCCTTCACTCTGCCAGAGAGTCGCCTTCGCCCTTGGCTATCATACACGCCACCTGACCCTCTGCAGCCATCGATCTCACAGCGGAAGTACCAAGTCAAGTGGGCGGAGATCAATTGGCAGGAATGGAATCGCCAGGATGCGGAATTGCATGATGCAAGTATCATCGCAAGTATCCGCATCGCCTGCAACATCGGCATCACCACGTGTGCTACCGAAACGGGTGAAATTATAATCCCTTGTCTATGGCTAGGGGCTGAGAAGATTTGGCGGAACGAGGAAGTCCGCGTTATGACACCTGAGATTGAAGGCCAGAAGGGTATGGACGTGCTTGTGATCAAGGATATTACTCGAGACGGTAACAACGGCTTGTTCTTCCAGGGCAATGTCTACTGTAAAATCCTGCATCCTCTGCAACCGCAGCAGTTTCCGGACCCGCCGCCGACACCTAGAATGCAACAGGATGCGGCGAGCATTGGGTGCCGCTGGTATTTAAAATATCCAAATGTCCAAATCAACGCCATGGAGATCAAGGGGAGATGGTACCCATCGTCTGTTCTACGGCCAATAATAAACCCTGCGGCCGAACCACCAGATAATACATACTACGATGTTAGCGTATTACTCAATAACAATACGGACATTCCAAACCATAGTGGAGGTTGGAGGGTTAGTTCGAATCGAGAAGAGCATGTCCTTGGGATCGGGCATCTAGCCAATAATCAGCCCGCCGGTTGGATTAACATTGACGATTGGAGAAGGCTGTATGTGGATGATGCTAAGCAATGGACTCTTGAAACTGCTCCGGTCCAGTCTATCCCGGTCCAACAAGTCCAGCAAGCCCCGACAGTTCCAAACGCAGTTGAAACTACAAAACCGGTATGATGCCCACATCTTTTAGCATTGGCTTTGCAGCACAACAGCGCACATTATTCTTAGTGAGAGATGCTAGTGGACCTACGCTGACCCCAAAAACGGCTTACAGGCAAAGAAGGCTGCTACCACACGTAAAACGACCACAAAACGTGTCAGCACGAAAACCAAGCAGACTGCGCAAACGGTAGAAGAGCCACCATCTGAACCGAAACTGCAGCAATCTCCTGCTCCAGCTCAAGCCGCCGCTCAGGCTCAGGGTTCCACCGCGCCGTCGGAGCAGGAAGCTAATAGGCAGCAGGCTGAGAACTACGACGATAACCATGAAGATGATTTTCTACGTCAGATTGAACAGGACGGAGCCGATTTCGAGAAGGCCGTTCAGGAGGGTGACCCCTGGGCTTTCTACGGCTAATCACTTCGACATACAATAATACTCAAACTCGAAGCTACATATATGCATCTTTGGCTTGGAATTTCTCTCGGTGTGTTCGAACGGAGGCATCGATTAGCTCCTTGAAAGGACTTAGCTTTCCCCCAGCTCAACTCTTTTTTCTTCTTTTTCCTCTGCTTCTTTGGCGTACCCCGCAATATCCTATCTGATCCCTTGCCGTTGATACCTGAGCATTTCATAGCGGTCTGTATTCGGATTAGATTTTCTGCTACTCCACAGTAACTACATATTACTTTGCAGATAAAGTACTATTGCATGTGCTGATACATGTAGCAGTACATGTACGTACATTACATCCTGCAGGTACTTTTCTTTCAAAGCCAAAAGCCATACTCCACAAAAATCGCTCCATGCAACTGCGCAAGTTAAATACTGAGTTTTTGGGGTGCATAGAAAAACGGGGTAAAGTACAGTCGATTCTGAGCTTGTGACACGCCAAAGAAGGAGAAGAATTCAGGCTAAATGTATGATAAAACGCAACCTGAGGAAACGGTCCCTATATTACGCAAGCATTGCAGCAGAGACTACTAGCTACTAGTACACATGTAAAATTAAGAATAAGGGGGTGTGGAGGTGTGCCTGACGCTTTGACAGTTGGATATTATTCGAGAAGAGAACATGTGGTAATACTTCTGATGATCGAAGTAATGTGTGATGGTCTGTGTGTCGATATGCTCCGTAGACGGTCCGGAGAATACTAACCTAGACAGTACTAGCAGAGTAGCTCCGGGTCCTCATCCTCAGCTTCGGGCCTGAACGCTTCCTCGCAGGCACGGGGCTTGTAGCCCCCGGACCGGGGTCACTGGGAATGCCCATGTAAACGCCCAATCTCACTGCAAGGAAGCAACGAATAAGCAGCGGCCGGCGGAGATTGAAAAGCCGGGTAAAGACCGGGTAAACTCTAAACCCACGTTGCTAGCGCTAATTTTCATTGGGTAAACCAGTTTTATTTTCGCACCAATTGAAAGCAATTTAGCCGGCAGGAGACGGGTCCGGTCAGCCATATGATGCTAAGAGCTTGGGATGATTTCAACTTGTGTCAATTGGTGTGCATACACAGGTACTGTACGGACATACATGTTGAGTACATTGGTGTGTAATTACTTACGAAGCGGAAGTACTTACTATGCAATAGGCTAACGAAGGTTCATGGGACGCCACCACTTTCGACCTCCGGCCTCCGCAATGAATGAACCGACTGGCCAATTCACAATTTAGCTCATAGCCTTTGACCATTTCATTTCATCACACCCTCTTTTTCCTGTTCTTTTGGCTGGTAGAAGTGGGGCCTGGTTTTGACGCTAGAAGCTGGACGGAATATCTCAGGAATCTCTCTCAAGGTTGCATGACGAGCACGCACACCAACAAAACAGAGACAAAGACTTGACATCGTATGCAACATGGCTGTGCGCGGCGTGTGTATGTGTTTAAGAACAGCCAAATGTCTCGTTTCCACGATCAAGAATTGTCCCTTTGCATTATCATGCTCTGACATATTTTTCCTTTCTAAACCTTTTCGAACAGAGGTTGTCGCGGAGGTACACATCATCTGCAGACATCTTCAAGCTGCATGTCAATGAATAAGTGCAAATGGAGTTTACACTCGTCATAAAGTAGCTACCACGGATCAAACGACTACCTCCCGACTGGATACTTCGTATCCCACCCGCAGGATGTGGGAGGGAAAAACTTGGTTCCACCTGCATGTTCTTTTTTTTTTTTACATTAAACTCCAACAAGCATCAGGCATGTTGCGACGGAATGCAGAACCTAACGATGCTTAGTTCTTTTATTGGCTGTCTGTTTCGTTTGGCTTGCCAACATTGGGATGATGGTGAGCATGAGATGCTCGGATTTCGAGGGTGGTGGGTACCATCAACGACTAGACTAGCTCCACGCACGGCATTCTCGAATTCGAATATTCTTTCCTGCTTCGCGACTTTACCGTTTCGATACTAAGCATATTAATATTAATTTGGAATAACCACTTACTTTTCAGTCAAAGATATATAATATGTGTTTTTGTTTTCTCGTAAAGTGGGACCGCCAGTCGTCTTGCATACGGAGGGTCGAAAAAAAAAAAGTGGGTTTGCAACCTTTACTTCCCCAGAAGAAGCTATTCAAGCTAGCTTGCAGCAAGCGTCGAGAGTTCTGCTCAGGCGACTCTCCATGTACGCCCCACAAAAAAAACATTCTAGGCTGTACGGTGTTAAGAAATTAGTTTTGACGAAGGCGACCGCTTCAAACGTAACTGAAGCATTTAAAGTTGTCACTATCGAAAGATACAGTTAGCTAGGTTACTAATTTGTATGGGGACACAAGCATCAGGAAAAATTATACCTCCCCCAATGTTTCTGATCAAGTAATCGATTAATTGCACGAAATCAAAGACAAGTCCTGCGAGTGTGCAGTGTCTAACGCACCTGATCATTTCGGGACCTCGCTTTGATTGGTGATATCATGCACGTCGCTCTTTCATGGGGGCAATGGATCATGCTCGCAGAGTCAGGAAGGCCAGGGGCCTCGGTTCCCTTTTCGTCGAAGCTTTTTTGGCCGATTTCCCGTTTTGCCAAGTTCATCTCGGGGTTTTTTTCTCGTAGCCCCTGGGGAGATGGTCCGGGGAAGTGACTCGGGGACCTAAGCGTAGCCGGATTAATCCCGGAGAATAACAAGCTATCCCGGAACGCGCGGTCAAAGTGAAATGCAACAGCTGCAGGTCAACCTAAGTCGAAAGGAACGGAACAGAAGAAACCTGCTTACACGGTACAGTGCGTTCGTGACGAAGTTCGATTTCGATAAAGATATCGACGATTCCGTGACCGCTCATCAGAGCTAGAAGAAGAATGAGGGAAATCTCGAAATCCTAACTGCAAAATGACATATCTGATCTTCGTACCGCACGTGCATGCCGATGGCGCGGGCCTGTAATCACCAATGGAGGTGCAAAGAATTGGGGGATTATGACAAGGGAACGGCTCCACATGATACTTACTGTGGAGTGTTGCTTCCCCGCAGAATACATCTCCACCGGTGATCCCTCAGCTTAGGGGTTTGGTAAGCACATTATATTGGCTCCTATCGATGTAGCTGGCCAGTAGTGTATAGAAGAACTCGAAAATGAGAGCATATCGCATTATCTTTCAAGCTAGCGAATGCTTTGTTGTTGATCGCCCTGGAGGGTAATGTATGTCCACATACGTACAAGTAAGCAGAGCTGGTGCTAAAGTAACTCTAGGTGTGGGTAGTGGCTGATCGGTTCCGTTTGTACAATTCGTATTTTTTATATACTTTCAAGAGCCTAGGTATAATCTACATAACACAGGTTTGTAAAAAAAAAGAAGAAGAATGAGAAGAAGAAGAAGAAGAAGAAGAAGAAAAGAGACATCATAGAGAGGACAAAAATATACAATGATGAAAGGAAGTAGATGATGATGATGATGATGATTCGAGTCAACTCCCAAGAGGACTCAAAAAGGGTTGGTCTATATAGATAAATTATGACTAGGAAATTAAAGAAATCGGGGGGGTGCGAAAGACAAAAATATTCTACACAGGATATTGTGCAATAGCTTTTCGAGAACCAAAAGATAACAGACCAAGGAGACACCCGGGATGACCAAAAAGTATGTACAAGAAGAGAAATGGCCATGGTGAAAATATATATATGGTAAATGTAGCTTTGCTTCGGACCCTGCAAAGAACACAAGCAGAAAGTTGTAAGGGAAATCAAATACATAGAAATAGGAGGAGCATCGAGCTGCGAACCGAACTGTGGATATTCGAAAATGCAAAGGTAAAAAAAGAGTAAAAAAAAAAACACAAAACAAAATCCAAAAGCGCCCATGAAATACTCGTGAAAAACATGACCATATGAAGCACGAAACCGAAAAGGAATGGAGAAGACCAACCCGTGGAGTGAAACAAAACGCCAGATGCCCTCTCTTTCGAAGCAATAGAAAACGAACAAAATCTCAAAGTGCCAAACCATGCCCATCCCCACACCATCGGTAAAGCATAAGGACTTCTCTGCGTCTTTGCTTCTGTTCTTCCATGTCTTCGGGTAGGCATCTGCCACGTACTTGGGCTAGTGCGGATCGCATGACTTTACGGAAGTTTCGTTGGTATTCCGTGTTTAGAGTAACCACACACACTTCGTGAGCCCTGACGATAGTTTCACAAGCACCAACAACTGCCTGCGACGCCTCCCCTTGAAGTTTATCTGCGATAAGAAGAAGAAGGAAGCTACCTTGGAGCAGATAGATACCGAAGAAATATGGCATAAAACTTAAATCGGGGTCGTATTTGAGGATGTTTCCTATCGCTTCCGCTGCTGAGACGGCATGCGCGGTAGCAGAGATGAAACCGGGCGACGAAATCCACAGATCGTTATCGTCAAGCATGCTAATGGGGTCCCATTTTCCAGATAGGAGTATGTGGAGAACATGAAGAACATGTGTTCCGTATGCTAGAGCAATCTTTTTCTGCATTTGGTCCCCGGAAAGAGGAGAAGAAGACTTATCGGCGGCAGGAGCTGGTGGAGGGGCAATAGCAGGATCTGTTAATGTGTCGCCATTGTTACCCTGCAGACGAGCCTCGGTAGTTTCGGGGAGTGTTTCAGCGGCCTGTTGCTGTCCATTCATATTAACAGCATCGTCGCGTGGTTTCTCTTGGTCGGTATCAAGCCTATTATGCTCCCAGTCTGACAGGCTTCGTTCGTACATGTCGAGTTGGCTCTGGATCTCTGCAACTTGGTCTTCCCAATCTGCACCAGAGCCACCGAAACCCTGCCCGAGTCTTGGATGATTCCTTGCGTGATGAAGGTCCACTATTTCTCCCAGAATTGTCATGAGAGGGAGGAAGAAACCGAAGAGACTTGGTCCTGTGACCTGGATTGTTGGTCCCGCACATCGATTTGCCTGTTGAGGATTTGATGAGATCGATGGTGGAGGTGAAGGGTTAGAGGCATAAATGTTAGGTACCTGATTCAAGGGATGGAACGGGTCCGCGAGGTCTTGCCCATTGCTGTTCTCATGGGACCCGTAGAAATCACCGTTCTGCCATCTCGTATCATCCATTGGCTGTAGCAAATCAACGCACTCAATATCTCGAAGAGCTAATGGTCGGTTGTAGCACAAGGCAAGGTGTCTATCGACAATATACAATAACCACCAAATCCTGCGCCTCTCTTCTTTTTCCTCTTCGCCGATTGTTGACCGTGTATTTGGTACGACTCCTTCCTCCTGTTCTAGTTCCGGTTGGTCACTAACTTCCCTGTTCAGTCTGAGCTCCCTTGCTAGAGCCCATGCCGCGTTCCACCATCGTAAAGATGCGCCTTTAAACTCCGAAGCAGAAATAACTGTAGCTAAATGTATATACGTAAGAATATCGTCAACAGTCCCAGCAGCTCCCACAACACCTTCTCTACCTGTTGGGCCTGGTGATGCTAAACCTCCAAGCCCCATTCCCGCGTTTTCGTTCTCATGCGATGAGTGGGAGGAGCCGACCGCCACTGAACCCAGGGGAATATGGACCAACGGTCTCAGAAAACCAATGCACATCTCCAGCAGTTTCTGGCAAATCCGGCCCCGAGCACTGGGAGAAACCGTAAGGGCTGGAGCATCCGAAGTCTGAGCCGCAATCCAGAGCATCGATGCCAGGAGTGCCGGCGTAGTCAATCGAGGATGTGTCGGATGCAGAACTGACTTCTTCCGCAAGACGTGGCATAGAACATACGGAGACGCCGGCTGGAAGAATGAGAGAATCGGATTCAGGAAGAAGAGATCTAGAAGTTCGCAAGCAAGATGTGTTGGAATTATTTGTTGCAAGTGGGGGAGAATAGGCAAAAGGACGGGGTACCTCAGATGATTTGGATTCGAGTGCATTGGAGTAGGTGGCGATGGCAATGAGAGCCAGCCAGGGGACTGATTGTCCGGAGATTGGCCCAGAAGACCCGCCAGTGGTGAGATGCCTGCACTCGATAGACTCAAACCACCTTGAGGCCCGGCTTGATGTTGAGGAGAGATCATCATGAAGTCGTGGCCATAGCTTTGGTTAGGCATCGGCTGGGCAGCATGAGTCTGGAGTTGAGGGTGCGGGAGCATTCTGGCGCCACTCATCAGGCCGTTTTGTTGGGGCTGGTACTGAGGCATCCTCCCATATGGCACTTGCGCAAAAGATTGATCGCTTATATGGGCCATATGGGTAGGCGAGTCTGGTGTTGGCAAGTGGTGGTGATGTTGAGATGGCAGTCTATGGTGGTGGTGTTGCTGTTGCATTTGGCTTGGAGAGAAATCGCTTTGGTCACTGGATGCTGTATGTGTGGAGCCAACAGATGACCTATTGGGCCTTGGAAATCCCAAGTCTGGACGAGGCGGTGGTGGCAGCTCAGAGAAAGATTCCCTTGATGCAGATGTAGGCATCATGGCCACTGGGGTTTGTGATTCGCCATTCTCCTCGACAGACCCACCAGCGGTAGGCGTAGAGGTTGCAGCGGCCGCAGCAGCAGCAGCAGCTTGTGCATTTTGAATATCTTTTCTTGATGCCTTGCCTCGCTTCTTACGCTCTCGATTGTATTTGCAGTCAAGGTTGAAGTCTACAAGAACACCCAACTCACCGGTTAAAACCAACGTTCTAACTATTTAAGTATGATTTATGACGACTCGAGTTCAGTCGGCTCGAAAGAGCGAGAACGGAGGAAGAAAAAAAAAAAAAAACTTACCGATACAATGTTGGCATGGCATTTTACCATCACATCTTGTTCTTAGTTGGTTGCATTGATCGCAAGCTCTGCTGATTCTGCGACGGATTGGTCCTGTTGTCGGTGAACCGCTACCAAGATGGCCCAGGGGTTGGAGTCCTCCGGGGCTTGGGGAACCGTAAGGGTGATGTCGCTTATTCATCATTGACTTCGGGTGATGGGAAAACGAGTATGATGAAAGTCCGTTTGACGACAAAGACTCGATGGTGGACGTATGACCGTTTAACAACGTCGGAGCACCAATGTAGCTATGATGAGGTATGCCTGTGGATAACATCTTCGAAAGGAAGGGCGGAAAAAGAGGGCGCTTTAGTTTTTGAATTTACCCAGGCTTTATATAATAAAGCAGGATGGATGGGGGATGTTAGTTTGTTAGGCGGGTCCACGTCCGGTCCTGTTGCTTGTTTGACCTGGTGCCCCGAACCCCAAAGCGAATTGTGGGGAAAAGCCTAAGCAAGATGGGTCGGGATCGAGTGCGAGAGCGCAGGACAAGAGCACTGCACTGTATCGAAACACGCTAGGCAAAAAAATAAAATAAAATAAGAACCAGCTTTTCGGCTTTCGACTTGGTAAGACAGACTAGAAAGTTTATGCGACTTTGCTGGATGTTAGCTGGCTAGGAAGGTTGTACCAAACTGTCGGTGGAATCCCCAATACGAAGTATATATAAATGAATGGTAGGGTGTGCGAAGGAAGGGTTGTTTGGCCAGGTCGCAGTGTGGTATTTTAGCGCAGTGATGGGCAGGCTTGCGTATAAGTCTGCTCAAACGAGATATCGATGATATGTGCCCCAGACCATGTGCCTGTTCGTATGGAGATGTGCGTGTGTATATATATAAGTATACTAGGTATGTACCTAGGTATGGACCTGGGTATATGTATAGCTAATATATAAATGGGGATTGAGGAATAAAAAATAAAAAATAAAAAAAGTAAAAGCAACGTGAAGAAGGGAAGAGGAAGGGACGGAAGGGAACCCAAGGGCGGGATATGTTTCTTTTGTGAGCCAAAGACCAGCCCCAAGAAAGCAGATGAAATGAAAAAAGAAGTAAAATCGCTGAATGGATGATATGAACGAGACAAGGGCAGAGGAAGGCAAGGCAAGCTAATTTGATCGAACTTACTTACCAGTTCCTGTCTGCAGCAACTTCACCTGTCTGAAGGTTAAAAAACAAAAAAGTATGTCTGATCGGTCCTGTACAGATGAAGAAACACCCTGGTCAGAGGCCACTGGCTGTTATTTGTGCGTTGACTTGGCCTGGGGTGCTGGCCTGGGGTTGCTGGGGGTGAAGGTGAAGGGTGGATCCACCATGCAGAAACTCACGCTAGGTCTTTTCCTGCCGGGCCACACTTTTGCCAGCCAGGCCCTGGAATGCGTATGTAAAAAAACTGTCGCTCGAAGAAGCAAAGACGGAAAGGAAAAACGAAGAAAGTCTCGTCCTATATTACAGTCGACTATGGAGTGGGTCAGACTGCAAAATGTCACTCTTCTGTGGGCCGGCTTCTCCAGACAAAAAGTTGGTGTGCTACGCTAATACAGAGAGATTCTGATATGTATGGTATCCCTTGTGACCCCGCCTCAACAGAAGCAGCAGAAAGCGGCCGGGTTCCTTTCTGGAGAGGCTGGATTGCCCGATGAAAGTGTTGATCAGGCAGGGCAGGAATTCATGCGAGGTCCGAGAGATCTTGCAATTGATGCTTCCCTAGCTGGTGGTCTGCGCAGGAGCGAGCGGCTTGCAGGAGGGGAAGGCGAAGCTAGGTTCAAGCTTCAGTTTCTGTCGCAGGTTAGTTAGCCAGCATCCTGATCACAGAATCGTCATACGTTTCCTAGGGCGTCTGTTTCGAGCCTCATCATAAATTTAGAAAAAGAGAAATGGTGAGTAGGCGAGGGCTTCCTGGATATCATGATTCTGATATCAAAATGGCCAGTTCACAAGGACAAGAAGGGAGATGGTAACGGTGATGCGACGACGAGGAGTCCGGCATCAACACACTTTCGGACCTGGATTTGGTGTGCAGCAACCTCTAAGGGGTTTCCCTCCCGCTCGCTCGCACACACTCTGAGAATATCAGGGTCTTTCGGTCTGATTCTTCAAATCAAGGCCTGCCTCTTTCTTTGTCTCTTTTTTTTCTTTCTATTTTTTCCTTCTCTTTTTTCCCTTTTCCTCTTTTTTTTTTGTTTAGAGCTTGGGCTTCGAATCCGAGACTTGAATCGTAATGAACACGCCGGCCTGATGTTGCATTTTGCAAACTCAGAATAGTAATCTTGTTGAAGTTACTTATCGAGTCCACATACGACAACTGATTCTAGAAACCCTAGTAAATCCCGAGCCTTTATTGTCCGAGCAAACGAGCAAGACTCGGGATATTTTGAGGCGTCATAGCGGAATCCGAGCCTCCAAGGTCGAATTGCGGGTAGGCCCATAAAAGTGTCATAATGTCATGAACAGAACTTTCAAACCAAAACCGCCCTGAGCTTTACAATCTGCAACTTACATGTTCTCGAACGACTACTGTTAATCTAAAACAAAAGTTCCGTCCTAGTCCGGATCTCTCAGAATGTCGATATGTAATCGTCGTTTAAGTCGTCAGTGACTAGACTATGTTGTGTCTTCTCGTGGTATGGGAGGCCAATGATGCCCTGCCTTTGGTTCTTGATCTTCTTCCTCTGGTTTAAGAAAAGATAAGATTGTTGGGATTGGTCATGGAATACGGGGAAGGGTCTTTCCCGACATACTTATGGAATCCTGGTAGTGGATCTATCAATCTGAAAGTCGACAATTTCGAAGCCTCGATTGTATGTATATTCAACACTAACTCTTTTAGTAGCAACAGACTATCGGGGGAAACTGATCAAGTTGCCGACAGATTAATCTACCTTTGAACTCAGTAATGCGGTCAGAGCTGATACCAGGGTTTGTTTCACCGATCTCTTCAAGGGGATGGTTTGAATGGAGGCTTTCTTCAAAAGAAAAGCTGCAGGTGGCGGGATCAAATATACAATTGTATAGAATTCTATACTCGACAAGGTTCTTATTTCTCCTTCAGCATGCGACAGGCCAAGAGCGTATTGGCACTTTGTCGACTCGTACCATAGTCCATGCATTTTTACAGATATGGCGAGTGGAGGATGGTCTCCACAGACGGATAGCACCGTTCATGCATAGCGTCCACCGAAAAATAGTTGATCCGGAGTACGCTGGCTGTTCGAGATCTGCCCAAGGTATGTACATACCACCTCGCCGTAAAAATATTCCTAGACGCAAGTCGAACAAAGCCTATGTGCATTCTATAGTTGTAGCTATGTTTACCTAATTTTCCCTTGATTTCTATCAACTCGGAACACCATGTTTGGGGGTATCCGAACATAATTGAACCGCTAAATTTACATGATTGGTTTCCTTGCGTCTTAAAATTGGATGAATTCAGACGGTGCCCTGGTAAATGGTCCCATCAACTTCGGATTCTGCACGCCTTCTTGGGTCCCTCTTGAAAATTGTCGGAATGATTTGTGTTCGCTAGTCAAAATATGCCTGCATCATTTGCACACTCTCGGCTTTGACCACATAGTGGCACCATGAGTTCCTTTTTTTTTTTTTTTTTTTTTTTTTGTTTCTTCTGACCGCCGGCCAATATTTGACCAGGTGTTCAGTATTTGGCAGAGGCTTATGATTAAACCTGGCTCCCTGATAGGCGGCCCAGCGGGGTACCTGGCGATTCTTTTGCATGGAAGTTGGTGGTCATGTAAGGTCAGACTGGGGAAAAGTTGGGGAAACATCTGGAGAAAAAGGAACCATGTTAACCATGCAAGAGAGATATTGCGATCCACAGAATTCCATGGTGATTATAGTATTAGCGCAAGCCCACGCTGAGCTCACGAAGTTAAGACTGTTTCGTCTCTCTTATTCACAGTTTTATTGGACCGCCACGGGAAGAGCGTCAGATGAAAGCCTTATGGATGTTTCCTACGAAGGTGTTCCAGAAAGGTTCTTCCGGCCCACATTCTATCTGCACAGGGGACCATAAGGTGGTACGGTGGGAACACACCCTGCATGATCAAATTTCGGTTGAGGCAAATACCAAACAGATAAAATGCAAATGGCTATCTAATCCGGGTCGGGTCGTGCAACCTCTACTTCAGATCTCACAATTTGTCTCGCTGAAGTTTGGTTGTGCTGCGACTGCAATATTTCGTGGACCTCGCGTTTTAGAGCCATGTGCATCTGCATGCGGCACCAGATATGCATCGTACTAGCTAGCTGCTGCACCTCCAGCAAATTTCCTTCCTTGTGCCGAAGCGCTGAACCCCAAAGCTAAAGAGGAAAGGAATATATTAAACATAATAAGATGCACTGGGCATGTGAAGCGCACCAACCCCCATGAAATTCATCCTGAGCAGAAGGATGGTGCCAATCTAGTGAGTGTCTTGGCCGTCACGAATGACGATGCTTTGGACCTGCCATCTTTCCAGATGAGGAACGGTTTACGAGGCACACTTTTATAGGGTAGCTAGTTATAGCTAGATGTACTCACAGGCATGTACCTTTAAGATTCGGTAGAACGCTCCGTTTTGTTTCCCAAATCTCATGCACATACGTATGACCTAAATTAGACACGAGCGCGAGTATGACGATTAGCACCGCGATGTAGTGTGATCGGTATAGTATGGATGCGAATCTGATCTTAAGTTGATATCTGAGCGTTGTCACAGCCGTGCAATTATAAATCGCCCTGCGCCTGTACGAAACACTTATATGTGGGTGCATTGTTTCTTTGTTTCCATTTTAATGGCCCTATCGGAAGCAGAGAAAGCCCCGGTCAGATAAGACATGCGAAGAATCAAGCTTGTTGGACGAAATCACAGAAGGCTTGAGCTTCGTTCTCGTTTTCCGTTGCATGCATAGAAGCATTCGCTGGCAGGGATAGGCCCGTAAATCGGCCGTTCAAACAGGGGCTGAGGGAAACCTTCGTTAACCCTACCCCAAGTCAGTGCTGCAACCCGCTCAAAGAGGGGTCGAGGTTGACAGGGGGCCGTACCTTTACGCATGAGGATGTCGCGCGGTGAAATTGAAAGGAATGCGGGCAACATAAGATCAGATTTTATCCGCTTAGGTCTTCGAATCGAGCAATTTTCTCCATAGATACGATACTATACTCACTAGCTAGTACTGCATTGATCACATGGCCCCAACGGCCCAAAACTCCATCAAATATGATGAACCTGGAGACGCACCCTCGGATATAACTAGGCGTGCTCCATGGCAGGCAGACCCCCCA